CCTACTCATTAAATTTAATGAGTAATCGCACTGTCTAGCTGCTGTTTCTACATGGAACATTTGTGCACACAGTTATCAGGAAGATTATACAAAACAGGAGAAATGAATGCACATATGCAAAACTGCATAATGGCTTGAAATAGTCAAGAATATTTTAATCAGGACATTTTTCAGGTATCATCAGTTAACGTGTACTGTCCTTTTCTTTTCCAGGAAAATAGTCATGGAAAGATGTGGCACTCATTCAAATGTGGTTCCTCAAGATATTACGGCTTTGTTTTGAGGTTAATGGATTTAGAAAATGAAACGGACTAACAGTAACGTGCAGAGGGAGGTTTCACATGGTCATCAACACGAGCTGATCTTCCTGTTGTTTTCATCTGACTTTTGTTGCACAGACAGTCGTCGGGAGGACTGCAGGGCTCCCTGACTCAAATGCTTGTCTATGGTTGGGTAAAAGACACAGAACTTGAGCAGCCCTGGTCATTGCTTATTCCTAATCTGGATGTCTGTATGGCCTGGATAGGTTTTAAGTTTTGTGAGTCTGGAAGCATGTTACTGTGGCTGTATATTGATTTCTGAGCCTGCTCATGCTCTCTGATGCACAAGTCAAAAGTAAACATAGAGCTGAGCAATAAGCCTGAGCTTTTAAATGGAAAATATTAACTAACTGTTGAAATTGTGGATATGACCAACTAACAATAACAGCATTCCAATACAAGTAGTGTTTCAGACACAGATACTGGTTTGTTACTTGTTAGTTTACTCAGAACCTTACAAAGCAAGCCCAGTGAAGTCAGCTAGGGTATAACCACTGATTTGAATGACTTTTAGAGCAGGCACTGTTCTTTACAACACGTAAAGTACGTTAAGTGAATGAGAAGTAGAGAGATTTAGAATGGAGTTATTTTTACTGACATAAAATCTTCTTTCTGTCAAATATTAACAAAAATAAAAGGTTTTATATTCTTTTCAGTCTCTTGAGCCTATGCCTTTTTGTATTAGAATATCATCTCAGTGACAGCCAAGGTGAGAAAGTAGCTCTGCTTTGTGGTCCCATGTTCCAAATTGGCTCACAAGATAACACAGCACCATGTGAAGGCTCAGGAGAATGCGTAAGTATATAATCCTCTTAACATTCGCAGTCACTTTCTGATTTGGTCACTTAGCCCTTTATTATTCCTCAGACAGATTTTAGAAACAGCCACTTTGCTCTAGGCCTGCAGACTTGCTCAATACAGATATTAAGATCAGAGCTGTTTACTGTCAGAGCCAGAAGAGAGCCCATTTCTGAACAGAGCCAAGTGTGTTTCACCTGGCCACTTTTCCCCTTTTTTTAACTGTGATGTTTCCATTGGAAATTATGAGTTATTCTTCTTCAAACTAACTGAAAAATATTTGACTGGTTGGAGAAAGTCCAATGGTCTCCACGCTGAGATTCTTTACCCATGTACTAGAGGACGGGAACTGAGGACAGTACTGATAGTTGAATAGAGTAGAAAAGAAAGGCACAATAAAACCAAGGCAAAATGGTTCTCAGTGTAAAACAGAAAGGAGAAAAATATAGCAGGAAAAAGGAAATAAGAAAGCAGTGGAGAAATATGTTCATGAAGTTCAACCAAGCCAAGTGCCAGGTCCTGCACCTGGGTCAGGGCAATCCCAGGCACAGCTACAGGCTGGGCAGAGAAGAGATTCAGAGCAGCCCGGTGGAGGACTTGGGGGTGTTGATGAATGAGAAACTGAACATGAATTGGCTTCAGTGTGCGCTTGAGCGCTGAAACAAGTCAGCATGTCTGAGTGTCTGTATACTTGCAGCCTTCCTCACTGTAATAATCTTCAATGTTCTTACTGAAAATAAAATTAATAAATAGCTTAGAACTCTTTACTCTTTTGCAATAATCTTGGCATTGCTTTTTACCAAATTAGCAATAAGCCTCTTTGATTGTTCATGTGCCTAGAAAAGGATGACAAATAAGATACCTTTCCACGTAAATACAATAGACATCTAATATCCTGCCCTTGTCATTTTCAAGTTATTCTTGGTGCATGTACAATAAAAGATGTTAATCCACAGAAGATGGAATGTGTTTGTAATAGAATATCAATGGCTATTAAGACATCTCCTACCAGTCATTAGCACGTGAAGCTTCATTTTAAATTAGCAATGCTGTTCCTAAGGGGAAGAATCTTAAGCAAAGAACTGTGCCTGTTTTTTGAACAGCTGGTGGCTTTGTGTGTCACGGAGTGACTGCTGATGTTTGCTAGCTATAATGAGTGCCCACTTAGATTGAAAAAAATACCTTCCTTATATTACACGCAGTTTTCCAAGAGATGTGCCAGTTGTGGTGAATTGTTATTGCCCTGTCCTGGGTTAAAAAAAGAGGAAAGCGGGGAGAAAGGAGAAACTACACCTATACATAGGACAGTTTATATACCTTAGTGGTAGCTTGTCATTTAAATCTCTATCATATGTCTGTATTATTCTGAACAGAACACTGCCTCTATCTGTAGTATTTGTTGTGTTTGCTGTGTGCCTACTCACTCAATTTCCATGCAACATGACAGCAACACCTGCATTTGCAGTGAAGAACCCATCTTCATTATATCACCTCCAGTGTGGCTCTTCTCTGTTAGGAGAATAGAGAAGAAAAACTGCCCAGTTTGCTCTGAGGGAGGGTGAAATTGCACCATCACAGAAAATCCATGCTCTTAAAAGTCTGTCGGTTGCTAGAGGTAAAATCCAGCTGTCATACAGCAACAGAATTGTCATCTGGCAGTTTTAATCTGTTTGTGATTACACAGGGTTTTGAGTTCTGGTGTAAAAAATGTTAAGCCTTGTTTTCTTATGGACTTGGTTGAGTAAGTTTAGCTTACATAGTTTAAGTTTTTTAGTAACAACATTGATGAATCTGAAGCTTTATGTTTTTATGGCTCATAGGACTGGACTACTAAATGTCACAGAAAGACTAAATGAGTGAGGTTTTTATGTGACATTTTCTGTTCTGAAGAGCTCTTTGTTGGGTTTTTATAGCACTGATGAGATTTCTGTTGGGAGAAAAATAAATATGTAATTTTTGCTTGAAGGCAAGAATACTTAACGGCAATTTTCCTCCTTTAATAAGAAACTTTGGGAGAACAAGAGTGTATTGAAACAGAGAACGGACAAAGAGGCGTTAGAATCTAGATGTGGAGAGATGTGCTCATGGCAAGGGTAAACAGAAGGTACCTGGCTAAGGCCTTGCCTGAAAGATGTAGAAAGACTCAAGTTCATTTCCTCCTTTGAAACATTGTCAGCATGAACATTGGCAAGATATGTTAACTAATACTGGAAAAAATCTGGGTTTGTCTCCTTGCATACATCATTACACTCTACTGCTGCACCAATCTGCTGCAGCCTAATCCTGACTTGCCAGATCAGTTAGCAGATTAAGAAAACCACATAAATCATTTTGGAAGAGGACTCAGGTGACCCTGGTCATGTCTCTAGCTTGGACCCATTGCTGTTTCTGGTTCCACTACCTAAAACACTGGAAATGTTGTGTTTCAGTAGTTTCTAGGTCTTGGCCTAGTTCTTGTCGATAAATGGTTTACTTACCTTATAGAATCCTAGAAGGATAAGCATGAGAGTGTGAAGCAGTTAGTCATTGTAGGTTATAAAAGAGAGGCTTTGGAAAGACTACTGGGTTTCTATCTTGTGTTTGATAATATCATGTGTACTGCTGCAGCTACAAATCCATATGAACTAATGAGAACTTGTCAGCCTTGCTGCATACTACCAGTGGCCAGATCAGCATCTTTTCTATTAACACTTCTCAGTACTGTTGTTCAGTGCTTCCCAGGACATGCAGTAAGAGTACTTTTAGTCTGGATGGTCTGGAAGCAGAGTGAAGTTACAGTAATGACAGTGGATGAGCCCTGGACGCTGAAAAAAGATAATGACCAATCCAGGTAGACAAGACTTGATTTTATTAATAAAATTTGTATTTTCCTCTTTGAGGTGAGAGTTACAAACTTTGGTTCAAAAATAAAGAAAATATGACCAGCAAGAAGTCGACTTTTTAAATCCCACTTTTACATGTATAAACGTGCATAAGAAAAGACCAGTTGGAAACGAGCCAGCAGAAACTAGTACTATTTAATTTAACAATTTTTGAAGAAATAGAAACAAACATTTCTTTTCAAGTCTTACATATATTATGAAAAATAATTACAAAAGGATTTGTGTTGTAAAGCTAAAATGTAATTTCTACTTCCAACTACCTGAATAAAATGTTCAGAGGGAAGGCCAAACCAACATTTGTTTGGTGATATTTGAATAGCACATTGTATCAGGTTTGGTCAAAGACAGCTCTGTAGGAATCAGTACCCTTGTATGTTGCTTAGCAACTGTGTAGAATCACATGACCTAGACATATTGCATCCCTGGCTTTCAGGTGAAGTAACAAGGAAAAAATACTTCGTATTAATGGGACAGGCAAATATTGTATAGGACCATTCTGTGGAACTTTCTGTATCCAGTTCAGGAAGCAAACATCCATCACTGCTTACATAAAAATCTAAGTAAACACTGCAAGAATCCATAAATAACTCTTAGAATGCAGTTTCAATATTGATGTAAATAAGCACAATGGAAACAAATTCAGATGAGATTAAAAAAAGAGACTGATTTCTTTCACACAGATTTTTTACAGAAAAGTTGGTTTGGTTTTGTTGGGTTTTTTTTTATTATTTTTCTTACAGATTTTCCCCACCCAAAAGTAGAAATTTGTTTATTTTAGGTATATACAGGTATCTTATGGAATGGTGGAATGAGAAAAGAACATAAGAAGTCTGAGGTATAGCACCATGGAACACAGCACCTTTGAGGTGCTTTCACTGAAATTCGTCACCACAGAGTGATACCAGCAGAAGAGAGTTTCAGTGTGCTGATCAAGATCTTCCAGTTTTGCCACCTTACATTTTGTTGGTGACTTCAAATAACAAGCTCTTCAACAGCAATATATACAAAGGGAGTTTATTACTAATCAGAAATGGAACTGGCTTCACTTGCAAGTACAGCTTTATTTTTTCAAATACATACACAGTTCTGACAATGGAGTTTTGTAATTATAAAATAAGAGCCAGATGCAATTCAAAGACACATGCAAGTTTTGGAAATGGACAGAGAAATAACAGTATAGTACTGTACACAGAATAATTACAATTTATTCAACACTTTCTTAACACCTCTTTGTTGTAATGGAAGGAGCACCATGTTGTTCATTTTTTTTACAGCACCAAAGGACTCCAAAGGGGTTGTTCCTAAAGTGAGCCCTATTTTGTCTGTGCCACAGCATCTTTGTAAAAGAAGTTTAAGTCATGTGATTCTGGCCCTACAAGGGCAACAATTACTTTCTAGGTAAGACATATACAATAAAGACATTTTCTACGCCATCCTTACTCAAAACTTGCATGTGGCATAAAGTGGGTTGGTAGCACCAAAGTGCAACATTTTTGTTGATCTGATTTTTGTCTTAAGCTTAACCAAGGAAGCAGACTGGACCGACCTCAAATCCAAACTTCTGGTTCTGATCACCAAAGTCATTGATCATCACATCAACTATAGGTACTTGGTCTATTTTGGGTGTGTTGATTTCAATCACCGTCTTTGCATAGCCTTTTCTTGACTGTTAAAAAAGAAGGAAAGAAAGAGAAACAAACCCAAACGTGGTTATATATCAGAGCAGTAAGCATGTGCTGTAGATCTTCATAGGTTATCTCTGAGTGTAGAATTTATAAATTATTGCCCCCCTCATGGGCAAGTTCTTAGGATTTTATTTTACAAATTAAAGGGAATGGTTTTGATTTTAGAAAGTGATCAGCCCATAGCTTTTTGACTTACAACAGGCCTACAAATGAAAAGTTACCCAACACATTTAATGTTTCTTAGAGAATATATATGTTATCTGTATTATTAAATAACTTACAACACTATTCTCCTAGCAATGTGCATGTCTCCCTTGTGAAAAAAATTAGTTCTGAAAGGCAGAAGATCCACTTCTAAGAAGAAAGACTGTGACTGTCTCACAAAATCTTACAGCAGCTGTTTGGACATGAAAGAAAACAGTAGTCTGACAGGACTGCCAACTGATGCCCTTAGAACCAGGTTTGAAGGCACACTTCCTAACAAAGGCTCTCTAGGTTCTCTAAATATCACCCAACCAGTGAGTTATCAGGACTGCACTTTGTTCAGATTGTCTCTTGTATCTTGCTGAGAACCCCTTCACCTATGCCAGGGTCTCAAGAGTTTAGATGAGCATCAAAATTACGTAGATCTGAGAGTTCTCAGTTTAGTGACAGACTTAAAGCCTCTGGAGCTCTCCACTCACTGTGGATAACAAAAGCAAAATACAGAACCTACAGAAAGGCTGTCCCAAAGCAGTATGTATTCAGATGTCACTACTGAGGGGAGGAGACACTGCACCAACCTGAGCTGAATCTGTCTCAGAGCCAAGTGTGTATCCTGGCACTTTCAGGTCTCTGATTTCTACCATTGATTTCTCAGGAGCTGCTTTCAGAATGCTCCCATATCAATCCCCGAAATAATTAATGAAGCTTTAACTGTCACTTGCTCCTTTGATGTCTTTGTTTAAAAGTGTTCAGTACAAGCCATTCTGTTTCTGAGAAGAGGTAACAGTTGCTATGCCTACAAGACCCTGCTGGAGAGGTGGTCAGGGAGCGGATACATGTTTGGGATTTTAGCTGAGCTAAGAAAATATTCTGAAAGATACAATCCACAAACTTCACCTGGCTTTGACTACCAAAACTGAGAAAGGGAAATACAAAGAAACATATCGATACAATTAACTCACTGTTTGGATACATATATATGGCTTAGTTCATACATGTTTTTACTGTATTCACTAAATACTCTGTCTTTATATGCCTTGATTTTGAGTAAAAACATACTCTCCCAATGGGCTGCCTCCCCTGATTTTACTTTTTCTGCTTCTGCTCTTCTTTTACACTGTGCTCATATTAGCAAATAGTCTAGTTTCAGCACAAAGGTGCTGACAGCCTGTATGCATGCCAGGTTTGTTCCATTTCTGTTGCTTGGCTTATGTTTGCTTAGGTGTTTTTTTCTTGGTACCTGTATGAAAATTAAATAAGGGAATTATGTACTGTAGTTAACAATCTACTAAAAGGCGTTCTATTAAAAATAGGATAGTTCAGAGGGTTTTTTTTCCAGAAGAAAACTGTGAACAAAATGTGTCTGTTTGATTTCTCCATTAATTGATAGGTTGGTTTTGTAAAGACGCTTCTGAGCCTCCACTTACCGCACAGCCGTCGTGAAGGGCTTTGATGTGAGGATTGTTGTCATAAGACATTTCTTCATCATTTGATCCTAAGAACCTTAGTGCTTTGTCATAGCTGTCAGATGATGCATCATACCAAGCTACAGACTGATGACAGTTGTAAGTGAAATTCTGTCTGGCAGAGGCACTCAGTAGTCTAAGGAATGTCATCTGGACCATATTAATGGAATTGCCTTCAACATCCAAATAGGAAAGCTGGAAAATACAGGTTACATCAATATTTTCCATTTCCTTTGTTAAAATGCAAACCAAAACTATTGTTGACAAAAGAACCAAAAAACTGTCCTTAAAAAAAATAAAAAAAAATCATCCAACATAATAACATTTTATGGAGTGTTAAAGTTCAATAAAGCTACAGTTCAGTAAATAGGTTTTCATGTTGTAGCAATAGATTTAGGATGAAGAATTATAGTTCAGAACTCAGGACAGAATTACGTAGTGAAAGACAGCAGAATCTCTTTGGGAATCTGTGTTCAGTTAATCATAAAGTGATGTCATCCTGCAGTCTCTTCTTTGCATACTCAGTATATTTCCAGCTACCTAGAAGTGGGCAGGGGATCTGTGCTCCAGCTGCTTTACTAAGGGTCAGTGGTGATGTGAGCACTGGGATCATTGTGGCACAATACAAAGCAGGCTGCTGTCCAGTGGCAAGAGGTTGCATACCAGTGCTAATAGTTAGGGGAAAAGGCCTGGGGCTGAAGACACTTCTTATTATCTATGTATTTGTAAAATAATTTTGGAATCTGTTGAACACTGATAATGTGTACTTGATTTGTGAGTAACTGTTACGTTGCAGTGATAACTTACAAGTTTGCCTCGCTTAAATTCACTAAACCAAGATCCTGGATTCTCCTTTGGCCATGATGAAATCCTGACCTGTATGGTAAAACAGCAGAGATAGAAGTATTTAAAACATATGTTATCAGATAGGAAGGTTTTACATTACCTGGGACAAATTTCACATCAGATAGTAGATCACAGCCCCTTTAAAGGTTTAAAATAGGATGGTTTTCTTGTATAGAATGCCTTCAAATTAGTAACTTTAAACGGAATTCAAAGTGACAGTTTATAAAGAGAGCTACTTCTATTTAAGGGAGACTGTTTCATTTGTTAAGTTTCAGGTAAACTGCTGGTTTAAATTTTCCCTGTGAAGAGTGTATAAATTACAGTTTTCACTGTTGTTAATGCTGATAGGTATCTCTCAATTAGGCAAGCTTTTAGAAAGCCACCTCTACACCATCTGCCCCATCAGAGGTCATTTATAACAAGTGAGTGTTAATACATAGTAGTTTTTTATCTACTTTGCACAGGTATAAAAGGAATAGATATAAATGAAATCACAAGAGAAATGCAGTAAGAGTCTAGATTTTAGGTCAAATGCTATATTACACACTTTAACTGGCTGCACAGCTATGTTGCATCCTGAAATGCAGTGAAATGTCAGCAAGCAGATGCAGAGATTCCCTATCTAAGCAAAACAGTGAAAATACTGTTTGTTACATCTATGTACCATTTTACCACTTCATTGGATTTGTGCACACTTTAGTGTAACCAGAGAGATAGATATATGAAAATGTGACAATGTAATTATCTTCTTTAGTTCAACATTGCAACAGTGTAGTAGGATCTGTCAGCAGCCAGCTCTAAACACGGATTGGCACTTACTCCTTCAGATTTCTTATCTGGGTAGATGCAAGTTTCTCCGCCTGCTGTGAAATTGCAGTACACTTTGAAGGAGTCTCCAGAACATCCCTGGTTAGGATCAATCCAATATTCCCCTAAAACAAATGAGAAATTATTTGGCTTATGTAGTGGAATCAGTATTTGTAAGATCCAGGTTTGACTGCTACCCCAGTACCTCTTCCTTTACTTTGGTCCAAAGTTTATAGCAAAGTTGTTTTATCTGAATGATGAGAAAGCAACACTTTTCTGCCCTGTGATTTGTTTCTGCTGTTATCAAGACTTAACAGATATTTTCTTTTTTATATTTTCTTTTCTCTGATTTTTTCTTTTTCTCTAATTTTACTTCAAACCATGGTTCTGTTGCAGGATACTGCTTGAGGTTACAAAGGAACTTGGTCTAGTGGAGGAAGGACATTATGTGTGAAACATACGTTGCAAGTCTCAAGAATTTGGCCATTTCAGTTTTTAAGATAGAAGGATAATTTGTACCTGTGGTAACAGCACTTTCAAAAACAGAGCACAGGCATCTTTAGGCATAAAAAAAGATACGGCTTAGGTCAGAGAGAAAAATCTGTAGTCATCTGCACACATATCTACATAAAAATATGGCCACACAGGGCTTGGTGAGGTTGTAGCTGGCACAACTACCTAAAGCTTTTATTGAAAGAGAACATATTTTAAGCAAAGATATTTTTGCTACTGGGTTAGGAAGCTGCAAGACTAGACTAGTGAAGCTCCAGGCTGTTTCAATTGATAAAAGCACCTTAACTAATCCTTGGTTAGGTGACACAGTAGGATGGACAGTTAAAACTTCCCCTGTATAGTTTCAAGAATCCTGCCAGACTGGCATGTCTGAGAATTCAGGCTCTACAATGCTAGGGTGAGTGAAGGCTGGGCATGAAAGAGAGCCACAGTCAATCCAAGGTCCATTAAAAATCAACACTTTTTAACACCATACTAATTAAAATGCTGATTTCTGTGGTGTGGGTCCTTCGTCTGGTTTCTCAGTAACAGAGCAGATGATTTTCTTACACTACTGTTCTAATCCAATTTCAAGCTAATATGAAGGTTTCCAAGAAGAATGACAAACCCCTTCATCAGTTCTGTCTTCTAATATTACAGGGCATAGACAAAGCATTTATGGTATTTTAAAATTCTATTGATTCAGGCTGTATTTACTGAAAACAAATTCTTGCCCCTGAAGAACCTTGTGTTTTAATGAATGCATTTACTTTATTTTAAACAAAATATTACTTTTATATGAAGAAAGCTCCAGATACTAAGCAAATACTGGTAAATGAAGAAGGTGAATCTGGTTTATAAAAACCATTCATTATTATGAACGCCACTGAATTGTAAAATACGTACTTTTCATATAGCATATACATTGCTTAACTATGCCTCAAGGCAACCATCTGTTTTTATCTATCTAGAATGAAAACAGTAAAATAGCATTAAACTGTTGAAATATATTTTCCCTCCCATGTAAAAGCACAAAAAAAAACTGCTTTGAACTTGGAAAATTATCCATTGCAATTGAAAAAACTATTAAAGCATGAAAGCTCTGTGAAGGCTAGCTTTCATTTAAACCTTTCCAGAGGGTAAGCTCAGAAAACAACAAAGAATAATTAAATCAAGATAGTTCTTGAAAACACAGGGTCTTGTTCATACTACTCTGCACTTTATTAAGCTAGTTTTTAGATGCACTAAACAGTATGAGAGAAACTTGAATGTCTATTTTCTGAATTATATAGAACAAACAGTGGTCATGCAGTGAAACAGATTATTGTTTCTAAGGGTAAAAGAAGAGTAAATTTTTTGAAAGTCACAGTCAATAATAAATCTCATATAATACCAGTGCTATTTTATATTACTGTGCTCAGCTAAAGTATACAGCTAGAATAGCGTACGTTTCTTTTAATACAAGCTATTAGCTATCCCAGCAGGCTGACATTTGTGATTTTTCTTTCCACGGATCTAATTAGCATCAATCTTTAATTCCGCTCCTGTTTGGATAGTTCTGGAAATGCAAGGCAAACATTTCCAAAAAAGAATTGGTTTTTATTTGGCACTCCCCAAAGTTTTAAATCTAAACCCAGATCAGGTTATGTATTTAAAGCATTGAGGATTTTACCAAGACAACGGCCCTTGCTTACATTTTATGCATTTTTACACATGAAAAATTGATTTAATGAGACTGTGTTTATTGATCAACTATATTAACCACCTACCAATAATGAATTACTCTCTAAAGTATCCTAGAAGATTATACCTTCAGCCTTGTTTGCCTTTGTCATGCAGTATTAACATACCATCTGGGAAGTCTGGGTGGCAGAGTTGCAAGTCTTTGCAAGTTCGGGCTGGGTTATTCTGTGTGCCCATTGGATACTTCATATGCTCAATGTCTTGCTTCAGTGAATTCAATGAACCAAAGATCTCTTCCATGCCATCAGAATAATCCAGAATATTATCACCAGCATCAGATAACATGTAATCAGGAGATCTTCTTGTCTTTTTGGGTGACTGGATTGGCAGTGGCTGGATTACCTCACCTGGAGGACCCTAAGTGGAAAACAATGTATCTGGTTACCTTTTCTGTCTGTTTTTCAGCTGCATAAATAGGCAGAGGAAGACCACAGGATGTGGTTTGTAGAAGCTTTAAATAGTCTTTCTTCAAATTCTTTGTTTCACTTATTTCCTTTGATATTTTGGGGAAGAGTGTGTTGCTCTCATTTAAGTTAAGTGTGCAGAACTGGCTTGTACTTGCCTATTTATCCCTGGCAATTCCCTCAAGCACAGGCATAGCCTATGACAAATGAAAACTGAGGATGTTTTCTCTGATAAAATTTTAAAACTCCACTTGGGGTCTATAAAGCAATACTTCAAGTGATTGAAACATTTCATCCAGATTTGGAAAAAACCTCATTTTTCATTAATCCCAAACATTAATATATTCCTTATCTGCAAGTTCAAAAATGCTGTCTTTTACCCTTCTGCATGTCAGATAAGAGTTCTTACTTACTGGGGGACCAGGTGGACCAGGTAACCCACTGTCACCTTTTTGACCAGCAGGACCCTATAAGGCAATGAAAAAAATGAAGTGCTGACCATACTACACAATGTTAAAAGTAACACACACAGAAGTTAAAGAACAAAAAATATGGATGCAAACTACTTACACTGGATCCTTTGGAACCTTTTGGACCTTGGGGACCCTACGGGCAAGAACACAGAACTATAGTTGGAATATATGTCACACCATCAGGGAGTGTTTTGAACAGGAAAACTGGATGAAATTACTTACAGGTAAACCAGGAGGACCAGGGGGTCCAAGTGGACCTGCAGGACCGGAAATTCCCTAAGACAGAGTAAGAGAGTAAGTACAGAACTGAAGTACTGGACTGGATTTAAAAATGCATATTTATGAAAGCATCCAACCCTGATGAGTTTTGATTTAGGCCATTTGCTAGAGTCCAAATAGCTTGTAAGTTTAAAATATTACCTGATGGTTTGAGTTGCCTGTAGTTGGTCTTACACTGCAGTACTCACAGTCACAACTGTGTTCCCCTTTAGACTGACTTTGAAACCTCACTTTTTACATAGTGCTGGAAACATGGATAAAGTAGGAGAAAGGAAGCTACTTTGGATAGTGCAGTTAATAAACATGATGAGATTGGTGTTGCTAGTTTTATCCCTTACGTGTATGTGATTACATATCTTCTGAAGTATGATCTTGTTTCAAGCTAACTTAACCGTCTCTATAGGAAAGTTTTAACTTCTTGCAGGAGGCTCTGGGTGTTACTTGTTTATAGTAACTTTATGTCTCTCGAAATAGCTGAATATGTGCTCTTTGCCTGCACAGAACTTGAATGAAAGCACAAATATGTTTTACTCACTGCATCACCCTTGGCTCCAGGAGATCCCTGTGGGCCAGGAAGACCCCTATCACCCTTTTCACCCTGTTCTCCTGGAGGTCCAATCAGGCCTATCAAACCAGGATGTCCCTAAACAAGTAGAAGAAAATATAGTTAACATACAATATGTATAAAGTAAATGTGCTTTTCAAACACATGAATTAGAACTTTCATATGTCATCACTGTTGCTAGTCAACGATTAACCTGGAAAAAAAGTTATTCTGAAAGCTATTAGTTTGTTTTAGTTGGCCTTTTAGACTTGATTTGCAAGCTGTGACTGCTAATTCAGTGAAAGAGGTGCAACATACTCCTTACTGAAACCAATACAGAAATAACAATACCTGTGGGTACAAATTTCATAAATGTTACATTTAGATGCTATAAGCATATTACAGAGTTGCACAGTTATTTCCACATGCAATACTGCTGTATAAGCAGCTGCTGCAAGCACATAAACAAAACCTGAAATTCAGAAGATATTGATATCCTTTTCTCTATGTAGTTCTTTTCTGATATACAAGCAATCAATAAACTGTGCTATCCTGGATGTCTCAACTCATTATTTCACAAGAAGGTATTATAGCTGTTAAATATTTAGATTTTATTGTTTTAAAATAAAAACCTCAAGTAGTTTTTATTGCTACTTACTTGTTTTTTTGTCAAATGAACAGCTCTCTTTACATCGCTGTCTTTGGGATTTTTATTGCAAGGAAGAATCACGTGGTCAATAGATACACAGGAAGTAATCTTTTCCTTTCTATATAGCTCCAGGATATCAGATGTGGATTAAAACTTCACAATTACTCTAAGACTATGTGAAGCTGAGTAGACACAGTAAGTTGTCTTGCTTTCTGATACAAAACCTCTAGTGTTTCTTCTGCTAATTTTATACAGACTTTTAGACTGGATAAAAACTACAAATGCACAATGACTACATTATACCTTCTCTCCTTTGGAACCTGGATCTCCTTTCAAGCCAGGCAGGCCAGGTGGACCCTAAATAAATCAAGGGAAGTAATGTTAAAGTAAGTTTTAACATACTGCTCAGATCACGGTTGCTTGAAATACTACTAAAGGTAGTGTAAGTCAAAGTACAGTCATTCAGTGGTTAATGGCTGTGAATAATAGCATGTACTTTAGGGCCCATGATAAAGCTGAATTAGAAAGTGTGATCCTGCTGCTGTAGCATTTAGGTTACTTTATAATTAGAAATCTATAGGGCTGTATGATTAGAAATCTATGAAGCAGAGGGTCAACTGATTTCTCAGAGCACTGAAAGCATCCAGTGAAGTGATTTTTAAAAAATTCAAATACTCTTTTTTTATTACCCTAATTTTGCCTGTGGTTACATTACATGCTTTCAATTGTTACTTCCATTTTAATTGCCATACCTTATTTTAGTTGTTTATTTTAGCCCTTTCTTTCATATCATAGTGGACAGTATCCTCATAATGTTTTAATGCTTAGAAAAGGTGGAAGCAAGGACAGGCGGCCTTTGAAGAATACAGGGATGTTGTCTGGGAAGCTAGGCATCAGGTTAGGAAAGCTAAGGCTCAGTTAGACTTAAACATGGCTATAAAGATAACAGGAAGGGATTCTATAGGTACGTAGCGAATACAAGACAGACTAGGGACAACATGGGCCCCCTCCAGAAACTATCAGGAAACTGGCCACCCTGGATAAAGGCTCTGACCACACCACCCAAGTCTTGGAAGGCAGACGCAGGGACTCTGAGAATGAAGACTTTGGGCCCACTGTAGGAGAGGATCTGGTTCGAGACCATCTTAAGAACCTGAATGTACAGAAGTCCATGTGACCTGATGAAATCCATCCGCGGGTCCTGAAGGAGATGGCGAATGAAGTTGCTAAGCCACTGGCCATCATATTTGAAAAATCATGGCAGTCAGGTGAAGTTCCCGACGACTGGAAAAAGGGAAATATAACCCCATTTTCAAGAAGGGGAAAATGGGAGTACCCAGGGAATTACAGACCAGTCAGTCTCACCTCTGTGCCTGGCAAAATCTTGGAGCAGATTCTCCTGGAAGGCATGCTAAGGCACAGGAAAAACAACAAGGTGCTTGGTGACAGCCAGACTGGCTTCACTAAGGGGAAATTCTGCCTGACCAATTTGATGGCCTTCTATGATGGAGCTACAGAACTGATGGACAGGGGTAGAGCAGTTGATGTCGTCTATCTGGACTTATGCAAAGTGCTCGACACTGTCCCACACGACATCCTTGTCTCTAAATTGGAGAGACATCAATTTGATGGATGGACCACTCGGTGGATAAAGAACTGGCTGGATGGCCGCACACAAAGAGTTGTGGTCAATGGCTCAGTGTCCGGCTGGAGACCACTAACGAGTGGTGTCCCTCAGGGATCGGTGTTGGGACCGGTCTTGTTTAACATCTTCGTCGCTGACATGGACAGTGGGATTGAGTGCGCCCTCAGCAAGTTTGCCGATGACACCAAGCTGTGTGGTTCGGTTGATATGCAGGAGGGAAGGAATGCCATCCAGAGGGACCTTGACACGCTTGTGAGGTGGGCTGATGCCAACCTCATGAAGTTTAACCATGACAAGTGCAAAGTCCTACACCTGGGTCAGAGCAATCCCAGGCACAGCTGCAGGCTGGGCAGAGAAGAGATTCAGAGCAGCCTGAGGAGAAGGACTTGGGGGTGCTGGCCGATGAGAAAATGAACATGAGCCGGCTTCAGTGTTTGCTTGCAGCCCAGAAAGCCAACCGTATCCTGGGCTGCATCAAAAGGAGTGTGACCAGCAGGTCGAAGGAGGTGATCCTGCCCCTCTACTCTGCTCTTGTGAGACCTCACTTGGAGTATTGTGTGCAGTTCTGGTGCCCTCAACATAAAAAGGACATGGATCTGTTGGAACGAGTCCAGAGGAGGCCACGAAGATGATCAGGGGACTGGAGCACCTCCCAGGCTGAGAAAGTTGGTCTTCCTGGAGAAGAGAATGCTGCATGGAGACCTCACAGCATCTTTCCAGTATCTGAAGGGGGCACATAGGGATGCTGGGGAGTGAGTCTTCATCAGGGACTGTAGTGACAGGGCAAGGGGTAACAGGTTAAAACTTAAAACAGGGGAAGTTTAGATTGGATATAAGGAAGAGGTTCTTTACTGTAAGGGTGGTGAGGCACTTGAATAGGTTGCCCAAAGAAGAGGTGAATGCTCCATCCCTGGAGGTGTTCAAGGCAGGCTGGACAGAGCCTTGGGTGACATGGTTTAGTGGGAGGTGTTGCTTCCCATGGCAGGAGGGTTGGATCTGGATGATCTTAATGTCCTTTCCAACCCTAACTATTCTATGATTCTAATGTTTTTTCCCAGTTTACTACAACTCAGTGAGTTATTTTGTAGAATATAAATCACGTTGCTTGTAGTAACTCCTCCTTATTTTTGTTTTGTTGGAGAACTACCACCTATTTTGTTTCAGCACTTGGCGCACTGTCTTGGGATCATGGTTTCTTTGACTTGCCACATGTAATTCTTGCATGACCACTATGATGCACTTAAATCTGTATTTTCTACATAGTCATGTTTTTTCTGCTCAACATTGCAAGCTTGCTTGATGTATTCTATGTGTGCTAGCTCCACTGACATGTACAAGCTTATGACCCTTTGCCATTTTCGTAAATGTGATTAGTTACACAAATGACTCAAGTTTTGCATTTCTAGTCTGGGCAATCCTAAATGCTTTTAGCGACTGCCTTAGTTTTTTTGGGCCTCCACTCTTCATTTGTGGGATAATACCCCTATGTCCTGGGCTCAGCAATAGCAGTAATTTTTCTCCTTCTTAGTAGCTGGTGCAGTGCTGTGTTTTCAACTTTAGCCTGGGAACATTGCTGATAACACACCAGTTTTCAGCTGTTGCTAAGTAATGTTTACCCTGATCAAGGCCTTTTCAGTCTCATGCTCTGCCAGTGAGGAGGGGCATGGGACACCGGGAGGAAGCAGAGACAGGACACTTGACCCAAACTAGCCAAAGGGGTATTCGATATCACAGCACATCATGCCAAGGATGGAAACTGGGGGAAGTTACCCAGAAGGCCCAGATCGCCAATCAGGTTGGGCTGGGTATCGGCTGGTGGCTGGTGAGTGGATGTACTCTCTCCCCTTATTTCCCTTATCATTATTATTATTGGTGGTAGCAGTAGTGGTTTTGTGTTTTACCTTGGTTACTGGACTGTTCTTATCTCAACCTGTGGGAGCTACATTCTTTCCACTCTCCTCCCCATCTTGAGTGGGGGGAAGAAAGAGGAGAAGAGAGCGAACAGCTGCATGGTTCTTAGTTACCAGCTGGGCTTAAACCACAACACATTACCTTACAGAGGTGTTAAACTGATACCTTTCTATTGGTATCAGTTTACTTAAATGGTTCACACATCATAAGAGCAGCTTACAATTTCTAATTTGTATTTACAACCCATCCTTTCTACAGCACAGTAAAGGCATGTTAGTTTATGAAACTGAGTAAGAAATTAATGCTTGTTATTCTGTTTTATCTGCAGTTGTCCCTCACCATTACTCCATAGAGTTAGATTACTGTAAACAAAAATGTGCTGGGACAGAAGACAGAGCTGTGAACAACACAGTGTCAACAAAAGCTTTCCACAAGCCCTTCCATGTTTCTGGGATGGATGTGATGAGGGGACAAAGTAAACCACTCTTTTTTTTTTCAGGTGGATTCAATGTAAGCTGATGCTTATAGAATCTATTGGAAAACTCTGCTGCAGTCTTACTAGCTGGGAAACCACTGCAAAGGAGAAACATATTCACATAGATAGGTCTCTTTTTTGCACCTCCCTTGCAAAAACCACTGAATAACCTTGTTCTTATAACTTGACACAAGCTTATTTTCCCTCCCCCTGTTTTTTTTTTTTTTTTTTTTTTTTTTGTAGCTTTACTGGGTGATAAGAACAATCCACTAAAGATACTACTTTAGCAATTGTAAAAATCCAGATAGATGTCACAGAAAAAGTCTCGATATGAAGCTTGTTAAAACCACCTTGGCTTGCCTTTTTTTTTCTTACTATTTTAATCCTTATTTATCATTTTAGAAGAATTCTGTGGGATTTGAGAAATATTCTTAACTTCACAAGAATGGCAGTGGTGGTTTTCTGTAATTTGTACTGAATGAGGTGAAAAAATTCAGGCTATGCAGTGCAATCCCAGAAAAAGCATTCATTTCTCAGCGGCTATGAATCCGGACACTGAACACTTCTGCCATCAGGTGTAGAGCTACTAGAGTCAGTATCTCATCGCTGCTAGTCTCCTGCTGGCAGTGGACATCTGAGAAGTTATGATATGGATAGCAGTAGTACGTGACCTTTTCTACCAGGCACAGATTTAAAGGTGCTGTTAACAGTTCACATACAAAATATTATTCAGTGCATACCCTTTCCATCTCTACTTCAGGTATCATTAGGTGCAAAAGCCTAGGCAAATACATAATTCATGAATGAAAAGTGGAATTTTTAAGCTTCTAGAATACAAAATCAGACATTTTCACCTGCAGTGTGTTGTGCTCTGCTGCAAATCTGCTTTCATATTCTTCTCCCTATAGCAATCTACTGTGGAGAGAGGAACATGAAGGAGGGAGACCTAACCTCAGCAACTTTTGCATATAAACTTTACTTCCTTAAAATCCAAACTAAAGTTTAAGTTGCAGCAATGCATCTAAAAAAGGGTTCTTGCTGGGCTAACAAGACACACTCTTGTTGAGCCTATGCATTTGGGAGTATACACTTCCTTAATACATTTAGCTTCAGACTTGAACTGAATATTTAAGCTCTCAAATGTTGGAGGAGAGATTTTTTGATGATGTATTAGGAGGCTTCTGGTAACTGACGTGTGGGAAAGGGATGCTTATTATTGCTGAGTAATCCTTCTTTGGCTCTAGGTATCAACACAGAATTGTAACAGAGGAGATCAGCTTTCAGTTCCCTGATTTCTCCCCCATGCATTTTATTGGACACATCATTTAAAAACTATGGTGGAGATCCCATCATAAACTCTCTGCAAAAAAAGAGTTTGTATTACGGGCTTAGCACTGGAGTATACTTTCTCCTTGCAGCTTCTCATTCACTGTTCCTAACTTCTGACTTACAAGCAATATGTTGACCATGAGACTAGACAAAATTAGAATGTTAAAATGAAGGAGAACACAGACCTATAGTGTAGAGTTTCCTTGGTACATTATTTGCTCATTTTTATTTTCTAATGGACAGAGAAAAATGAAATTATATGTAGGTGCCATTGTCATATCATCTATAATTATTTACACTGAAGTGATTGATAGATATCCCTATCCACCAGATCACAGTCCATTGGGAAAAATCCTTCTAGTGAGTGGGGCATAAAACTACTTGTTCTGAAACTCTACTTAGAGGTTATGAACTTGCATGTTTTGAAAATGCAAACGGTTACCCAAATGCTTTCACCTGTGCAAGTGTTTTCGTCAATGAAAGAGAAGGCAATTGCTCATTTTCACATATGCACATGAAAGTGAACAACTGGTTTAGGGTAAAAGTCCTGATTTATGCAGCATCTCAGTTTAAATTCCTCATTTTTTCCACTTCCATTTTTATCTACTGGAAAATTCTGATATGAAAAATGCATAGCTGCTGTTCAGACCTTGAATTCTCACCAGGGAGGCAGGAATGCTCTTGGAAAGATTTGGAGTTCAGATTTATAGCTTAAGCGCAAAAACTTTTAGTATTAAGGCTACCTAAGGACCTGTATCATTTGTATCCTCTGTGTCTATATAGGAAAAGGATCAGAGGATTCCCTTCACACTTCTTACTCAAAGCCTTCCTCTTGCCCTTTAAAAGCCACGTAATTTGTGACGTAGAGGTCAGCTCTTTATTGCCCTATTCTCCTGAAGTAATCTGATTGTATATTCTGGCCAAAATAACAGAGTACATTTTACTTAGTATGTGATGTTTTCACTGCTTGCAAACTGTAAAATATCTTAATAGTGTAACACTTTTCTTTTTCCATCAAACTGTAACAGTCTATATATTGTTTCAAGGATTTTTATTCCCAATACATCACTCAACTCTGACAGTTTCAGTGAATTTGGAAAGCAGCAGATGTACGATCTTTCCACTAGTTTATATAATTTAGATTTGAATTTCTGCACATAATACTGAATAAGAACAGCAGTGTTGTGCAATTTGTGCTCAGCATCATGTTTTCAGCTTGTTAGAAGAAAATGCACTAAAATAGCAAGTGTAAATAGAAGCAATGATATAACTTGATAGTATGTCATCTATGAGCTTCCCTTGCTTTTATTAAGACATAGCAGAACTTTGGCACGCCTTAGATGCACTAGAAACTGGTAGTTTGGTTCATTCAGACCCTTTTGAAACACTGGTTCCTGGCACTGCCACAGTGAACAACTGACATGATGCTACTGTTCATTTTTAAAACTAGCATGTTTTCTTCATTGGTAGAAGCTCCTTTTTGGCCCTAATTCTGACCTGATTTTTACTTCTCTAAGGAATAGATATGATCCAAACTTTTACCCTATAAATAATATTTTCCTAAACTAGCAGTTACTAAAATCAATGGCTGTACAAAACTTGCAACTGCTAAGGAAACTCAAGGATTTAAAGTATGAAGCTTTGCTGACATTGGGACAGAAGCAGATTCTTTGATTGTAAGTTTCATTAATTTTAATTTTAATTCTCTTCAGGGGATTTCAAGAATTTGGTTTTACACTGCCTTATGCAAGTTTTTATGTACTCAGCATCATTCAGCACAGCTGCCTACTGAAGTAGCGCAGTAAAATTCGAATGCAGTTGTGCATCAGATTTTACCAGCACAGAAGAATAGTGACTTTGTGCTAGGAACAGACTTGTACATTCATTTTTCTGTAAATGCTGTATTTTAATGAAATGGTGCTTTTTTCTGGTTTGGCACTGAAAGCAAGTGTACTCACCAGAGGCCCAGGAGGGCCATCCTGACCTGGCGCTCCAGGTAGACCTTGTTCTCCCTAAAAAAAAAAAACATAAAGTTTGCTTTACCAGAGGATATACAAGAAATGCAACATTTATATTATTACTATATGCTCTGTTTACTTACCACAGGGCCAGGAATGCCCCGGAGACCCTCTGGGCCAGGTTTTCCTGCAGGTCCTTGTGGACCAACAGGGCCTGTTTTTCCAGGAGCCCCCTCTGCACCAGGTTCACCCTAGAAAGAACATAGCAACAGAGATCAGATAGGAAGAGCTGGCTAAGCTTGGCACTGTAGGGAGATACAAGCTGCAAAGTGAGATTCAAGTTTCTTCACTCCTTTTTTTAGAAGCTATTCTAGAAACAGTGTTCTGTACAGGACAGGTTTGTGAACAGTATTTTGATAGCTTCATATAAAGATGTGGTGCTGCCAGTAAAGCAGGCTCATCTTGCTTTTCTGCAGCGTGAGCTAAGTTGGGCCTGCACTGTGAGAGTCCACCATGTACTACTCCATTATGTACTGATACTAATTCTGGAGTTAAATTTGGTTTGTCCATTATTGTTTTGGCTAAGTTTCACATTCAGTGCATGAGAAGGAATTTCCTTTTCATTTACATACAGTGTACATTTAAATGCTCCCCCCAAAAATTTTGACTGTAATACCTTGGCACCTTTTTCGCCTTGTCTGCCTTCAGCACCAGTTGCTCCTGGAGGTCCCTGTAAAATATGGAGACAAAGCTTACAACCTCAGGTTTCTAAAATACTGCCAGTGGAAAAAACTCTGAGAATGTGATTTCTACTGTATTAATAAGTAGTAAATACTAACTAAAGAACATTAAATTTCTTTTTTTGGCGTTTAATTCACAGGATAAAAATCCCAATCTGTCATATCAGCCGGTTTTCTCTTGATAAAACTTTCTGGATTTTTAGAATAGCTGAAAGAATATACCCTGTCAGTGTTGAAGGCCAGGTTGGATGAGGCCTTGGGTGATATGGTTTAGTGCGCGGTGTCCCTGCCCATGGCAGGGGGGTTGGAAGTTGATGATCTTAAGGTCCTTTCCAACCCTAACTATTCTATGATTCTATGGTTCTGTACATCACCTAACACCTCTGATATGATTAAAAACAATAAATAGCTTGGAAAAATCGAAACAGGATATAAAAGGAACAGTGCTAATTTACATATACGGTAACAGTTTTAAATTTGCTTTGCATTGGTTTCTACCTATTCATTGTGGGACAGAATGGCATTTAATTCTTTATTCTAAGTCAGGGATGGTCTTAGTAAGCATTTGATGATATCTGGACAGCCAAAAGTTGATACATGCCTGAATATTATCCAGTAAATATGGAAGAGGAAAAAAATAATCATGAGTAGAGGTTGTAAGGAATGAAATGAAGACACTGACTACAAGTAGCTCTTCTTACCAGTTTCCTTGGTACCCTGGTACCTGGATACTGGTTTACAAAAGTTCTATTTGACTAAGAAGACACAACTTGGTACTGCAGGAGGATGTAGAGATGAGATTAGGTTCAGGTGAATGCCACAAAACCGGAGCTGTAGTCATATGGAAGTACTTCTAATACCTATTTCTGATGTCACCCACCTTCCATTTTCTTAAGGTTTCAATGAAAAAGAAAACTATATTTTTCTCCTCAAAAACATTAAGGGGTTGTTTTCAGGTCAGGGAACTAATATTCATAGCTTCAGTTATGAACAAAAGCAGTATCTAGAATCTAACGTACTCTGCTGAAAATGGTTCTCTTATACAGTTTAGAAAAAGATGCAGTCAAGATAATAGACCAACTGTTTCCTAGGAGGTTAATTTTTAGCATGGGAAATATCTTTATTACAAATGGCCATTTCTTGCCAACCAATGAGCAGCTTAAAGCAAAAGGAAAGTACAGGGACTATGATCAAATACAAGGTGATCTTCTGAATTTACAAGCTTACTTCCTAAGACTCGGCTATTCATTAATGCTGCAAGCAGTTTGCTATGTAGAAATTTATTTACTGCTTTTTACTTCAAAACAAGAGGTAATAAAAAAAATGCAAGTCCCTAAACCGCATTCTTAATTTTACAGATGAGACCTGTTTTTACAATCAAGCATGAACCTGTATGCTTTGTGAGTTCTGGGTTTTAGACTACAGTTTGACCTAAAAGCAATTTTTTATACTAGAGCCGAGTTTAGCCTAAACTTTTTATAGCTTAATATATTCCATCATCCATTGTTATTGGCACATATCCTGAGCAACTCAACCAGTTTTAATGTACTTCCTGGAAATATATATTCTTTTTATAACTATTTCCATAGAAGTATACTAAGATCATTCATTTGCTTCTGAAATAAAGCTTTCTCCAGGGTGGAACTGTACATCAGCAGCACTGCATGAACCTTCTGGCCAACAGAGACAGTTCATAGGATCACAGAATGGTTTGGGTGGGAAAGGACCTTAAAAACACCCAGTTCCAACGCTCCTGCCATGGGTAGGATGCCTCACACTTGACTATGTCACCCAAGACTCCATCCAGCATGGCCCTGAACACTGCCAGGGATGGAGCATTCACCTCTTCTTTGGGCAACCTGTGCCAGCACCTCACCACCCTCATGGTAAAGAACTTCCTTAGATCTAACCTGAACTTCCCCTGTTTAAGTTTGAACCCATCATCCCCTGTCCTATCTCTGCAGTCCCTGATGAAGAGAAGTTCGGGCTTTCCATCAAAGGTAATGCAGTATGATTTGAATTACCCACAGTGGACCTTGGCCATTTGTTTGGGTATCAAAAGGCTGTTCTCTTTGGTGTTTTTCAGAGCTGTAACTGGTAAAGGACTGAATTTCACCTCTTCAAAATACAGAGAAACTAAATAGCCCTGGGCAGTGTGAGCAAGTTGCTCGCTCTTTAAAACAGGAAGAATAATTCAAATTACTCCTGTTCCAGTAATAATCTCCAGTGCATATACCCCTTCGTGTAGACTGCAATTAGCTGGGTGGATTGCAGTTTGCAGCGGGAACAAGAAAACTGATTAGCAGGTATATAAACAAACTCAGGAGCATTTTAGAAACAGGACCTTTTTGTTGTTGTTGCATGAATTAGTTTGCATGCCCATTGTATTTACTGCATGAAAACTCCTTGCACTCAAGTTCCCATATGGATTATAATCTACCTAAGAAACCAAAAAGGGTTGAGTGTTGTAATTTGTGTTTGAGAAATATGGTCTCTGCCTAATCTAGAAATGCAGCTGCAACATGAATTAACAGGGCTAAAAACACTGTGATTGCTAAATTACAAATACAGTGAATCATGATTGCTAAACAAAGGGGGTGCAGTCGTTATCAAACAGTGCCAGTGCAAAGCATCTCAATAAACTGCTCTTTTTAACAGGCTGTGATTGCTGGCATGGCACAGATGGTGCTTCTACACAGAAAGACTGCTAATTATTATTTATCTTACCTTCCTACACTTGAGCTGTTGGGAGTGTCTGGTAAATTTTAACTGACAAAAAAGATACCCATAACAATAATTTTAACCTGATGCAAGGCTTCCCACCCTCACCACCCCAGCTATCATGATGATTTTTATGATTACACTTTAAATCTGGACCTGATATATTTTATGCAGAACTGAGAAGACAAAGGAACTCATACAGAAAAAAAATTGTCCTCAGTTTTTGTTACATGAACCTAGTGGCCATTTTTGTTTGCTATACTGTATTTCATCATTTGATTAAAATGATTTGGTGTTTATAGCTGTCTGTCATCTAAGACATGAAAAGGAAGTCAAGCAAAAACTCCAGAGGGCCTGCATAGATGAACAAGAAGCTCCTGGACAAAGTCAAACACAAAAAGAAACCTGCAGAGGGTGGAAGCAAGGACAGGTAGGTGGCCTGGAAGGAATACAGAAAATTATCTGAGCAGTCAGGGATCAGGTTAGGAAAGCTGAAGCTCTGACAGAATTAAATCTGGCCACAGAGGTCAAGGGCAACAAGGTAAGCTTCTATAGGTACATCGGTGATAAAGGGAAGACTAGGGAAAATGTGGGCTTTCTCTGGAAGGAAACAGGAGACCTGGCTACCTAGGATATGGAAAAAGCTGAGGTACTCGACAACTTTTCTGCCTGGTCTTCACTGGCATGTTCTCCAGTCACACCAACTAAGTCACAGGAGGCAAAGCTGGGACTGGGAGAATGAAGGACCACTCAATGTAGGAGCTCAGGTTCAAGACCACTTAGTGAACCTGAAGGTGCACAAGCCCATAGGACCTGATGAGATGCACCCATGGGTCCTGAGGCAACTGGCAGATGAAGTAGCTAAGTTGCTATCCATCATGTTTGAGAAGCTGTGGCAGGCCAGGGAAGTTCTGACTGACTGGAAATGGAAAAACTTAAGCCCTGTTGTTAAAAAGGAAAGAAACGAACACTTGGGGATCCACAGACTAGTCGGTCTCACCTTGGTGCCTGGAAACTATATTAAGGCACATGGACAGTAAAGGGGTTATTGTTGACAGCCAACATAGCTTCACACATACATTCTTTTACAGCAGGGTTAAAGTGTTGGTGGATAAGGGAAAAGCAACTGACAGAGTACCTGGACCTAACAAGTCCAAGTAGACATGTACTTGTGCAAAACATATGACACTATCCCGCATGACATTCCTGCCTGGAGAGACATGGGATTTGACATATGGATCACTCTGTGGATAGGGAATTGGCTGGATGGTCACATTCAAAAGCTATGGTCAACAACTCAATGCCAAGGTGGAGACTAGTAATGAGTGGCATTCCTCAGGGGTAGGTATTAGGACTGGCACTGTTTAACACAATTTTGTCAGTGACATGGGACAGTGGGATTGGGTACACCCTTAGTGCATCCTCAGCAAGTCTGATGATGATACAAAGCTGTATGGTTTGGCTGACATGCTGGAGGGAAGGGATGTGATCCAGATAAGGACCTTGACAGGCTTAAGAGGAGGGCCCATGCGACCTCATGAAGTTCAGTAATGCCAACTGCAAGGTCCTGCATGTGGGCTGGGGCAATTCCAAGCACAAATACAGGCTGGGCAGAGACTAGATTGAGAGCAGCCCTGAGGAGAAGGCCTTGAGGGTGTTAGTTGTTGAGAAGCTCAACATGACCTGAGAATGTGTGCTTGCAGCCCAGAAAGCCAACTGTATCCTGGGCTGCATCCACAGCAGCATGCCTGGCAGGTAAAGGGAGGTAATTCGCCCCCTATTTACTGTGAGGGGGGTGAGACACTGGCACAGGGTGCCCAGAGAAGCTGTCGCTGCTCCATCCTGGCAGTGTTCAAGGCCAGGTTAGAAAGGGCTTGGAGCAACCTGCTCTTGTGGAAGGTGTCCCTGACCATGGCAGGGGGTCAGAATTAGATGAGCTTTAAGGTCCCATCCAACTCAAGCCATTCTATGATCCTTTTGTGAGGTTGGCAAATTTAACCTTTTTTTTCTTTTCAGCAGATAGAGAAATTCAGGCACCAATATTACAAATGTTTAACAGTCATATAATGACAAAGAATTAGAAGAGGGGTTTCTATTTCCAAAGCTATACTAGACTATTTGTTCAGCTTGGAATGTAATATAAATGCATGTAATGCCTCATGTTTTCTAGAGAATCTGGGCTGATTTCCATCAGTTGAAAACTTGTCAAGGGATCTGATGAGAGGAAGATATGCTGATGAACAGCAGCCATTCCTAACTCAGACAGAACTGGTAAGGCTAGCACTGGGTCCTGGACAGATGAGAAGTCTAGTTAGCCATTTGCTGTGGACTACCTCTACCAAACAGCTTACTGTACTGGATATTTTTAGATGTATAAAGTGAATGTAACAGCCAATGAAGCAACAGCCATTATGTCAAGCCTCTGAGGTCCTGATCTGGTAAGATGCTTAAACAGAGGGGAAGAGGGGAATAACAGAATGAATAAGGAGACTGTATAGCAGAGGAGGTCAAGGGACTATGTTTAAAAGTATGAATGCTGGGCTCTGTCAACCTGTCATTTCAGAGAAAGAAAAACAAAAAGCTGGGGTGGAATCTTGCTTTCTAGTAATACCTACAGCTGCCACAGCTGCACCTCCACAGACAGCCGTACTGCTACTAAATGGTATGTCCTTCTAAATACAAAGGAAGGTCACTTGTTAGGGCTTTTCGTTGCAATTGATTCTACCATACAACTGATGAAAACCTGTTTGTGTTCATTCTGCTTCTGAAGTATGCAGTTTTCAATCCTTACTTGTTTCTCTCTGGTACAGTATCAATACAATACAGATTCTCCACATGCTTGAAACATTCAGGTGCTTAAGTAATGTAAAATTTGATTCTGTAAAATATTTTCTTCAGAATTCAGGAATGGGATTACCTGGCAATATTTAGCTATACATTCTCCCTAAATTGGAATTGTGTCAGACTACAGGGTGTGCTTGTGAAGTGTTTTTAGTCTAGGTACAATCAGATGCAATATATCCCATCTGTTTAGGAACGAGCTAGTGCCTTTCCATATAATAAAGTAGGAAGTTCTAATTTGATGTCGAACAAACATACAAATTGTTAAAATTCCACCGAGCCGTATTTCAGTTCTAGTGATAAGGTTGCTAATGCTACTATAATAATTTACAGTATTATCAACGTTTTGCAAGCTGGTGTAGCAAATAGATTATTGGGTAACTTAGAGAAAACTAATAAGGCATGTCAGTTCAATCAAGCCTATTAAATAGAGCAGTTTAAGGCATTTTGTTAAATAGCTATCAGCTTACATTTCATGATGCCCCCTTCCTTGCCTTCTAAAGTGTAAAAGCTGCATGTAAATGCTCTCTAAAGGTTCATGCATCTACTACAGTTCTGTAAGTGTAACATTATTTACTGGTTTTGATTAGCTATATTTGTAAAGCCTGTGAAGCTTCAAAGACCTTAGAAATACGGAACAGCTTCGTAAGTTACAGAAATGTCTGCTTGTTAATTCTGTATGCAGAGGAAATGATACAGAATTGCACAAAAACTGCACTGAAATGATTCTATTTCAGAGACACCAAAGCACACACATTCTTCCTGTACCCTGCTAACAATCATGAGCCTGCGGATGGTGTCTTGTATTACGCTCATAATCACTCACTCCTAATGAGTGGAGACTTAAGAATTAGTCTCCTTAGGCGACTAACCCATCAGACACTAAATTCTTACCCTAGCAGACACTGAATTCACTTGGGTGGACAGAAAAAGCATGTTTATAGGTAAGGAATAAATTATTTCCTGTTTATTCTTTTTCCCCATGTTCAAGGGTTTTGTCTGCTGTTTCTGTTTTTTCACTTCTCACATTACTTAGAAGAAACTTCAGACATCATCTATGACTGTCACAACATAGAAAACAAGTAGGTGACATTGTCTACAAGATGGTGTCTCAGAAAGAGACATGTGCAAGAAAATTACTTACTCTTTTTCCAGGCGGACCAGGTGGACCAGCTTCACCTGAAGGACCCGGTGGACCCTGCAATGAAAAATGATCTGCTCAGTGGAAACAAAGGATAAAGTTTGGATAAATCTTTACTAAACACAACAAACATCAGCAATATGTTGGCCCCTTTCAAAGGACAGAAAGTAAGCACCATAAATACACACAGAGAAGTATACAAGTATATTCAATAAATCCTTTCTTAGGGTAGTCTTTTGAAACTTTTAACAGCTTTTGTTTCTGTACGAAATGTAATTCCTCTCTTTCTACCTGCAAGACATTTCAAACCAGGAAGTGGCTACATAGAAATAACGTATGTCTTAGCCTACTAGCTAGCTCTATTAAGAAGTTTCCCTTTCTCAAGTGCTGAAGTCATTACTTTTGTTAAATATTTTCATTAACATTTGTTAATGGGCGCTCTTCCCCTGAAAAATCTTTTGTGCACTGATAGCCATTTGGCTATTCCATCTTGGTAATCTATGATAGCTCTTAAACATTTCAGGGTTGCTGAACAATTTGATAAGCTTTCCTTCAGGAACTCTAAAAGCGCTTACTGTTAAAGGAAGACATACAGATACTGATTTCATGAAGCTTGCAGCTAAACCCCAGTTTATAACTTACTTCCAACCTCAATGTACTACCATTTTTTTATTTTCAAGCAGACCTGTATAAGATAATTCCCTGATAAGCATCTATTTAGAAAGTATTTTTAAGTACATGAATGTATAGAACCCACTGATTCAGCATGAGATACTCTCTTAGCATAGGAGAGAACATGCAGCTGAAATAAAATGACAAGAGACAACTCACAGGTTGACCAGGATCACCATCTTCACCCTTCTCTCCACCAACACCATCTTGCCCCTACAGAAATCACAGAAAAATAAACCAAATAAAAAATTCAGCTAAATTAACTTAGTTTCATAGATGAATATAAAAACTATTTTTCTACAGAGCATTTTCTTAAAGACACTAATCCTAAACTTTTTAAAGATTTCTAAACCTTTTTTAAGCCTTAAGAAATATATGAACAGAAAAGCAACAGATCTTAAAGGCAAGACCGCATACCCAGACAAGGAAGAGGCAGGATTAACTAGAATTTAATGCAAACCAGGACTAGGACCTATACCTGTGTTTTTTTTTAAGTATACTTACAGCTGGACCAGGTTCACCAGGGGGACCAGGATCCCCAGGAAAACCAACTGGGCCCTAGATAAACAAGGAACATGTCATCCATTGGCAAGCAGTCAGCAATCAACACAAGTATTTTATGAAGCATATAATGAATTTAGTTCAAATGTGGAAAATTATATACAGTTCTATACGTAGCATAACTTCGGCAGTGCTTCATAGTGCTTTATATGAAAACTATTAAGCTAACTTACTGGGTTACCCTTAGGTCCATCATCACCTGGAGGTCCTTTAGCACCTGGTGGTCCAGCTGCTCCAGGTGGACCAGCCTCACCTTTTTCTCCCCTTTCACCTTTTGGACCCTGTGGAAAACATATAAACCAAAAAAAGTAATCTGAAAATTGAACGGCAAAAAAAAAAGATCACAGTGGCAAAACCGTTTGTCAGACCTAGTCAATGTTGCTCCTCACTAAATGCTGGCAAGTAAATGGGAAAATAGGGCCTCAGCCTCAGGTTGGAAAACCTGTGAATCTCAGGTGAAGTGCCAACACCTGCACCCAATTCACGTCCATGAACTGTCTTCAGAGAGAAAAATGTGTCAACTGCATGTCAAAGTTAATACATTTGGGAGAAAAATAGGTATTCTTTTAAGAAGTCTTCAGCTTTGTCCTCTAGTTATTACAAGATATAGCTACAATTCTGCAGAAGCAAACTGCATTTTAAAGCTGTAAATCCTTCACTGAAAATGTAAAGAAAATGTACACAAGTAATCTGATGAAATGCTTTCTAAAGTAAGCACTACCAAATACCTTCATTCACCGTATTAAGTGTTAAGAATAAAACTAACCCAAAATACTCACAGATGTTCCAGATTCTCCAGGAGGTCCAGGGTTACCAGCTTCTCCAGGTTCACCCTGTAAATTTGTGAGGATATATTGATGAGTCATTAGGGAGGATATTTCTGTGAATTTACTTGTTATTACAAATGCTTCTTGTGCTTGTTCATGTTAACAGCTTACAAGAACTGTCTTATATTTGGTCTACCTAAAGGGTGTTGAGTTACACATGGGTTTGCAGAAAGGGAATCTGAAATTTTAGAGAGAATATAGCAAACTAAGCTTTTAGTGAGCTTGGAAGACTAACCTTTCCTTTGGGCTTTGCCCCTTTATTATCCCATATATTGCAGATTTCTTCTTTGTCATCTTTCTTTCTTTCTTGTCACAGAAAAGCCAAAGAAGTATACTGGCTGTGTATTTTTTTTTTCTTTAGAAGACACATTTTGCATGGAAGCAAGTTTCTACAAATAAGAGGAGGCTAATTGGAAATGAACATCAGTGGAGTGAAGATACTATTGCTGCTATTATATAAAGGAAAATATAAGGATAAAATAATAGTTGTTAGCTCGTAAAACTTTCACCACAAGCTATAAAGCTGTACACTATGATTTACTGGTGATGGAAATTGTTTAATAAAGGAGATGGCTTTGAGGATGAAACCGTATGAAGGAAATCTGTGCAACTCAAAGTTACACACTATTAAGTGAACATTTAAGTTAATTCAGTCGCTTTTTGAGATAATACACAGTATTAACCCAAAGTCTGCCTTTGCAATTGTTCATTTTAATGTTTAGCTATGACTGATTATTTTCTAGATCAGTGGTCTGATAAACCTTTTTTGAAAACTACTGCGTTAATAGAATATTTAGCTATTAGCATCACAGACACACAAAGCTGTGAACAGATAACAGAATCTGCTTTGTAATTGCCATGGAGTGCTGAGATGAGAACTAGTATGTTTTTATTCCAAAGGATTTCTCAATGTAATGGAGGGATATTTTTCCACCATAAATATTCTTTTTCCAAACCAAATGATCCTTGCCAATAATTACACCTATAAACAAGAGTAGAGGTGCTGAAAATGCATTTCACCCAATCCTATCTACTGAACTCAAAGACACATTCAGAATAAATCTGTGTCCCCTCATATCATAGAATCATAGAAGCATAGAATAGTTAGAGTTGGAAAGGACCTTCAGATCATCAACTTCCAACCCCCCTGCTATGGGCAGGGACACCTCGCACTAAATCATCTCACCCAAGGTTTTGTCCAACCTGGCCTTGAAAACCACCAGGGATGGAGCATTCACAACCTCCCTGGGCAACCCATTCCAGTGCCTCACCACCCAAACAGGAAATAATTTCTTCCTTATATCCAATCTAAACTTTCCCTTGTGTAAGTTTTAACCTGTTACCCTTGTCCTATCACTACAGTCCTTCATGAAGAGTCCCTCCCCAGCATCCCTATAGGCCTGTATGACCTGTACACCCCTCTTCATTCTATGACAAATCAATTAATACAACATGCACACCTGGCATTTCCACCTGGACTGTAAAAAAGTATAAATTATAAACTATTAATTTTACAAGAGTCTCATGGTATAGATACTGAACTTTTTTTTACAGAAGCTAATGGCAGCACGATGATTTTTCTGGGACCAGAATCTGGCCCAAAGTAAGCATTATGTTAGATGAATGGAAGAAGATCTGAGTACCCAACTGAATTCAAGATTAGGATAAATAACAGATAGCCACAATTTTAGGAGCAATATTAAAATGCCTTTAGAAAGGGCACTTTGAAAAGGTGAATCTGCCTTTAGAAACCGTGGTGTGTTTTATTAGACATATTTGTATTTGCAGTAATTCAATAATTAATGATGCCTTTTAGTACTTGTTGTGGTTTAATACTTATTTGCTTCTGTGATACAGCATTCATTATATAAAAAAAAAATCTAGTGAATATATCAGGTCAATAAGCATTAAGTATGTTTTCTAGAAAAATTCATGATCTTCAATTCCTTATCCTCTGTATGGGCTTTACTGAACCTGCAGCATTAGCAGTATTTTTGTTCACTCCTATTATTAATGTGAATGGAATCAAATTCCATCTATATAGCAACAGAGAATAAGGTCTGGAATTAGCAGATATTCAAGTTAGTAGATGTATCAAACAGAGTACATTATATTGACCCTTTCAACAGGTGTCCCCATCACAGGACGGAGTGACATAAGAGCACTAATTGTGCCAAGTCTTTCCTGACAAGCATTTGTACCAATACAATACCCTTCTAAGTTTCTCATTGAGTAAGTTCTTTCTTTGCCTTTGTGATTATGATGATTCGCATTTGATTTCTAATGCACTTTTTACCCTTCCCATTGACAAACACATTTTCATTTTATGACATGATGCAACAAGAGAAAAGATGGGCTTTCTACAACATAATGATCTATACTTGGGGACAACAGAGGAAAACTGTGCTCCTGGGATCTCAGGGTCCCTACTATAGCACGCATGTCAAAACTGGAAGATTGAGGCAACCTATATAAGCTCTGTGCATAGTAACTCCCCGATAAGCAGCAGTGTGGAAAACAGTAAAACTGGAGAATGTCAAAGATGTTCCCCTTAAAGGTCATCTGTAAAAGATGAGACCAGTTAAAGTTTCATCTCAGATTAACACTTCTAAATCATTGCTCTATTAAAAAATATTACTCTTCCCTGTATGAAGTCCTTGTTTCTTCTGACACTGGTTTTTATATTCCAAATATTAAGTTCCATAAAAAGTTGTACTAGTTTTAGACAGCTGTTATAGGAGCTAAGCAATGTTTTGATAGAGAAGACTGTAGCTGATATATATTTACAGAGTGCATATTTATAGCTACAAAACCCTGTGTGACCTGTAGGTTATTGTTTGCTCTTGTCATTCTTTGCATTTTTAGTAAAGACGGTATTAATTCAGGATCTGATGCACCTTATTCATGGCAAATAACTCATATTCTTTTGGGAAATAGATTTTATGATCTAATAATAAATTTATTCCACCTCTGCTACCTTTTTATCTTTTGATATTGGATCAGATCTTTTAATAGATAGGCAAAGCCTTCCTCTGACAGAATTTCAACAAGCAAAGACAGACATTTTAAACTACAAGGAGTCATGTAATTTCATGGACATGTTTAATTCTGAAAACCTCCTCGGATTAACTAAGCAGAACGTTTGCCATCAGGCTAAGGACAGTAGTGTAAAAGTCCTTTGTTGTCTTTATTATGACCAGTTCTAGAGAACTGTCCATACAAGGCACAGACAGAGAAATTGTGACTCTAGAATCCCTTTTCACACTGGTATGCATATGTGACTGTGTTTATATATATATATATATATATACACATATATTTATATATATATATAAAAAATGGCTCTATGGAGAGTTAGATTTAATCAAGAGAAAAATTCTAAAGCTGTGCTGTATTTTCTGGGAGGGCTTATGTTTACAAGCATGTTGGAATGATGGAGAAAGATGAAAAGAGATCACAGTCAGTGAGTTCATGAAAAGTTATTAAAAGTAATTTGTTAGGATAGATACTCAGGTAGCATAAACTGTGACAGACACATCTTGATTAAGTACCTTAGCAACTGTCTACGCAGAGGTGTGTGGAAAAATGATACCCCCACATAAAGATGCCTATGCAAACTTATCAGATGTGGTTTAAATCAGACGTAATTGATTTTGTCCTCTCACTTCCATCTGCAGTAGAAATCAATGGCTGATTGAGCATGTAAAAAGTATTGATTTCACTTATTTACTGTGTGGGACTCCTTATTACTGTACTGTTTTAAAAATAATTTTAGAATAACATAATAGGAAGGAGGATAAATCCAGATGAATGCAGTGGTTTTCTAACCAGACTTACATACAGTAAACCAGATCTAAACTCTGAGAGGCTGCAGAAAGAATACTTAGGTTCTGCAGACATTCATTTTGCATTACTCATTGACTCTGTGAGTTTAACACATGCTGTGGCCTCTGGTACAAAATTAGAGAAAAACACGTGTTGGTCCATTTTGTTTTTCTGCTTTTTCTTAATTGTAAACACAACAAAGAGAATGATTTCTGTGGGGAAGCTAGATTCAAGTACTTCTAGAGTGCAATTCTCAAGACTTCTAGACCAGTCCATGAAAGCTACTGGCATTAATAACGCAAGGCTACATGCACATCTGTACTGAAGATGTCTTTGAACATTTAGGCCTTTGTACGTACAGCAGAGGAAACAAAAAATTACTTAACAGTAAATGGCACTATGGGTTACAAAAAATGTTTGTAATTTGCCAGAAGGAGGCTTTGAAACCCCAGTATCAGTGACAAAATCTCTCCTAGTCTAACCATTCAAATATGCAAGTAAGAAAATTTATTTCACTCCTCCACAGTGACAGGTTAGAACATCTGACACTTTTCCACACTCTCTACAATCAGCAGTGCATTGCATTATCTATAGTGTGCTTTGTCTTTCCTGAAAGAGATGTAGGGGCCAAAGCATGATGATGTAGTAAGAAGAGCACTGGGGAACAAATGTGTGGGAACAAATAAGAGAAAAGGCATGTTTTGTTGAAAAGTGTGAACTATGCTCCCACTGCAGGAACTCCTACAGACAAAACAACTGTTCGTGATTTCTATGCTTGCAGAGCTTATTAAAAGGAACTGAAATTAAGAAGGAAGGTATCCTAACTCAGAAAAAAAACAGCATGTACTAAAACTTGATCAGGAGGAAAGTCATTAGAATAAATTAAAACTTCCAAAATAATGTATTTGGAAGCTTCTCTGTGTGAATGCAGAGAACATGGGAAATAAGCAACAGGAAATAAAAATGACAACCAGTGATAAACAGTCTGAATTTCATGTTCTTGAATTAAATCTGGTGAGATGATTATCACAAATAGGGATTCTAAATCACATAGAAGGGAGAAACAAAGGCATAAGGAGCTTAAATAAGTCAATGTTTTAACAAAAGGACTGGAACATAATTTGATCATGAAACAGTAAGAATTAAGAGTAATGCTTGAAACCAATTGCAAAATTCCTATTGACTTCAATGGGCCACATACTATAGAAAGTGGGGGTTTTTTTTACAGCAGTGAACAGAATAGCTGCTCCCCTGGATGTGGTGTTCTCATAATATACGTTTTCTCACTACCCCAGTGGTCACAGGAAGAATTTTTCTTTCCCTAGTGACATTTGTTTCTGTTTCACTGACATACACACTTTTTCTAATCACTTTTTTTGCCATCTCTACCAGCTCTAATATTCAGACACATTTTTGGTACTCTTCCCAGAGAGAAAACCAAATCCTACATCCTTCACAAGGCAAAGCTCTCTTTTAAAATAGTCTGGAGGAACAACATCACAACACTGGGAGATGAGAGGGAATATCCTTGTTAATAATGCACCCAAGCAGAAGGATATATTTTGTATGATTTATGAAATTCGGGGTAAAAAGTATTGAAGACCTAAGAATGCCACTGCTACGTAACAGGTGAGCTGATGCTCAGAGCCACAACCTGAGAAATGGAATGAAATGAAGCACTGTCAGCTTAAGAAATGACAGAGCTACCATGAATAAACTACAGTGTAGTTTCAACTGCTTGGGCCCAGTACCCTTTAATCTCAAAAGATGAAGAAAGACAAAGTAGTATACTTTTCCATCAAGCCGTATATCATATTGCATCATTCTAGTACTCTCTTCACCACATCCCAGAGCACTGGTAAGTAGAAAAAAATCGTAAAACATCCAAATATTCTATTAAAAAGAATAGTTTGGTCATACTGATAATAAGTTGTTGATTCCTTTTAACATGACCCTAATATAAGTGAAGGTCTATTTAAAGGTAACAAGTAACACATTTCACATTTTTAGTGAAAAAAACAGACATACAACCAAAATTTTAATGGTAGATGTCAACAGTATTGAAGAGCATTGTAAGAAAGATCTTTTGTCATCACAAGGGAACAAGCTTGTAGGACGAACTGCAGATTTTCGTTATATTTATTATTTGTCATACAAATGATCCTGTGAAAATAATGGCAACTTCCTTATCTTCTGAAAAGAAGGAATACCTAAAGGCTCTGTGAAGCAGAGTGACATGCTTTTGGACAGTGATCAAGATGATGATAATGACAAATATAAGTGATTTTGACTGAATTGATACCTGAGTCATTACTTGTAACTTCATAGATCTGATGGATTTGTACCTAGAGGTACAATACAGGTATACAGAGCACTGGAACAGGTTGCCCAGGGGGGTCATGGAGTCTCCTACCTTGGAGATATTCAAGGCCCACCTGGACAAGTTCCTGTGTGATGTATTCTAGGTTACCCTGCTCTTGCAGGGGGCTTGGACTAGGTATCTTCTGAGGTCCCTTCCAACCCTTGGGATTCTGTGATTCTGTGATATAGTGTCAAAGAGAGAGTATGTACGTGGATAAGTTAAAAGAAGCAGAAGTTAAGACTTCTGAAGTGCTGAAATTCAGTAGTGGTATATGAAGAAGATGAAGAAAAAGGTATTTGATAGGACAAGGAAGAAAAGGGGAAAACTTGCTTCATATTCTGAAAGGTTATCAATAGAGTCAGCTTTAGCAATACTGGCATTCCAAAGGATGTCTTTTCTAGGATTCATTACCATCACTGCTTCTTTGAATACATACGATATGTGGTAAATATTTAAATATGAGAAATCTACATAGTTTCTCAATAAGTTATTTATACAGTGGCCTTGAATACATTTATGTTCTGTTTCCTTCACCTTATACTCCATTCAAAATCCAAATTTAGAGAAAATAAATTGTATTAAATCTATAACATTACAATAAAATGCTTTTAGGTTTACATGCATGATATGGCTCAGGTCATCTAACTTGGTAAAATAAACAGAAATAGGAATTCAAGAGACTTTTGAATTTTCTGTTTGCTCACTATTTTATAATAGTTTACAATGGCAATTCAAATAAATCACACACAAAAAAGCCATTTAAGAAAAGGAAAGCATATTATAAGCTCTTTGGGCAAGATAAGAAGTTAAAAAAAAATATCACTACATATATTGGTAGGACATTTTCTGAATAAAGAAATGTAAACAGCAATTAAAATACTTTGAGAAATGCATGTCATATAGCGTCACTCTAAAGGCAAGTTTTCAAATAGCACAAATCATCCTCAGACATTTGACTTTATTGGAACTATCTATCCATATGAGGAACAGATATATATTGAGGCTTAAGGTCTGCTTCACTTCATAGGTATGTTTACCACTGATATGTTCTATAACAGTTTATAAAGTTCCAGACAAAGGAGTATATGATATTCTAAGACCCACAAGTATAACATGAAGAATACTTGAAGCCAATAATGTTACCGTAGACATCAAATTATGCAGTTATGGAAATCACCATAACCTTACTTTAACCCTTTACCCGAAAGCTACGTTTTCTACTCCAAAGCTCTTTCCTCTGATTATAAGATATTTTTGTGATGTAAAATGCAAAATAAAAAGACCAGCAGTGGTAAGTCAGCCATTAGGAATATAGCTAGATAACTATTCACAGTGGTTAATAGTCAATGAAGGATATTTAGGAACTGTAATATATCTATATAGCTCTAAAGAAGAATTCAAATGTATAGTCATATTCTATTCCAATGATTTCTCTTTCTGGGAGGTTATTATTGATACTCACCTTTTCACCAACACCTCCAACAGAGCCAATTGAGCCAGGTGGTCCTTGAGGACCCTAAATAATAAAAAATATTAGTTATCCCAAATATAGTTATCCACAGTATAGTGCTTATTACTGAATTACTGAGAGAACAAAAAATATGTTAATTCTTACATCAGCTCCATTAGGACCCTGGGGACCTCTTGGACCTGGAGGGCCAGGTGGACCCTGTATCAAAGAGAAAATTTTATATAGTTACATTCACAATGGGGCTTATGTGGCCAATGAAAAATAATATGCTTGATCTCTATAGGGATTTTAACCTTTGTACTGCTAGACTGCTGCCCATTACATGAGTTCACAATGTGTCAGGGGATCCAGGCTATGCGTATGTAGTACCTGAGCTGGAAAAGATCAGATGCTTAGGACACCTGAGGATTGGTGTTCTGCACTGTATTTTCTCTGCAGGTTACCTGCATAGCCATTGCACTGTGCAGAGACTCTTATATTGCTGGCAACAGCTATGGTGCCTACAGACGGGCAATAATAAAGCGTCCAGGCTTGGCATAGGGTGCTGGGAGGAAAATGTATATTAGATAGCTTGCATTTCAGTTAGGAATTCTGTCAACAGTATAAACTCAAGATCATCCAGAGAAACAGAGTGAACATAGCCAAAGAGTGTTTACCATCTTCTGGCCTGCAATCCCTGCAGCTAAGGTACACTGCCCTGAATTTCAGAAAAGCATCTCCAAACACTCTAGTGCAGTGGTCTCTCCTTTCAGTTGTTCTTTCCTGAACCTACTTGCCATTGTCCTATCTCAGACACACACAGCATCTATTTTGCTACCTAGTCTTTTATTTTCTTAAGTTACTTAAATCTTGATGTAAAAGATGAGGAGATAGATGTGGGAAAACAAAGTAAATGCCAGAGAGAGTTTCTGTTACACAAAATGTTTCATACGCATGCACCAAATGCAGGAGCAGCTTTTCAAATTGTGAGCTACAGAGAAAAGACAGGAATACTGTACTTATGTCCTCCAGAGTGAGTAACACAGAATAAGTCTTACCATTGGGCCCACATCTCCATTTTCACCCTTTTCACCTGGTGGGCCAGGCAGACCCTAAAACATGAGGAGGAGAAAGATATTAGAAGGGTACCTGGAATGATGAGTTATAAATCAATATGAAACAATATAAATCAGATCTACAAGTGAAACTTGGAGAAGAGGGGAGAGGAGGGGAGAGGAGAGGAGAGGAGAGGAGAGGAGAGGAGAGGAGAGGAGAGGAGAGGAGAGGAGAGGAGAGGAGAGGAGAGGAGAGGAGAGGAGAGGAGAGGAGAGGAGAGGAGAGGAGAGGAGAGGAGAGGAGAGGAGAGGAGAGGAGAGGAGAGGAGAGGAGAGGAGAGGAGAGGAGAGGAGAGAGGAAAAAGGAAAGAGGAAGGGGAAGGGGAAAGGGAGAAAAGGAAAAGTAAAGGAGAGGAGAGGAGAGGAGAAGAAAGGAAAGGAAAGGAAAGGAAAGGAAAGGAAAGGAAAGGAAAGGAAAGGAAAGGAAAGGAAAGGAAAGGAAAGGAAAGGAAAGGAAAGGAAAGGAAAGGAAAGGAAAGGAAAGGAAAGGAAAGGAAAGGAAAGGAAAGGAAAGGAAAGGAAAGGAAAGGAAAGGAAAGGAAAGGAAAGGAAAGGAAAGGAAAGGGAAAGGGAAAGGGAAAGGAAAGGAAAGGAAAGGGAAAGGGAAAGGGAAAGGAGAAAGTTTTTTTGGGAAAAAAGGCAAATCAACAACAAAACCAAATAGAAAACTGACACAGAAATGCTGGGATGGGTGACTGACTTTAAAAACACTGCCATCATTATCCAGACCCCAGATGGACATCTAGATAATTTGATTTGATTTATGATATGATGCATATATATGTAAAGAAAACATGACCAGTGCAGCACAATGAAGTGGTATGCAAGGATGTCTAAGCTACCTGAGTACTGGAAGCTCTGCAACTGCTTTAATAAGGTGTCCAGTGGAGGTAATAAATCCTGCTGAGAGGCATTGCATTGGGTTATACAAACATACTCTTAGAAGCAAACTGTCCAAGTTTGACTACTAACAAACACCACGAAAAGGAACATAGAATTACAGAATAGTTTGGGGTTGGTCGGGACCTTCATAGCTTATCTAGTCCAACCCCCCTGCAATGAGCAGGGAGATCTTCACCTAGAGCAGGCTGCCAGAACCACATGCAGTATGACCTTGAATGTCTCCAGGCATGGTGTATCAAACACCTCTCTGGGCAACCCATGCCAGTGTTTCACGACCCTCATTGTAAAGCATTTTTATCTCATGTCCAGCCTGAATCTCCCTCTTAGTTTAAACCCATCACCCCTCATCCTGTCGCCACAGGCCCTGATGAAAAGTCTCTCTTCATTTTTCTGATAGGCCTTTTTTAAGAATCGAAATGCTGCAATAAGGTCTCCCTTACCACAGCCAGAAGCAGTACCACCACTAAGCTGGGAATTCCTAAAAGTAGGATCAAAGCTTGGCTTTTATAAAAAGCAGATCTCTTGAATCTGCAGTCAACAGCATTACATTGACTTGCATTCCATTGACTTACATTACATTAAGATCTGGTTCTAAGTTTTTTTTGTTTTTGTTTTTGTTTTTTCCTAACTTACTTCATGTTTACTTTTGGTAATATTGTAATAATTCAGCAAGTGGGATTTGAATTGACTTAAACTTTTTCCTTCACTCTGAGGAGCTTTAAATAACAAATTTGTTGCTAATTGTTCTGAAGTGTGATTAGAGGAGAAGCCTAGACCTGGACAACATGACTAGTCTTCAGAGAGCTGATATTCAGAAAGAACAATCCCACCTCAAACAAACTAGATCTTCCAGCTGCAAATAGTCCACTCAATTCTAGCCCATGCACATAGAAAGGCATTTAACTTAAAAAGTTGAATGCTTTGTCCATTATGATTCATGCTCATGCTAATCCTAAACAGCTCATTCAACTGTTTGCAGAGGAGGTATTTATAAATCTTTGAAGGCAATTAAATATTTACTTGGTATTTCTGTCAAAAAGACTTTCCAAAACTATTTAGTGAACTCTTATTTCAACCTTGAAAAAATCCCATTAATTTCACTGAATCAGTATTTCATGCATTATTGGACATAGAATTTTCAGTTCCTTTTGGCAAGAAGCAATTGAGGTGTTTTATATTCAAAACTGAAGTAAAAATTGACATAAATTGACTATAAGATAACCTAGGCCCATAGGGTTTTTCAGCTGTTCTTTACTTTCAACTCCTTTTGTTAGAAATTTCCCTATTTTTAGAAATGCTAACAAAATTAAATAGCAAGGAAATTCAAAATTAAGGTAATCAATACTCAAAATTACCGATGTTCAATTTTATGAACAAAAATACTTTTTACTTAATATCCAATGTAGGCAATATCAATCAAATTTAACTGAGCTGTGATACAGTTACTGTGCATTATTATCTATAAGACAGAGAAAGTTGTTACTCCCCAACAGTTCATAATTACCATGAGAATTGGATTACTGAATAGAAGAAACTCATGATTTCTTAAAGAAATTCTTTGATTTCTCAAAGGTACTTCAATACCGTTAGCAAACAAGGGCTCTCAGTCCAGGAACCAACATATTCAAATTAGAATCTTAATCAGAGAAATAAAACTCCTCATTTAACGTATTTAATTTGTGTAAGTCTCAAACCAGTTGTTTTTTACATTTATGTAAAAATAAGTGCTTATTAGTGCTCATTAAACTTAAAATGTGAAGGTGGACTTTACTGAAAAACATTAATTGAAATAGTATTGTAGAGCTGAGAAAAATAAGAATAATTTTGTTTCACTCTCTTTAAAATAGTAAAAAACTTCACAGTTCATAATAAAATTTAGGAATAACTTTTTGGAGTTAAGATTTCTGAAAATAAAGACGTTTTCATTTTCAAAGGCAATATGAGTCTACATAAGACATGTTGGTGCAGTAATGAACTATCTAGAGCAGCCTGAGAGGGGATCTCATCAATGCAGATCAATAGCTCAAAGGCAGGGCCCACGAAGATGGTGCCAGACTCTTTTGAGTGGTGCCTAGTGACAGGACGAGGAGCAATGGCCATAAACTAACACACAACAAGTTTCACCTCGACATGAGGAAGAACTTTGCATTGAGGGTGTCACAGCACTGGCACAAGCTCCCCAGGGGTGTTGTGTGGTCTGCCTCTCTGGAGACATTCGAGCCAGCCTGGGCATGTTCCTGTATGCCCTGCTCTGGGTGACCCTGCCTTGGCAGGGGTTGGACTGGGTGATCTACAGAGGGCCCTTCCAACACTAATAATTAGTCTGTGATTTTCCATGAAGGTATGAAGGTTTGCAGTATTTTATGTACTTCATTGTAAGTTTTGTGAGTTGCATTATGTAATAGAATTTAAAAAATGACAGGTACAGGTTCAGGTTTCCATTTTTTATGATTCATATTACAGCTTAATGCATGGATTAGAAATAGCTTCAAAGCATTCTGTGCTCTAATGTTAATTACATGGAAGTTAATTGAAGGCCCTAAATGTCTTGTTCTTTGTTTTGTTATAATTAAGCAAATACAATTTTTTGAAAAAAGCAGATTTTTTCAACTGTTATTCTCTGGATGCACCAATGAGAAGCCTCCATTTTACTGTATGCTTACTTTTTTGACTCAAAATAACAATTTGAAGAGGAAGAAACATGAAACTATAGGAACCTGCCAGTGATGGCAGCAGTGTGTAAGCATCATGGAGTTCTGCTAATCTTTCTGAACACAAGTGTCTGTGATGGTATCACTGAGAAAACACTATGCTGCCAATACCTCTTGTGAAAATACAGTAAATGCCTAGGACATGTTAAATACACCTCCAACCTTTTCTTTATGATGTGTATCTCCAGTAAAAAGAAGTGCTCTTAGTGAAGCAGAAATTGTCAGACTCTAAAATGAATGGATAATCGCATGAAATTCTAAAGCCTGTGGTAGCCAGGAGTTCAGAACATTCTACCAATCTATCTCCTTCAGCATTTAATCTGCTATTTATGCATGAACTCTATGAATATGGGATATTTCAGTTCTTATTAACTGATGCTATCATTTATTTAATAGAAGACAATACTCAGTTTCTGAAAGAATCAGGGTGCCAACAGGTGAAAGGTAAATAATAAAGGAATTTACCTGTAAGCCAATAGGGCCTGGAGGGCCAGGGAATCCTCGAGGACCTTCATCACCTTTTTGCCCAAACATCCCTTGCTGACCTCTTGGGCCTGGCTCCCCATCACCTCCCTATTAGGAAACAGTGAAAAGCAAAAATATTGTAGATTTGATAATAACAGAAAAAGCTCCATGGAAATCAGCGGAAAACAACAGCAAGCAGGCTTAGAATCATGCTGATATCTTTACAAATGCATCTACACCACCTTGACTGAATGAAGTCTGTTATACAAATAAAATATCAGCATATGTCCTGGTTTAATGTAGGTCAAATAATACTGCATGTCTCATAAAGATTTTTCCTGAATACCTCTTCTCTTTTACATCTGCATAAATTTTGTAGTGTCTGAATACCTACCTATTAGTAACTATGAGTAGGATACAGTTCTACCAATCTTCATGGTACCTTCAAGAATTCAAAACCTTCTAAATAACAGTAAAAAGCAATGCACCTGGTATCAGGTGGATTTTAGTTTTAAATGCATTTGGTACCGAGGTGATTTTACCACTGGCTGTTATACAAACCATCAACCAAGTTCACTGAAAGGACAGTCCCATTAACTATTTACATTACTTCATTTTTAATAATTCCATCAAATTACTACCCTGCAGTAACAGAATAACAGCTATGAAGAATAGAGCAATAGAGTAACACCTATGCAGGCTTACTTATAATAGACAACTGCATGTAAGTGGACAACAACAGAACTGTTAATAGTGATTTAATAAATGCCTGAGTAACGAGGATGCAGTTAAAAGAATTTCCAAGATGAGTTATGGCAGACTGGGGTTTGCTCTAAGCTACTTACAGCTATACCAGGGGCACCAACAGGACCCTGGAGACCTGGTGGACCTGGAGGACCCTGCAATAAACAAACATCCAAAAGCTAGTGATTATGGCATCTGAAATGAGATTAAAAGCAAATACAGAGACAACCCTATTTGAATGATCAAGGTCTATTAAGCATCTCTACATTTATTCATAGAGAATGTAGCATTATTTACAAGTCTCTTCCATTCACTGAATGGAATCATTATTTGTTTATCTCTCAAAAAACTCACATTTGCACATTTATAACAGACTTAATATCGGCATTTATTGAAAGCACGTTTGTAATGTTTCAGAATATTTACAATAGATTCCCATGCAAACATGAATAAAATGAAAATTTTTTTTTCACCATTAAAAATAACAGACTTTTCAATTAATTTGTGTAGAACAATCTATATTGAAATTGAATGCTTATTTGGATTTGTTCTTATGAAATTGCAAATGTTTTTTAACAGCACAAATGACCTTCAGGTGACATGAAAATGTCGAAGTTGTTTAGCACTTGGAGATTTGTACTCTTTGATACTAAGTCTCTTTCCAAGAGAATGGTAAAAAACATGTCTCTGAGACGAATTTCTTAATTTTTTCAGTCTCCTTACAGAATAATAGCTTTCCACATTACACTGCACATAATTTAGAAGCCAGTTACGCAGATACGACATAATGAAGGTATCTAACAAATGGAGTACAGGAATGCAAGATACTAGTTTATAATGCAGATAAAATTAGGTAGTAGTTTGAGGCTGGTTTTTGCACCAGCTGTAGAGACTAGACTGATAAAAAATGAAGCTAAGGAAGAAAAAAAAACCTAACAGCTGGCAAGGGCTAAATTCCAGTCTGCTATTTCAGATGGCAAGAAAACTGTCTGCAGTTTCTTGGCTGGGAATTTAGTGCAGAATGATCCTTGGATTTAAAAACTTGCTAGGGCTAAAATTGGATTATTCTACTCTGTATAGGGAGATTTGGAAAAGGAACTTCTTAAGTCTTAGAGTCTATTTCTTTCTTTTCATTCTATGTAGGTTTTAGAGTATCTTATTTTTTATGGAGATTGAAGTGTCAGGCTCTGTATTCCTTCACTTTTATAATTTTCTTGTCACATATATGATAGCAATAGAGGAAGCAAAGGCTTTTATCCTCTATGGTGAAACTAAATGAAACGAGTCCTAGGAATGCTCCTGTTGACTGGAGGGCGGGGGGGGGGTGTTACCATGAGAATGGGAATTAGCAAAATCATATCAGAACAGAATATTCCTACACTCTGCAGAATGCTTCTACCTGCTCCTTTATTTTTCAGGACCCAGAAAGAGCTCCACACATTTTTTAATCTCATTTAAATACTCATTTTGATATAAAGTATCATTGAAAGGTACTTTGCAATTGATTAATAAGAAGTTATTTGGAGACATGGCTAGACTCTTTTAGTCCATTACTGTGGAGGGCAAATGGAAGGGGAATGATCAGAATCATCAGGAGAGACTATTTAGCTAATGAAGGCTCCTGTGACTGTGGAGGTTTTAAAACTCAAGATAGAATGTACATCAACAATAAAATTGTGCTGTCCTTCCTCTTCAGAATCTTCCAGAGGCCTTTCTCCCTACCCCAATATCTATCAGTATGTTTAAAGGAAAGGAGATTTGAAATAAACACATTCTGGAATTGCCAGGGTTAAATTACTCTAATTGAGGACAAACAAGATTCAATACACTTGACTTGAAATGGGGTAACATTCACTTCAACTTCACAAGCAGGCCTGAACACTGAATCCTGTATTTTAAGAAGAACATTACATTCCCAAATGCCTCAGACCTTGAGACTGAAAATACAGGATAATCTCGAAAGGATTTTGCTGCAGATACTTTACCTGTAAAGCAGATGACCTGAGTTCAACTGTAACTGTTATTTTTCTCCTTCTTAGTAGCTGGTGCAGTGCTGTGTTTCAGCTTTAGTCTGAGAACAACGCTGACAACACACTGATGTTTTAGCTGTTGCTCAGTAGCATTTACCCCATTCAAGCCCTTTTCAGTGAGGAGGGGCACGGGAAGCCAGGAGGAAGCAGAGACAGGACACCTGACCAAACTAGCCAAAGAGGTATTGTATACCACAGAACGTCATGTCCAGTATAGAAACTGGGGGGAGTTACCCAGAAGGCCCAGATCGCTGCTTGAGTTGGGCTGGGTATCGGTAGGTGCGTGGTGAGCAGTTGTATTGGGCATCACTTGTGTTTACTGTTTTTTTTACTTTCCCCTTTTAGTTTTGTATTGTCTTATTATTAGTAGTAGTACCAATTTTGTATTACGCTTTAGTTATTGGACTGTTACTAAAAATTATTTAGTTATTGGACTCATCTCAACCCGTGAGGTTTACCTTTTTTTGATTCTCCTACCCATGCCACCGGGAGCAGAAGGGGGAAGAGGGGAGGGAGGGAGTGAGCAGCTGCATGGTTCTGAGTTACTGGCTGGGCTTAAACCACAACAGCAGATCTGCTGGAACATGCCCAAATGAATTAGTACTCACGATGGGAATCGTAGTCACAGTCTAATGCTCAGTATAACTAGCTGGTCTGCTAAAATGGTCTGAAAGAGAAATGTGCAGCATGTGTTCCTTCTGCATTTCTCTAATGCAAAGCATCTCTAATGAAGAGGCATGTCAGAGGGGAAAATAAAAGGATATGCATTTGATCACATGCAAAACCTGAAGTGAAACTGGACCATGACCTGCTTCATATGCTTCTGTCCTTTCCTTTAAACACCAGAAGTTATCATGTACACAGGCCCTGTACTGTTAATGAACCTCTTTAGATGGACAGGGAGGAGCTGAATGTATCTTTATGCATCCCACAGCTGGTTTACAACTGTAACAGCAAATAGATTAAGACTGATTTTCAGCTAACTGGGAAAAAGCCCACAGCTTTAGAACTAGCTTCTAAAATGTCTTAATTTGATAGATTAATTTTACCAAGTTAACCAAAGCATTCAAGATCAGAATATCAGAATCACAGAATGGTTTAGGCTGGAAGAGACCTTAAAGCTCATCAGTTCCAATCCCCTGCCCTGGGTAGGGACACCTTCCACTAAAGCAGCTTACTCCAAGCCCCTGTGTCCAACCTGGCCTTGAACACTGCCAGGGATGGGGCAGCCACAGCTTCTCTGGGCACCCTGTGCCAGCTCCTCAGCACCCTCACAGGGAAGAGCTTCTGCCTAATGTCTATCTAGATCTATCCTTCAAAAGCTTAAAGCCATTCCCTCTTACCCTATCCTTACATGCCCTTGTCAAAATTCCCTATCCAGATATCTTATAGGCCCCCTTTAGGCACTGGGAGCTGCTCTAAGTTCTCCCCTTAAGGAGCCTTCTCCAGACTGAACCAGCCTAGCTCTCTCAGCCTGGCTCCAGAGCAGAGCTGCTCCAGCCCTCGCAGCAGCTCTGTGGCCTCCCCTGGACTCACTCCAGCAGCTCCATATCCCTCTGGTGTTGCAGGCCCCGGAGCTGAATGCATTTCTCCGCGTGGAGTCTCCCCAAAGCGCAGCAGATGGGGAGAACCCCCTCCCTGAGCTCCTGCTCACGCTCTGGGGGTGCAGCTCAGCACATGTGGGGGTTCTGGTCTCAAATGCACACTGAAGCTGGGTCATGGGCAGCTTCTCCTCACCCAGCACCCCCAAGTCCTTCTCCTCAGGGCTGCTCCATCCAGTCTCCCCCAGCCTTTAGCTGTGCTTGGGACTGCCCCGGCCCAGGTGCTGGAGCAATTTTAGTCTGGACTGGAAGTTGTTTCAAACTTGATCATACATATGTTCTTTGGAAAACTGGGGTTTATAATAGAAGTGTTCTCTTATCCATATGTGTAGTATTACATTATTTGTGTTAATAGGGCGTAACAAATAACTTATTATAGCACTTGTGATCTGATCTAATGAAATATGGTTGTGAAAAGTAAGTGGATTCTGCACTGGCAACTGTAAAAGTCTCTCACATAAATAACTGGGAAGAAAAAGATTATCTTTAAAAATAAAAAAAGCTTGTCTTTATTTTGCATATTCTATTAACACTTTTTTTTTCTATGAAATTCTCATAAACCTGCTATTAGCTTGAATTTTTATGTATCCTCCTATAGAACATCATCTGATTATGTGTAAGCCATAAACTTGGTTTTTAGAAGCAATCTACTTTTATGATACTAAGTCATTAATGATAGTAAGCACACAGTGTTTTCAAGATAATAAATATACTTAGATATGAATATCCCAATATTGAAATCTGAGCTTTGCTAAACGTGAATATTGATGAAATATAGTAATAATAAAAAAAATATCTCTGCAATTACTCCTGCATTATTTCTTAGGGAAAAATTACTGAACTAATATGCCAGTTTATCTTAAAATTGAAGAGAAGTAAAAACAAACATTTTCTGACTTTTGGGGAAAGAAACAAAAATCAAATAGAAAAAAGTGCCTTGTTTTATTCTTTCTAGCTTAAAATTTTACAGTAGAAAAAGCTGATTTTTATCGTTCTGGCTTCAATTAATAGAGGAAATGCTTGAACTTCAGAAGTAATTCTGAATTTCATCTGAGGTCCTGAAATGTTGCAATCAGTTAAGTGTGCTTTCTATGAATTAGGTGTTCTTTACAAATTTTAAAACTCTATTAGTAGGTTTCTCTACTGAGTCTTCATATTCTTCATCATTATGCCTAAGAAGCTAAAGCTGGGCATGTTCACACAATCCAGTCAGTGAAGTTAACTTAATCGCAGTAAAAGAATGTATGTGTATTCCTTGTCTCTTCCAGTTCACATGTAGAATGGATGAATTAAAATTATACAGGAAGGAATGTATTTTATGGGAGGAATGTATTTTACCTAGCTATATTTTAATGATTCTGTAAGCTCAAGGGATGCGAGAAATACTAAATACAGGCATGGCTCTAGGACTACAAACCTCTAGTGTTCCATTAAACCTTCACCTTATTTTGAAAACACATTTTTGAAGTGTGTCTTTGTTTCTATTCAGTGATGTAGCAAGGCTACCTGTATACTTCATGCATGAATACTTTCTATTTAGAAGAACATAACAGATAAAGGATTTCGCTACTCACGTTTTCTCCCTTGTCACCTTTACTACCTTTCTGACCTGGTTCACCAATTTCACCCTGTAATGGAAAGTTAAAAGTTAAACTTCTTGTTTAAAATGGTCTCCTTCACACTTAGCTGAAGTCAATATAACAGTGCCTTTAAATGTACCTTTGGTATGATTCTTCTGTGTTTTATGCTGCTGCTTTAAGTGTGAAGGTCTAAAGGGGGCAATTCTGCATCGATCAATAGTATGTCATATTAATCCAGGTATTGATTGCTATATTCAAAGGGCAACAAGACCTGGCTTTGAAGTATAGTCCTACTGAGCTCTAAATAAAGGAAATCGTGTTCTTCATGTCACCTTCAGTATGAACTTATAATGAAAGCACCCTGATTTACACTCATCTAACTATGCGACTGAACAACTACTTCTCACTGAAGTGTACAGTATTTCAAAACTTAAAAATTATTCAAATCACCAGGAAAAATATATTTTCTTTATACAATAATAAAAAATAATTAAATCACAGAAAATACTCTCTGTGGGATAAATAACACATATGCATCATAAAAATGAACCTCAAAATCATTACCTTTACCTTATGCTAACAGAACAGTGCAGGACCAAACAAACATGCAAGATGATCCTGAAAGGTGCTATAACCTAAATTCTGCCAGAAGTCAGCAGAACATCTCTGCTGTGAGCATATTATATTGATACCCTCAACCTATTCAGTGATTCCAAATCACTCTACGGTACTGAGAATATTTTATCTTACTCATTCAGCAAATAAAGTTTCTAAAATAAGCAAGAATTAATTTTGTCATCATCTGCCTTGATTTGTTTTGCCACACTTTCATCCTTGTTTCTTTGCCAGGATAAATGTTAGTCTTGAACACAAATCCCAGTGTCCCATGGCATCTGCTCCTCAGGCATCTGATTATAGAAGGGTTTTTCAGTTTTTTTGCAACAGTCAGAAGGAGTCTGGGGGAGGCAGGGTTAAGAGTTGTTTCATTGTTGTATTTATGGTGAGAAAAGCTACACAGAACTTTACTGACAGATCTCACAGGTGCACTAATACAAATTTTAATGATTCACCTTGTCACCATCTTCTCCAGGAGAGCCACTAGGACCGGCAGGACCAGGAAGTCCAACGGGACCCTGTACTCCATCACGCCCAGCGGGACCTTGAGGACCTTTTTCACCCTGGTTTTCAAGAAACAGAAGTGATCCACCATTATCACAGGAGACTAATGGATATTTCAGTACAGGGAGTCGCATTACCACTAACAAATAATAGGAAAAGAGAAACAGGAAACTATAAAAGGAAGAGAGTGCATCAGAAAATTATACTAAGTAATAATGGAATCCAATGACAAATACATGTCTACACTAATACAGAGTGGCTGGGTACAAAGTTTTAATGGAAGAATGATTTGACAGACTTTTATATCCATTCCCTGCTGTGATAATAACAGGCTTAACCCTGCCTGGGTGTTAGAGGTTAGGACAATAAACATTTTACTTTTTACTTCATTGTAAATGTAAAAGGACTAGATCAGGTATTCTGAGGATATGTTTAACAGGCAAATACTAGAGTGGGTAGGAGTAACATCCTGAAATGAAATGTCTGTGCTGTAATAGTTTTATGTGACTCTGTGATTACTTACAGGAGCACCCTTCTCTCCTGCAGGGCCTGGAGGACCCTGAGGTCCAGGACGACCTGGTAGACCAATTGGCCCAGCAGTGCCCGCTGCTCCACGTTCCCCTGGTGAACCCTGGAAAGAAAGAAGAAAGTGCAGGATAATTCTGATACAAGCCTGATAACTGCTGGTGGTTTTCATGACTCGGGTCAACAGAGAAGATAATCTGTTATTCACTGAGATTCCATCTGGTAGAAGGATACACATTCAGCATGTGTGCAAGTAAATAAAAAGGCTGGAAGAACTAACCTTAAGTTCATACTCAATAGTTCTTATTCAGTGCTACTTGGGGTTTTTTTCACCCCTTCCTGTATTCATCATAATAGAAGTGTGCTTCAGCCCGTTTTCAAGAACATTTTTCCCTCTGTTTCTAAAACACACTGCCATACTACTTTGATGAAAGAATATTCACCATATTAAAATACAGAACTAACCCTCACCACAACCCAAATTTTTAGTCAGGTTTCCTGCTAAACACTGCTGTGATGGTCAATTCACCTGCGTAGAAATCTACTGAAGTATGACTCATCTGATGTGTCACACAGAGGACGCTTGAATGTACAGGGATCTTTAGCTTAGCACAGAAGTTAAAAACCTAATACTGCAAATTCAAAGGGGAAATAGAGATGCCTTATATGGGAAAAAAATGAACTGTGTATTTTAGAATACATTTTTAAAGACAATAATAGCAGAGAGGAAAAAGTTTTACTCTAACATCAATAAGCCTCACTTTTAAATGAGTCATACAATTGTCATTACTTCAGTCCTTTCTACCTGGAACTACCAAAACATCCATAAATGAAAATTTAGCTTTTACATTCCCTCTCAGTTCTTTCACTTGAAGCAGTCAGTGTAGGGCTTATGGCTGGTCCATGAAGAGCCAACCTTTCCTTTAAATATGTCAATCTGCCACAGAACCAAGCTCCATAAGCATTTATCATTTGAGCCATGCCTTTATGATTTCTTCTGGATTAAGCTAACTAGACAAAATCAAGATAACTTCTCTCTCTACATATATACCTATATATACTCTATAGGTATATACGGTATGCCTATATGGAGAGAATTTAGGTATACAGCGTATACCTGAAATGGAGAGAATGACTGTATATTTATATGCCTGTCTATACTCTGTAGATATGTAAAAATCTGCACTGCTCTAAAAAAAAAAGAGGTACCTAGGGTGAACTAGATTTTTCTTCTTAAACTTTCTAAGAGTACATATGGCATATGCTGTTATGTAGTGCTAAAAGGGGAAAAGGAAATGCAAACAAGGTGCTCTGGTATTACAAAATCTTCCTAAAAGGATAGAAAGGAAGAGGTAACAGTACAGATTAAAACTTCTACTCAAATAAAAGGAATTTCAATATAAAAAAGTTAAATTTTGGCCTATCCATATTTGTTTATCAGTTAGTTAAAAGCCACAATGTGGAGTGCTGATTTTAAATCATTTTAGCAAGCTGGGTTAATTTCCAAACAGTGATCTACCAATGAAGTCCTCTGTAACGCACAACCAAAGATACAGACACCTGTTTGGAGGCACATTATGGCAAGAAAACAACCAGGAGGAAAAAAACATTTACACTTGAATTCCTAATACCTCCTTGATCACACAGGCAGATTCTGACCAAGTGTGAAATGAATTCCTGACAGCACAGGGAAAACTTCCTGTGCCTTGACAGAGGTTAACTGCCATCTAACCTGCTTCTTCCTGTGTCCCCACAAGAGTCAGCATGTGTAGGGAGACAGAAGCATGATGCTCTCCTGAGTACAGGCAGAGCATGGAGAATGACCGAGCTTCATTGTGCGTTTTTATACCATCACTGGCCAACAGCTCTGACAGGAAATCCAGCTTTGCCAGTCCTCATACTTCCTGAGGATTCAAGATGCATCCTTCCCGTGCCCTGTAGATAGGAGAGCATGGGAACAAAGACAGTGGGGTATTCTGCTCCATTATATTCTGCATGGGAGCTAGCCTTGTGCTTGAAAGTCTAATGGGAAAAAAATATTTTACTAACAGCAACAGAATTAACCTTGAAATTTGTGGGCTCACTGAAAACTGAGAAGCAAAGAGAGCTGTCCTCTCATCTGTATTTCTTTATTTTCACACTTTGGCAGCACCTTTGGGTTTTGTGTTTCAAATAATTCACCATTTTTGCATCAATAGAGCACTGTTAAAGTTTTGTTTACTGTACAGAAATATTTCTCTAGCTTTTCAGCTTGACACCTACAAGACAGTTTGTAACACCTTAAAGTAACTGGTAATTTCACATTTCAGCTGTCACACTGGAAGTGAAGTGATACATGGAATCTTTTATAATAGGTGGTGTAGCCCGAGGCTCTGAACAGCCAAGGTTTTTTTTTTGTTTAAGAATGATCAAATTTGCTGGCTCTTCTAACACTGGAATTTTAAGATGCTTTCATTTATGAGGGTCCAAGTTTTTGCTTTTAATCATGATGTCCTTTTCTTGGACTGACCATAATAAAGGGTTTTTCCCTTCAGGTAAGAGTGGCAGAAGAAAATGATGAATGGTTGCTCCAAATATTTTTGCAAATTAACTCAGTAAAATCTGATTTTGTGTGAATGTTCAACAAATACTATTTGTGCAGGAATCACAGATGCCTTTATCCTTCCAAGTGTTGATCTATTTATTTATTTAGGTCAGGGTGGATGCCTAAGTTTCAGTCCTATTTCTGTTGTTTTAGTTTCTAAGACTTCAGTGAATTCATCAGGAAAAATGCCGTACCCTGCAGATATGCTACCAGGGTCTCTGATCTTGTCATGTCTTGTAAGCTAAACAAATTTAGGTCACCTCATCAGCAGGATGCAAAAATTGAGAGGAAAAAAATCTAAATAGGTCATCGATTTTTTCTGTATCAGACAGCAGACACTAACAGGGGCCATAACTTCTAGTAGCTCTTTTTACTCAGTCAACTTTTCATCTTTCTCTTTGCATACTTTTTATTTTTTATGCTTAAAATCCACATGAGTTATGAACTGAAACTACATCTTCTGTTTTCAAGGATCCTCTCATGTCCTTGTGAGAATGGTCTCTGATCAAAGCAGAACGCTTTAAATTAGTGACAACTCTACAAGCATTTTAGGCAGCTTCTTAAGTGTGTTCTATTTTTCAATGTTTATTACCTTTTATTGCCTCTCTGTCCCACTCTGAAACAATCCTGTTATATTACTAAACTGCTTGTTAAGCTGTGGTCTTGCAGGGGTACTCACAGCCCTGAATCTATTTGTTAATTAAAACAGAATGGAAGTGTCATGCTTTGTCTTGTATTTCTCTTATACAGACTAAACTCATTAGTAACCATGTTTTTTCTCACTTTTTGTGAGGAGATATGTAACTATAGCTATTGTATATACTGCATAGTAGAAGCAATACTTTTCACTAACAAACTGTCTAACAAGCAAAGATTCTCATGAATGAAAAATGTTATCAAATAGAGGAAGATTAGTGCTAGACAGCTCAGTGCTGATAATTGGGCAGCCTACAGCTGGCTTATTCAGAGCCTAATTTGGGCTTCCTATTCCAAATAAACTAATGAAAAATGACTGCTTGACATTCCAAAGAATTTTCTCTCATTAGCATTCAGCATTTCACACAGTAGTATGAGAAGGGGAGAAAACAAACAGAAGACAAAAATAGCACATAAAAGAGAACTGTTAAAAAAACCCAAGCAATCCCCCCCCAGAAACCCAATACAATACAACAAACACACACAAAAAAACAAAAAAACCACCAAAATGAAACAAAGAAAAAAAAAAAACACAGAAAAAAAACCCATTGCTTTGTAGTACATTCATGCATCTCCTTCTTTTGTCCAAATCCCTCTAAACACAGTAATTGGCATGCACAGTATTTGGAGCGGTCATTTGTTTGCTTGCAGATGCATGCGCTAGCCAAAAAAAGCTTGTAATTTACTATATATGCTAGTTAGAAGCAATTGGTATTGACAGAGAATTGGAGGAAAATCATCCAGTGGCATGAGTTCTTTTCCCATTATAAATAAATGGCAAATGAAGACTCCATTACAATGACACTCCTGTGTCTATCCTCTGTTGGCTAAAAATAGATGGGAAAATATTTTAGGACTATTTAATGCTCACAGTCTGCTATGAGATACTGTGAAAGAACCCCAACCTATTCTGGTTTAATTGTTGTCCTCACAGATGCACAGAAACCCAGTATGAAGGGCACCTCTGCATCTTTTTTGGTCTGAAAAACGATTTCACTATAACAAGTTAGTAATTAAAGATGAACTAGGAAACAAACCCCACTGAGGACTTCTGGAGTACTCACAGGGCAGCTTGGTGCTCTTTGTGCCTCAAGGGGCACTGCTTGTGCTATAGTGAACTCAAGGTATACTTAGAAAACAATGAACTGTTGTTTACCCTTCAAACTCTCTTTCCACTCCACTTACAATTCCTGCTATCACTACATCTATTTCTCAAAGACTGGGAAAACAGTATGCAAAAAAGCCTGGGCTTCCTAAGTGAACCTTTTTATGATTACATTTACCTTAGCAGGAAGTGTGGCCCCAACAGCAATGGCCTTATAAAGTGAAGAAGCTGTTGGCACTATGCTCCTGACATCCATACTCTGGATTTCTGGACTACACTGCAAATAATTTGTCTGGCACTGAACTCCCGTTATCTAGTGGGTATTAGAAGTGCTCCTGGAATTTCTCTTCCATTTAGTTTCTCATGAATGGTATACTGATCATGAGATCCAAGACAGCTCCCTGATCTGAACCAAAGGATGGTAAATGGGGATGATTGAGACGTTCACCTCAAAAAGGCTCTCATGTTTTGAACTGAAACACCAAACTATACACACCCCGTTACAGAATTTGCAAAACGTGGACCATCTGAATTTAAATTCAGAAACACCTCACAAACTTACGTGACGCATATTAATGACAAGCTGGGATAGTAGTGGTACAACTACTATGTGAGCATCCCGCCTGGAAATGTGGGGTGTGTTAAATGTCAAGTATACTTGATGTCAAGTACATTTGTGCTGTCTGGTTTTTGCATGCTCAGAAGAGTTCTGCTTCACTGCACCTCAACTATCTGCTTGAGAGGTCAGTACAGCCTTAAGGCCTCCTTCAAAAAATCAAGACATGACCTTTAGATTGAAGAAACTGTTCTGGTCTATGCTTTCTTGATTTTGATTCATCTTTTCTTCTAACAGATGGGGTGGCATGGTCTCCCACCTAGCTTCCATTCCATTCCATTGCATTTCACTGCATTCCATTCCACTCCATTCCATTCCATTTCCATTCCATTCCCAGCTACCTTATTTTTGTGCCTTTCAGGAATGTATACATACTGCATGGTGTTAAGGAGAATTGTAAAGCAAAAATGCAAGTTCTTGATTTAAAGAATAACAGCTTAAAGGCATTATGAATTCAATAACTAATTTTAAGAATTTGACTACCAAGTATTAAGAAATAAAGAAGTAAAGCTTAAAAAAACAGCAGATCTTTTCCAACAGTGTAGAAAAAAATCCAAACCCAAGAACCTTACACTATGGTTTGGGTTTTTCCTCCTCGTTTCATGCATTCCTATCTCAGTAAGATTTGCAGGGACAGAAGAGAGCTTTATTGTTGAAATACACAGAATTGCATTACTTTTTTGTCTAACATGAATAGCTGTGCTGATATTTTTTTTTTTTTTACTACAATTGCACTGAATGAAAGAAATACGTTGACAAGATGACTGTCAAAATCTACACAATTGACATTTGGGAATAACGGTACCATGTTTTGAATACCAGTGCATCCTTGTAAAACTTGCCAAAAAGAGTCACAATAGAGAACAGGCAACTTAAGCATACCCTACTTCAAATACTTCCAACAGATGACTATCAGAAACTGAAGTGAAAAAGGCAGCAGAGGTATAAACAGAAGTCCAAACATGAAACAAGAACCTAAATGTAAAAAACTGAGCACATGACCATCTAGGAAAAGCCTAGTCACACTGCTCAAGGGAGAATAATTTACTGTTTTGAGGAATGAGTACATATCACTGCTTTTCCATCATAATCAGAAAGAAAAAACTGTAACTACAAGAAGTTGGCAAATACATTTTTATGCCTATGTTGAGCTTAAAATGCTGAGAGGGAATATTACTGAATTACATGATTTTACATAGCTGTTATTAGCCAAGGAAAAATAACTTTTAATGGCTTCACTGATCCTTAATATAAGCATGGTTCACTCAGGAAGTAAAGATAAAGTCTTGAAAGCAATGGATGGTTTTGATCACTGTATCTTCTAAAACTCTAAAGCAATTGTATAATGCATCATTTCTTTTCAACTTTGTGAAATGATATGTTAATACACCATTCTTACATTCTTGCATGATCTATTTTCCCATGGATTTATATGGAAGATTTAGAGTTGCATGTTACTATTTTCCAAAATAAGATTTTTTTTTAACAGTGATCATTATACTTTACCACAATTCTTAAGCTTGCTCTACAATTTCTCCCTTTTACTGCAGAATCTAAACTTTCATTGAAAAGTATTTTTATCAGTGTGGATGCTCTGGCAAAAATAATCACCCCAAAGTCATTCTCTGTACCAAATTTAAAGCACTTCAAAATAAGAATAAGATCTGCTCTCTTCTTTAAATATGTTGAGATCTCCAAACTCTGAGTAAACAATCTCAACAGATTCTGAGAGCCCTGCCTTCAAACTTTTTTTGGATTGTTTTTTTGTTGGGTTTTTTTGTTTGTTTGTTTGTTTTTTTGTTGTTTTTTTTTAAGATATCAAATAAGTAAGAAACTGTAAAACAGTGGTGGAAAGAAATAGGCTGGGTGACATTTCCCAATCATCCAGAAATTACTAAAGAAGAGGAGAATATTTATCAGTTTTATTCTTTATGGCTGGAAAGTTCTGCTATCCAAATCTAAACAAAACCAATCTGTTTCACAATGAGTTAAAAAGAATCAAACCTTACACATAGGCTGGTATGGTATATGGTTCTGAATATTAGATGCAGTAATAAGGACGTAAATGTAGTGGATGCACATATTTAAAAGCTAGCACAACACCAGCAGTATTTTTTAACATTATGCAGGTCAACTGCATAAGTGAACTGCACTTCACAAAAGAACAAAGACATTGGGTTTATGTGGCAAGATCTGGGGGGTGGGAGGAAGGGCTGCAGGGGTGACTTCTGTGAGAAGATGCGATAAGCTTCCCCTGTATCCAATACCGATGGCCAATGCCAGCTGGATCCGAGATGGACCAGCTGCTGGCCACAGCCAACCCTATCAGTGACAGTGGTAGTGCCTCTGGGATAACATAGTTAAGAAGGAGGGAAAAAAAGAAAAATTGGGCAAGAGCAATTGCAGTCACAGAGAGGAGTGAGAATGTGTGAGACATACAACCCTGCAGACACCAAGGCAAGTGAAGAAGGCGGGGAGGAAGCACCAGAGCAGAAATTCCCTGCAGCCTGCGGGCAAAGACCATGGAGTCAGGCTGTCCCCCTGCAGCTCATGGAGGTTAATCATGGAGTGGGTATCCACCTGCAGCCTGGGGAGGTTACAAGGGACATGATATCCACCTGCAGCCCATGGAGGTTAACAAGGGAGCAGGTATCCATCTGCAGCCCATGGAGGACCCCATGCCAGAGCAGGTTGGTGGCCAAAGGAGGCTATGACCCAGTGGGAAGCCTGTTGTGGAGGAAGCTCCTAGATTACCCTTGTCCTGTGGCCCTGTGGTCAAAGGAGACCATACTGGAGCAGGTTTGCTGGCAGCAGCTGTGAGCCTACACAGAAACCATGCTGGAGCAGCCTGTTACTCAAAGCACCCTGTTGGAAGGGACCCACACTGGAACAGATCATGAAGAACTGCAGCACATGGGAAGGACCCCTGTGGGAGAAGCTCCTGAAGACTGTCTGCTGTGGGTGTCACCCCATTCTGGAGCAGGGGAGGAGCATGAGAAGAAAGGAACAGCAGACACAATGTGTGTTGAACACAACCCCCATTCCCTGTCCCCCTGTGCCATTCTGGGGGAAGAAATGGAGAATTTGAGAACAAAATTCAGCATGGGAAGAAGGGAGGGGTGTGGGGATGGTGTTTTTAAGATCTGTTTTTATTTCTCATTCTCCTCCTCTGACTTGATCAGCAATAAATTAAATTAATTTCCCCAAGTCGAGTCTGTTTTGCCTGTAAAGGTAATTGCTGAGTGATCTCCCTGTCTTTATCTTAACTCATGAGCCTTTTGTTGTATTCTTCCTCCTCCCATCCAGTTAAGAAGGGGAACTGGTAGAGCAGCTTGGTGGGCACCCGGTGTGCAGTCAAGTAAACCCACCACCAACAGCATGAATCCACTATTGAGCATCCATAGATTTTCCACTACGTAAGATCTCTTTCATCTCAATAAGGAGTTAGTGCCAAGTACTGAGCAACAAATAAATCCCATGCCTACTGCTAGCAAAAGGCTTCAGATGTTCATAACCTTCACACTCCTTGAATGTTTCTTAGTGTGTAATTAGTAGAAAATAATTATTGATCACTTCAGATAACATCTATCTGCTGATTTACAGACTGTGTTGATGAAAACATCACAGCATGTAAAGAAGAAAAAAAGGTTACTACATAATACCGTTTCTATTTCCATAAAGTTATTATGTTTACTTACAAGTGGGCCAGGTGGGCCTTGTGGGCCTTCCCCTCCTTTCAAACCAGCTGGACCCTAAAAAAATGAAAAAAGGGGGAAAAAAAGCTTTTCTCTTACACTGGAAAGTTCAAGGGTTATTTCTGCAATACATAAATAGAAGAATGTAGAAATCCAAAGACAAGAAACTGAATAAATTTGTTTTTACTTATATAGCCAATGATACTTAACAATGTGGGATACTTGATGTTTGCTCTCCTATTGCATTCATCTTTCAGCACAGGAGAAGGTTCCATGAAAATAAAGAGTTAATCCATTGTTTTCTTGTATTTAGAAACATAAAGTCAATTGTTCTAATGCTTGTATCATACCTGAGCACCTGGAAGGCCTCTCTCTCCAGGGAAACCGCGAAGACCTGCTGGTCCATCTTTCCCAGGAATGCCTTGAGGTCCTGGGTCACCCTTGGAAACGTATTATATTTTGATTAAAAGAATGTTTAAAATGCTTATATTAGTCATTAAATGAATGATGAAAATGAAATACCAGATCCTAGTTATAGTGATGACAAAAAAGATTATGCCCGCACCAATTCACCCAATACAATAGTCCGTCACTATGGTTAAATTAAAAATACAGTATTAGTTATAGAATATAAATAGTGACAATCACAGCAAGCCATAAAAATATGTTTAAAGATACATTCATTAAAAATTGATAATGCTCACTAAAAATACAAGATTAAAAATAACTACATAACAACTGAGATACGTAGTACTTGTCTTGTGCCAGCCACAATGGTGGCCGAACAGTAAGGGGTTAAATTTGCCTTTTAGCTAGTACTAAACCTCCTACTTTAAATGACAATGTCCATAATAATGCCTTAGTATGAACATGTCATTACTATGTATTTCTACTACATTACTATGTATGGTGTGCTGTTTTTGGATGGATACCTGATTTTTCTCATGGTGGCTAGTATGGGGCTGTGGTTTGGATTTGTGCTGAAAACAGTGTTGCAAACACAGGGGTGTTTCCGTTACTGCAGTGCTTAGACAGAGAAAAAGCCTTTTCTGCTTCTCACACCCTGCCACAAGCAAGCAGGCTGATGGATGCACAAGGAGTTGGGAGAGGACACAGCTGTTCTCAACTGACCCAAGGGATATTCCATACCATATGGTACCATGCTCAGCACATAAAGCTGGGGGAAGAAGGAAGGAGGGGATGTGGCATGTTATGGTATTTTTCTTCTCAAGTTATGTATGATGGAGCCCTGCTTTGCTGGGGATTGCTGAACACCTGCCTGTCATTAGAAAGAAGTGAATTAATTCCTTGTTTTGCTTTGCTTGTGTGCATGGCTTTTGCTTTATTAAACTATCTTTACCTCAACCCGTGAGTTTTTTCACTTTTACTCTTCTGATTGTCTCCCCCATCCCTGTGTGATGGGCTTAAGTTGCCAGCTGGACTTAAACCATGACATATACGTAAACTGTCTTTTTATGACAAAAATACGTATTATTGGCTCAAGGGAATTCTCATTATTTCAGTGTAAGTGGACACAGCTCCAAAACTGGAATTCTCCAGACTTCAAAATCTTTCTGGGTGAAATGTGCCAACTGTAATATTATACTGTATGTTCTGATTTTATTCTGCATGTTCTACAGGATGATTTCAAATATGAGACTACCAGCAATTTACCTGTCCCTTCCAATTTGTTTCCCAAAGCAACGTCATACCTTAGCACCTTCTTTTCCTGCAGCACCTGGGAGGCCTTGTTCACCTGGTGGACCAGGAGGACCTGGATGACCTCTTTCACCAATTGGGCCAGTCTCACCAGTAGGACCCTAAGCAAAAAAGTAAAAAGTCAGTCACCTCAAGGTAATGAATGTCTTGGGGGTGGAAGGTGGGGAGGAGCAGATTCTTAACATCCTGTTATGAGTATCTGTTACAAAATAGTATTACCACTGGTTAGCATACATTCCTCACCCTTCCCTCCAGGCAAAGCTGACTTACAAAGTATTTTTGTCCTATAAAATAAATCTTACACTACATTCTGCCTGCAGACACATCTGTACAGCTTCCAAAGAGTAAAATGCCATCCTTGCTCCTTAAGCAATGAAGTTTTAAAACACAGTGTGCACCCATGCATCAGGGGAGGTTACAAAAAGGCCACAGGAAGGAAATGCTTGTCTTGAAACACTATCTGTACTGTTGTTTTTCTGAGTAATATGAATTGGAATGTGGAAATGTTGAAAGATATCTCTTCAGATTCACTAACCAAAAATTTTCACTAAAAAAAAAAATTATCTAAAAAAGCTCATGCAATCCAAATGCTTGATTTTGTTGCAAATAATGCAGTTTTGACACTGAATCTGTCCACAATCTAAAAGTGACTGAAGTTTGGCCTCTGACAAGAAAGTCACAGAGAATCATAAAATCATAGACTGGTTTAGGTTGTAAAAGACCTTAAGATTATCTAGTTCCAATGCCCTGCCATAGGCAGGGACACCTCACAGTACACTAATGTCACCCAGGGCTCTGTCCAACCTGGCCTTGAACAATGCCAGGGATGGAGCACTTACCACTTCTTTGGGCAACCTGTTCTAGTGCCTCACCACCCTCACAGTAAAGAACTTCTTCCTTAGATCTGACCTGAACCTTCCCTGTTTAAGTTTGAAACCATCACCCCTTGTCCTATCGCTACAGTCCCTGATGAAGAGTCCTTCTCCAGCATCCTTGTAGCCCCCTTCAGATGCTGGAAGCTGCTATGAGGTCTCCACGCAGCTTCTCTTCTCCAGGCTGAACAGCCCCAATGTTCTCAGCCTGTCTTCATACAGGATGTACTCCAGCCCCTGATCATCCTCGTGGCCTCCTTTGGACTTGCTCCAACAGCTCCTTGTCCTTTTTACGTTGAGGACACCAGAACTGCACACAGTGCTGCAAATGGGGTCTCACGAGAGTAGAGTAAAGGGACAGGATCACATCCTTTGACCTGCTGCTCATGGTACGTGAACATGTCATTTTGTTCTTTCTAAACTATTTCATGGTAGATAACTCTGCCTTCTTGAGTTCTCATGAAGAAAAAATACAAAATGGAGGTGGAAAGGACCCCATCATTTGTACATTTAATGGAATCACTGATGATTATTAAGTACACCTTTCTAAAACTGTTATGCAGCATTTGTTACAGCAGTTAATATAACCATCAATATAGTTCTTTTAATACACCAGTAGCAGCTGCCTTAGCCATAATATAAACATTAAACATTGGACTTGTGAAGTTACTATGAAATTGAATGATGTACCTGAGGGCCAACAACACCACCAGGACCAGGAGGACCAGTTTTCCCTTGAAAACCCTGTGAAATAATTACAAAACACTACGTTACCAAGGACAAGATATAGAAGAGAATAATTCTTGTCTGTGTTGAATAGAAAAACCAGAAATTCCACGTCACACAATCTTTCTCTTCAGAATGTAACAATGAGAAATTATTTGTTCTTGTGTATTTTTTGAAGTGAAACACTGATTAATCTTTCTTATCTCTATCAGTCTGAATCTCTCTGAGGTGACACAACAGTAAAAAATCCAGTCAATTTTACAGATATCTATAGGTGAACTTGACAAGGTGAGCCTGAATGCATAAAATGATGCAGCTAAAAGACAGCTGAAAATCCATTTGTACATATACACATTATGAGTCATAAAGCCAGACATACAAATGCTTTTTAAGGAAAGACAGATGGTGGATTAAATTGGAGAGGCATTAAAGATAAAGGGGAGGTTAGACAGAAAGAAAATGAAAAGAAACAGAGATCCAGGGAAGATGACGAGTATACAGATATGGTAAAAAAAAGCAGCATGAGTGTCACAAAAAAGAATCAAGTTAATGAGAAATTGATATGATGACAGAAACTGGGAAGCACAGAGGAGAAATTAAATGTTTTGGGGACAGTTTTCCACGACACTGGCCAATTTTACAGAATTTGTATTTTTTCATCAGTGGCTCCTGACTTCAGTCCAAAACTTGTCAATAAGCTGAGTAACTACCTTGCTTGATAGCACTGTTTAATTTATCTTTGAAACATGCTAAATTATTTCTTTCAAATATTGGAAGTGCGTTGCTGCATCAAGTTAGGAGAGTGCATTCACTGCTGTATCACAGCTGGCGTTCCACATAGTATACTGTGCCTGACAGCCTCTATCTGCCTCCTACTTTGCTCACCTATGTAATAAAAGGTGTCATCTGGCCCATATTCCTTACAAACATTGGGCCCTGCTCAGCAATCCTCTAGGCACAGTCTCAGTGACAGCTGCCCCATTACACCAGATGTGGTTTAAGCTTTTTCTAACCTTCCTCAATCTGATTCTCGTCTTGCTGCAAAGCCAGACGTTATCCTGGTTCAGTCTGGCAAATAACTGTTTTAGGCACTCTGTCTCAGACCTCTGAAATGATCCAAACTAAAAACAAATAAAAAGTACCCCTTTGCTCTAATAGCTGAAAATCAGAACCGATACAGATGGAATCATTCTTGTGTCCCTTCCTTTACTCAGTCAAAGCTTCTTCCAAAGCCTACTGTAAGGAAAGACAAAGGAATGTTGAGTATTACTCATGTCTTGAAAGTATCTTGGGAAGATCTGCTATTTCCAGATTTGCATAATGAATTGATACTTTGAAGTATATTCAATGATTCTTGATGTTAATGATGGCTTTAGTACTCTGCTTTCTCTTATGTCACCAGCTTATTACCCCTACAGATTCAGATTTATAAAAGCAGTAATAAGCAAAGGAGATTTCAGCAGCAAATACTCAAGATGACCTGAACATCCCATGAGTTCATCTAAACTCTTCAGCATTAAAAAATTTACATTAATGTCTCATGCAGGTGTTTTTAAGTGCCAAATTAGTCTCTTTCTTCTTTTGTTATTTTCTGGAAAGATAATGTAATAAAACTGAGTTTACTGTAGGAAGAAGGAGGTCCTTGATTAATCCCAGTAAATGAAACATCTAGTATATTTCTATTTTATCCTGTCACAGACATGAAACACTTTGCATAACACCAGACCATCTAATAATCTCTGAAGCTGATTCCTCCTGCCAGTCCGAGATTGATACCACTGAAAGGGAGAAACACTTCTAAGGATGAATTAGCTTAATACTGGTTTTCAGCATCTAGTTTATTCCTACATTTATATTCCAAATTATTTATCATGCTATTATTGTTTCTATGTCTAGAATTTCAGCAAACAATGGCAGTTCTTCAAAATGCATATGGTTTACTGAGGGAAATAGCTGTAGCCTGTTGTCCACTAATACTTACCTCAGTTGCTGTCAGCATATGCTTATTATTCCATCAGCAAGCTACAAAGTGCAATCTGGGAATCTGGCTCTCTAATTTGTTAAGCTTGACTATGTCTTTTAGCCTAATTCCCTTATTGCTCTAATGCTCACATACACCACTTAACTTTAATGAGATATACGCCTAACTAAGAAACAGAATTCTTAAGACCTTGGGTGAAATGAAAGTTTTCTGATTTATACATTTCTTTAAAATCTGAAATGGAAATGTTCATATAAAAAAAAATCCAATCAACAAGTCTACTTTTTTTTTTTTTTTTTTAATTCTGGTTTTCTCATTTACTTGAGAACCCATGGGGGGGTAAATACTTTTTAAATAATTCCAGGCCAAGTATATATATATATATATATATATATATATATATACAGGTCAGAAAACAATGCTAATGAAAAGCTGCATTGTATTCAATGCATTTATGAATTTGCACTCAAGTTGATTATCAGTCTAACCCTAACTAAAGCCAAAGGAAATTCTAAATTAGAGAACTGTGGTATTGATTAAACTCAGAGGGACCTGGTCCAAACCTCACACAGTAGAAGAGTCCATAGTTCCATTGCATGTTGCATCTTTCTTTTCTGGTCATGAATGAAATCAAGGAATCATTGATCGAATCATAGAACAGCTGAGGTTGGAAATGACCTCGGGAGGTCATTTGTCCAACTGTCCTGCTCAAGTAGGGCCACTGAGAGTTGGCTGCCCAGGAGTATCTCCAGCTTCTCTTGGCAATCTGTTCCAATGCTCAGTCATCCACACAGTGAAAAAAGTGATTATTATGTTCAGATGGAAGCTTCTGTGTTTCAGTTTATTCCCGCTGCCTCTTGGCCTGTCACTGGGCACCGCTGAAAAGAGCCTGCTTCCATCTTCTTTTCCCTTCAGGTTTCAGATACTTTGATAAGCTTTGATCTGGGGCTTCTCTAGGCCTAAAAAGCCTCAGCTCTATCAGCCTTCACTCATAGGAGAGATGCTGTAGTCCCTTAATCATCACAGTGGCCCTTTGCTGGCCTTTCTCCAATAGCTTTCTCTCTCTTCTCTTGAGAAGTCCAGATCTGGACTCCTGACCCCACCTGGGCTAAACAGAAGGGAAAGATCACCCTCCTGCAGCCCAGGTACTAGTAGCATTCTTTGCCATAATGGCACATCACTGGCTCATGTTCAAATAAATAAGAATAAAGGGAAAATAGTAACTGTGCTTTTTCTTAACAGACTAAATAACAATTTAGAGCTGCATTCTAAAGAATGATTCAAATTAATTTTTATGATACACAAAACTAGTCTTTACTGCAAAGAAAAAGAAGAAAGAAGTAGTCAATGATGATTCTCTCACACCAGAAAAGCATTACAATGCATAAGAAAACAGAGTTTTTCTGCATGGTGTGTTACTGCAAGCTCTGATCTCCCCTTTCCAGCAGTGGAAGTGACGCAGCAGTCACTAACAGATTTCCAGTGAAGTTAGAACTCAAAACACAGTCAACATGCTGAGAAAAATTATCTCTAAATTCATTTATGGCTTCTCCAGCTCTGAAAAATCCAGGTAAGAACTGTATTTTACTTCAATGATATATGCGTAAGGTTTTGGCATTATGGAAATAGTCTTTTTAAATAATTCCATTAAAACTGTTACATGTAAATCTTTTCATTTTGATGCCAGAATTTCCTCATTGTGATTCTTAAGGGGATTACATAAGATAGTTTCAAAATTGAAGTTTTTTCAGAGGTTGAATCATTCCTGATCCTACTTTCCAAAGGTGTTAACTTTTGAGTCTTCCAGCTGCTTACAACTGATAAGCCTTTTTGTTATTTTGTTACTTTATGATTTATGTTACACAGGATTCAGTGAGAAAAGTACCATATAGTAATTACCTGACAAATCTTTATTAAAATTGAGATCTCAGATTAATTTATTTGACTTTTATGGACTATTTAAGTTCATTGTGATGGTCCCAACCAGGCACAGCAAACAGTAAGCTCACTCTTGTAGCATGTAAAGTAAAATAAAGTTATGTCATGCCTAACCTACCAACCATAAGAAAAGTACAGTTTCTGCCTCTTCCCCTTTTCTCTACTGGTTCTGTTTCTTTAGTTTTGATCACACAATCATGACCTTTGGAGGTTTATAACACTAACACAGTAGATTCACTTACAGTTTCACCCCGCTGCCCTGGATGTCCAGGCAAGCCGTCTTTTCCAGGTGGACCCTGAAATTGTAGGATACATAAATAATTTTTTAGCCATCTTTAATTCAGAAAAAAAGAAAAAGGCATGGAATTAGCTGTAAGTACCTCTGATCTTGGTTTTGTTTTTTTTTCTAGACTAGTCTTCAGTACAGTTCAACTGCTCCTATATCAGCTAACTATAATTTTAATCATACATTTTCTGTGTGTCCTCTTTGATGCATGCATGTTCAAAATGGATTTCAGTAAATTCAGAAACCATGGGAAGAACCTAAACTTCCATTTCTCTTTGCTTAATGACTTAATTAACACAAAACTAAACATGACAAGAGTATCTGATGAAATTCCAGTTTTGGCAATGGACATAAAAATAAAAAAAATAAATCACAGGCAGTTTGATGCTTTTGTGCTTACTAAGCTGCAGCTCAAATGTACTATTACTTCTGTACGTTTCTACTTCTAATGAACGTCTCTTTCCTCTTCAATTTTTTTCCTCAATTAACCCATTGTTAAAAGAAAAGACACACTAGCAAAGTACTATTTCACCTAATCTCAGTCTGTCATCTGGACATTGACATCAACATACTACAAGAGTTGCAGTTTAATATAGCATGTTGAATGTAATACCTGCTCTACCCATGATCATTTTGAATATGTGACTTCTTGTGTTAGCTCTATAGCCCAATAAGCGTATTTGTAATCTATACATAAACCACCCCTTACATAAATCCTGAAATATTCACTTCAGAAACACTGAAAGAAAAATAATGTTCTTACTGTTGCACATAGTTCATTAAAAAGATACTTACTGGAGGTCCCTTTGGTCCGGGGAATCCAACAGGTCCTTGAGGCCCTTGTGGTCCCTAGTATAAATGTAACAAAACAAGTGAAGTTTTAATCAGGCTTTTATCACACTGGATTAAAAAGTTTGCTTAGATGATAAAATATATGCACTTCAATTATAAAATCTATGAACTCTGTAGATAATGTCTGGTTGTAAGTATAAAGCCTCAGCTCCACTGTGAGATAAATACTGGTAGCAACAATTCACAAAGACATTTAATTGCCTGAAAAAGCAACACAGGATTTCCCCCCAGAAGGATTTCTTGAAAGCAATATTGCCTGTATAGGAATGCAGTAAGGAAAAAAAAAAGCGCTTATATAATGTATTTCTGCATCTGACCCCTGAAACTGTGCGTAATAAGAGTAGAAATCAACTGTGAGTAAAAAACATTGTTTTCTATGGTTTACTGTTTGTTGCACTTTTTTCTTGTAAATTCCAACTGTACTGACCCTCACATCATGAAGCTTTTTAAGGAAAAGATCTGCATTTTTTTTTTCATAATATCGCTTGCAGATTTCAAGTCACTGGACTGACAGATAAAGTGAGGGAAAAATGAGAAAAAACACTAGAACACGACCAGCATGTTATCAAAATTGCATTTTCTTTTTTGTCACCAATTTCATTTTAAGGGTATGGATTATTTAATACTTACATATCTGGTACCAGAAATAGTCTCAGTGGAGTAGAAATGAGTGTTTCATTTTTTTGGCTGACACTCATCCCTACTGGGAAGCAAATAAATACCTCACAGTTATATTACACAAGTGATACGAGATGTGGTGCTCTGAGGTTCTTCATCTCTTTGATCTAATCAATTTCTCTCCAGGGATGCCTTCATCTTAGATTGATCTGCTCACTGTTTTCAGTTTCCACACAATTTTGCTTCCTCATAACCTCTTGGAGCTGTCACAAACTCCTCCCTTCTTGAGGCTCTGCTACTGACCTTTTGGTAGAGTATCTCTGATGTTCCTCCACAGTGTAAAACAACCTACAGTTCCTTTCTTGGACTATGGCTAGTTCTTTACAGCCAGTATCCTAGTTAACTCATTCTTCTTTTGAATCCCAGTTTCCTGCCCCTGTGTCTGTTTCTACTTGTCACATTTTTCCTATTTCACCCAAACTTTCCACTTTGTCCTGCTGTTCATGTTCCACTTAGTACATTTTCTTTTGCTTGATACAGAGGTACTTTCAGCTTCTCGCTGCAGCATCCCTTGGAGAGTGGCCTTCCATATATACTGGCTACAGTCCAGTCTTCCAGATTTCAACTTCCCTTCTGTTCTACACTACTTCTCCTCCTTACTGCAGGAATCACTGTCCTGATCACTAACCAGGTCTCCTGGACAGTTAAGCAACATTCTGCTTCAGGAATAAAGGAGGTAAAAGCATTAAAGGTTTTTAGTAAGTGAAAACTTTTTTTTATTACTACTCACAACTGCTAAGAAGAAACAACACAAAATTAACCTTAATTTTTTCCTGCAGACACACAAAGGGAAAATTTGAGATTTCCAGAACACACTCATGCCATGTTCTTATTATCATTAGTTGCATGGATGTCCTTATCTCCAGTAAACAACACAATCAAACCATGTGGTCTGATCCTATAGTAATTTTTCCTTTTTCAGTTTGCTTAGTCATTCTAGCAATACCACTTTGCTGTTGTTCTGCCAGTATTTTTATACCAAGTGTGTACACATTCAGCAAGGAAATAGTGTAACACAGTGGCATTATGGAGCAGGGGAAAATGCAAAAGGAGGTCCCTCCTGAAGAGTAAGAGTTGTGGAGAACACTGGAACTTGGGGGTGGGTGCTGAGGAAGTATTTATAGATTCTCTAAATGAAATAGTTAGCACTTTAATGAAATAAGACTACAGAAGAAAAGTCTCTTAAGCTTTACAAAATACTTTGGCAGAAAGCATGTCCTCTTAAAATAGCTGAGTTGGTTTTCAAGTGTTGTTATTACAAATGTGATTTATTAATACTGTTTTTCTATATACTGCTATGTAATGGGCCGACCGTATACTGGATTTGGTTACTGACTGGTAAGATACTAGCAAGCAGAAAATTTTATTTTAGCAAGCACAGTAAGATTTCTCAAGCATGCAGAAATGAAGGCAATTCTCAGCTGATCAGAACAGAAAAAGATCAGGTGCTTCAACAAAGAAGGTGCTGGAGGTGGCCTGAGTCATTTGCAGCAAATGGGGCATTTCGTAAGAGCAGAAGCTGGTAAGTACAACTGAAATTTGCATGGATATATATGAAGTGCATGGGTATAAACACTAAGTGCACGTGTATTCTCTGTGTCCTCTATGTACAAAAACGAGCTACAGATGGAAGAAGCTTTCAGCAAACTTCAGCTCATTGCTTTCTGGAAAGCATCATTTCAATTGTTTTGTTACTTCTGGTTACTCTGGTCAAAGAAGGGCAAAGACACGCGAGGGAGAACTAAAAATAAAACAACAACCCCTCCTCAAGTCACACTCCTAGTTAGTGGAAAGAACAACATGTACATGAATAGCTTTCACATACCCTTTCACCTGGTGGGCCAGGAGGACCATCATTGCCTGCAGTACCCTAGGAAGGAAAGACAACACATTCAAAGATTAGACCTGTATTTTATTTAGAATAAACAGCCTGCAGCCAATCTATACAGGGTGCTTGACAATTACCTTAGGACCTGGTTTGCCAGTGGGACCTCTAGGACCTCTTGAGCCTCTTGGACCCTGTCAATTTAACAGAGATGCAATTGATGATAACTATTGGATACTATAATCAAATCAGAATAATTCTTCACAGTTTAGTGGAGGCAATTAATATTGGAAAGCAAAGTGAAAGTACATACTGTTGGTCCTCGCTGTCCTCTGGGGCCTGGTTTGCCATGTAAACCCTGTAGAGAAAAGTTCACGGAAATCATCTTAGCAGACACTGTATTTGTGAAATAAAGGTGGGTTTTTTCTTACTGAAGTGAAGGCAAAGTGCAACTCCCTTAGGGTTAAATGTTATTTTGAGTATCTACTTTGAATTTCGATCTACAGACTCATGGTCCTCAATAAAAAAGATTACCTTTCTGAGTTCACTGGGACTTGTAGCTAAATGTACTAAATTTGTCTCAGATTCTGTCATTAGAACATTTTAAACTATGCTAAAATAGTAACAAAGATGGCATGCAACAAGAAGAGTCCCCTAAAGGACTGGGCATCATTTCTAACGGAGTAGCCTTGAAGACAAAGCTCCCAGGTTCTCATAGACAGCTCCACGGAGAAAATAAAGGGGAAGCCTCCCTTTTTTTATAACTGAAATAGGGACTATAATACCTACCAGTATTCTGCACAGAGATACAGAACTTGTACAGAGATACAGAGCTTGCAAGAATACCAGCCCTTAATTTTTTGTTTCAATATATCTCCTAATCATATCCAACACATTTCTTTCCTTACACTCTACATTAGTATTGCTGTGCATTCTAATGCAAAGAAGTTTAACATTCAAGATAGTATTCCTTGGATAGAAGAACAAACCTAGTGAATTCTACTTTCTGATCTCTGAGGTAAACATGACAGCAACAGAAAATCAGCATAGATGTGTTAGCATAAAGCTTGCTTTTATTTGAAATCAATAAAATGCACACACTGATTTTCTTGAGGGTTTTCATGTGTGTGTGTGCAGGGAGGGTTTCTATTAATTTTATTACACTTAACAAAATTAATATTATGTGCTGTTCTTAGAATGCTACTCAGCTTGTGAGCTTCTCAGAGACAATTAGTGTCCTTCCTAGTATTGCTGTGCGTGGTAGCATAAAAAACAATTATACCCTTTAGGCAAGATTAATAATAACACCTGATTCTCATTACAGAATTTTATCATTGATGAGCAGCTTATACTTACTACTTATGTAAGCTATACTTACTACATCTAAGTATACATGTAGTTTCTATTAATTACGTGGTTAGTACCCTAGCTGAATTGAAAGCTTTATAAAGGCCTGATAACAAACCAATATAATCGCATTTTTTTAATTTGAAGTCTGCTCTTTGATATTGCTTTGCTTTGTTTTCCAATCTGGTATCTTTATTAACAGTCATGTCTCATTTTTCCCAACAAGGATGAAACGAATATTGGTTTATTGCTTGTGTCTGTCCACAACAACGTATCTTTATCTTAACTAAATTAATACAAGAACAATTTAAACTATGCATAAGCAATGCATATGCAATTGGATTTCATACATTTTATCGCAAACCCACAAATTTCTCCTTGTTTTGTGCTGCAAAATATATTCCTAGGAACAAAGATATAAATTATTTCAGTTTCAGTTACTATAATCTTTTGTTACTACCATCTATGAATTCTGGCTATGTTTTTAATTTCATCACCTTTCTATCAACATATTCTGCTACGGTCAATTAAGCTTTAGTGGCAGCAGCACAGTGACCTTTTTCTAACTTATATTTCATATTTATAGTTTGAAGAACATGCATAACAGATTTTCCCTTACCTGCTCCAAGTAAACAAAAAGGCAAAAGCTGTCATTTTATGGTTTTTAATGTATGTACATGTTCTTCATCTTGTCTGGTATATTTTGCATTTTTGAAGCTCTGCCTATGAAAAAGCTTGTGGCTAATCAGAAGTCCTATAAAATACAAACTGAAGTTCCTTGAAGGTAAATTGCATGGCAGCAGAATAATTCATGGGATACAGGAAAACAGTCTTTGCCAACTCACGCAGCTATACTGTCAAGAGAGATGCTTCAGCAAAGGCGTTTTCTTTTCTCCTTTCCAAATGTATAATTATGGTAGCATAGGCAATGAAAAAGTGTCGGAATTCCTTTATATTTAGTTTAATATCATAAAGACTGAGATTTAGTATCTCAGGAAGTCTCTATTTTATGTAGCTGTAGAGGTTCATCTTAAGCATGAAAAGCCTGTTTTCATAGTTCTTTACAGATTTTTAGATGTATCATTCACTTTCAGTGAGTTCCAAAAGTTAATTATCATGCAAGCATGAATTAACATACCCTTGCGCCTTTCTCTCCATTGGCACCTGGAAATCCTGGGAAACCAGTTGAGCCCTATGTAAGAAATCAATGCAAATATCAGAGCATATCAATAGCAAAACAGTAGCATAGACAACATGTAATTTCTATGAAAAACACTCCTCCAGACTCATGTACATTGTACACGTCAAACTTACAAGTGTGATGGCTCTGATGAATAGCTATAAATTAACTTACCATAATGCCTCAAGTCCAGAATGCATTAAAAGAATCAATGTATACAATAGACGTTATTTGTCATCTTACGAGACAATAAAGTATTAATTAAATCTGCACCATTTAAAAAAAATAGTATCAGCCGTTAGAAATATCTTGATCATAATAAAGAGGAACAAAAAAAAAAAAAAAGGCTTCGCCTCACAGTAAAATAATTCTTTTACAAAATAGCTTAATTCAAAATGATTGTAAGGCTGCAACATCTGAACAGTGGTGTGATCCTCTATTCACATTACTGACCTATAAATTACTTCATGTGGTTGAGTCACTGTAAGCTGACCTCTGGCTAGCTTGATTTAACTGATACCTGCAATTTGTACATGTGCTTGTATGTTAACTTCACAATCAGGATTTATGAGGAGATTATCTGACTTGAAACTACTTCCAGGCATCATTCCTCCTCCTTTTTTATCCCCTCTCCTTCCACTAACTGCCCAGTCTAATCCGAAGAGTACTATTTTCTATATCTCTCATATACAGGTCCCATGGGACAGCAGACTTGCTACCTGCCAAGGTGCTGTCATTAGGGACTTTGGGTTAAAGAGGTGACAGACTTGATAAAATATACTTCTAAGTGACTGGAGATGAAAATCGAAACAGTGTTTGGTTTGGTCGGTCACTAGAACTACTGGACAGACTCCATGCTGTGACAATGCATTTATATCTGTGCAGCTTCCTATTGCTAAACGTGGCAAATTAAATGAATATAACAAAACCTTTAAATAGAATTTCTTGATGCTCTTCTTTAAAGCATCAACTTTTTTTTGTTTGTTTCTTTGGGTTTTTTTTCTTTTTCTTATTTATATTTTCTCCTTCATGAATCTCATTTCCCACTATCATTTCAGTTGTCCACTAATGACTTAGGGGCAATACAACTTGACTGAAACTACTTCTAGCAAAACTCTGACTGATACTCAATAGTGGGAGAAAAGGAAGAGATTTCCTTACTTTTCTTCTTTTTAACTCTTCACCAGTTATAACTTAAAATGTGAATAAAACTGTGAAAATTCTACTCTGTGAAACCCAGGCATATTCTTTATAATTGAAAGGCCAGAGGAAAATAACAAATTCTGATGATCAGCCATGAACAAGCATGACCTGGTTGTATATATATTTACAGTATTTTTTGTAATTGTGTTAGTCAAGAGGGACTAGACAAGAGAAACAGTGAAAATTAACAGACAATGGCAGTCCTCTAAGAATAAGTCTGAGAAGGAAAACCATGAAAAGCAAATAAATGACAATAAAAAGAATGGTGTAAACCTTGACAATACTGAGGCAAGGTTTTGTATTTGCTTTAAACAGCTAATACGTTATCTCCTGCTTCTTTTTTTTTCTCTCCCTTTTGTTAATTTAAACTGGACTGTGAGTTTCCAAACAAGTCTCTAGTGAGTTGATATACTGTAGCTGTCACTACTCTTTCTTGGAAGTTTAAGCAACAAAGTAGAAGAGCAAACAGTGAACATAGCTTGAGAACTATTTTCAATTTTAGTATAGTGAAAATTTAATGTAATGAAATTCTTGATCAATTCCTTGCTGAAAAGAATCAACTTTTATTTGAAGTGTTACATCATTTTTGCTCTTAGAGCTGAATAATGTAAAACCTCTTTGATCTCAGACTTTTCAAAAGACAGTTTTGAAGAACGGAGTGACTGAAATCTCAGACATCTGAGTTAAGAAAGAGAAGCGAGAAAACGTGTCTCTCAAGGGTCTTCGTTTTCATGAATACTTTCTATAGATAGTTGTGTTCAATGGATAAACATTCCTCAAATAGCACTTGACTGAAAAGGGCCAAAGTACAGGCCAGAGTCAGAAAAAACACTTAGCTTAGCCAGCTGTAATTTCAACTTTGAAAGTAAAAATAGATCCCAAAGTAAAGTGAACATTTTGCTGCACTTTGATTGTTTAGTTGTGTAGAAGGGGTAAAGGATTCTTTTAGTTGTGATCCTTCCCTGTGTGAGTCATCTTTGAGACAATATGGAGATCCAATCTTTCCCTAATGACATCCTCTACACGGGGAAATGTCTACAGAATTATGCTTTTATTCCATATTTTTCTTTCTTTCTAATCACAGAAAAGAGAGCTTGCAATTCATTTAGCATGCCTATGGCCTAAAGCCATGTTAGGATGACCTTCCTCAAAATATGTATCATGAAAATATATTCAAAATATAAGCCTTCATTTAAACCAGAAGCCACCTAGATGGTTTTCTATTGCAATCAAAAAGGAAAAAACATAGCTAAGGATAATGTAGGCATATAACTCAACTAAGGATTGGATTTTGTCATGTTTGTCTTAACAGAAGCAAAAAAAAACTGTGATGAAAATCGTAAATTCTGTTTCAAAGAAATGTGGCTTATTCTATGGAAGAAGGAGTAATTCCAGTAAATGGAAACCTTGTACCATTCCCATCAATATCAGCATCCATTTAGTGGTCAAAAGAGTGCTCGTTCTCTTTTCAGGCATATCAGCAGCTCCTTTGTTTTCAAATTGTTGTTTAATGCACACCAGTCTGAGTTCCCACAACTCATGAGAGGCTGGCAAAGGTTTGAAGGCAGTCTAGCTAACAGGAAATATAGTGCTCCTGAAAGATCTTGCCTTAGGGAAGCCGATGTTTTTAAAGATTTTACTTCATAACATGATTGTCAAGAAAGAAAACGTGAAAAACGGCCCTTGCTTTGATGCCCACACCGTTTCCCCAACCACAAATAAAATAGCTGCTCTTGTGACTGTCAAAGCACAAGATACACAGCTCATTTACAGCTTACCTTTGGACCTTGTCTTCCTGGATAACCTGGCAATCCGGGTACACCAAGCTTACCCTGAAATAAGAAGGCAGAATTAGATTTTATTTTATCCTTCTCAGTTGTTCAGCAAACTTCTGTAGAAAATACTTTCTTCCACAACTTAGAGTCATGATACTTCATGGAATATAATATTCCATTATTTCAATTTATCATTTTTATTATTAAACACCGCTTTACTTAGTTCCCCAAGCTTAAATAATATTCCCTCTCCAATGAATGAGTTCAGCAAAATCAATAGCCAAGTGTCTTTTCTGCCTTGAAATGCTGCATGGGGATATGGGGCTGAGGTCATTAAACTATTCTCTAAAGAAATCTCGGTGTTAATAGGTTTAAGACAGAATAAATCTTTTTTAATTTATACTGTGCAATGGCTGCTCCATTTTCCACAAATCTTTCATGAAGAATCCATTTTTTCTTGAATAACTTTAAAATATTTAAAACTGATAAACCATACCCCACTGACTATTGTTGACAACAGATTTGTCAACAACTATTATCAACTTGTTATGTTCAGAAAGGACAACAGAATGAGCAGTCTGATCAATGCTGACGTTAACCTAGAAATGAAATACAGTATCCTGTCCCACTGAGATGTTTTCTTTGTAGCTCTAGAGGATGAGTGAGGGTTTTGCCACTTCCAAAAGCAAGGAAAAGCAGTTTGTCTTTGAAGTATCACACAAAGAAAGGTGTGAACCTTCTTGGTAATATTGGGACAAGGTTTCTTATTTGCTTTACACAGCTAATAGGTTTTTCTGCTTTCTTTTTTTTTTAGCTCTTTGTCTTTTTTTTTATTCTTCAGGCTATTACATTTTGGAAAAGATCTCAGTGGAGAAGATATGCTTATCCAGTATAAGATGGTACTCTAAGATGAGGAAAAAGAGGAAGGAGAGACTTGGATGGGAAAATAAATTTGCTCAAAGAAACGTGTTTATTCATAAAAAATGCAGCACATGAATAAAGATGTTGTATATCATTATATTCATGTAAGTGCACGTGTATGGAACAGACATTATTTTAAAGAATGTTTTGATTTATAGAAATATTACAGTGCTTCCAGTTCTGTGCAAAACCGAAACAAGCTGAACACATTACAATAAATTGAATGTTCTGCAGCATGACAGTGTGTCAAACTCTTGCCAAAGTCAGTGTAAGTTTTGTCCCTGATTTTATGATTAAGCAAGCCCAGTTGCTGGGTTTTGAATGAAGGTATGGATGGTTTTTTTGATGATAAGCTCTTCTCTGATGTGTTCTTCACTTTTTTTTGGCACCATACCTGGCATATCCTTTATTAAGCAAATCCAGCCTTCGACCTATCTGGGCAAGAAAGTTTTCTTATCACAAGATCATTTGAAAATAAAAGAGACTACTCTGGCACTTTCATTACTACAAAGAGTAGTATCTTTGCCTTAAATAAGTCATAGGAATGACAAAGGAATACAACATTGATAAGCAGTCTTACAAGCACTTTCCTAATATTGTGGGGAGATTTAAGAGTTCACAAAGATTATTCTAATCTTTGTGCTAAAATAAATATCACAGAGCCAACATCACAGAACTCTTCTCTGACACTGACACACTCTGTTCTGACCAAGTATCAACAGATTATCCAGAGAAGATGCTTGACTTACAATGGGCAAGAAAAGGTATAAATATTTGTAGAAAAGGTAAAACTTTGGGTCTAAAATTCGAAGCCCAGCTACCAGCGTTATCAACACCACTATATTTTTCAAGTATCTTCTGATAGTTAGGGCTCCAGATTCTGGACTTGTCAGACTATGACTCCCATATATGTCACTGTGAAGAAATGTTTGAAAACACGAATCTATATTCAGATTGAGTAATTTCAATAACAGGAACTGAAAATAACTCAAATTTGTATTTAAAAAGTAACAATTATAAAAGTTTATTTGGTTTTGGCTCGGTTTACTTTGTTTTTACCTAGGTTATAAAGACTTGAGAAAGACTCTTTTGTACATGTTCTTAGTTAATTATTCTGCAGATATCATGACAACAATACACATTCTTGCAAGATTCCTAATATCCTTACATTTTTGTCAGCTCAGTGATACAGAAAATAACCATTGCCATGAAACGCAGAGCTCTTTCTGGAGGATACAAATATATTGTGAGTGAAGATAGTATGAACCATAGTATTGTTTAATATGTATAATATGACCCTTAATACTGCAGATTGTTTTTGCTGATCTAGTTAAAACTGAGTACATTGGCTTTCTGGTGTGAACTCAGGTTGAATTCATGCAGAAGAATAGTCCTGAGTTTCCTTTTTTGTATGTTCTTTGATTCGTGACATAATTAATCAATTCAATGACCTAATAGCTGGTGAGATATCCTGCAAAATTGTGGAGAGAGTAGTGATTCATAAATAACTTGCAGTAGTTAAGTAAACCTAAGAATAAATCTTTTCATCTTTTTTTTAAAAGAGTGAACTGAGTTTTTTATTATATACATCTCTAAGAGTTTATGAATGTTATTATGCTGACATTGTAACCCTAATATCTTTCTAAAGTTCTACTAATGATATACTTGCAAAAAGTAGCAGCTTTTGATGAAGAGAGCTTGTTCCGAAGTTTGCTGAATATATTTTTTAATTCCTTGCAAAACTCTTAACTGTGAACCTTATTATCTTTTTAGTGGCACCAAGTAATTATTAAGATTTCAGTGAATACTTTCCAACACTTTACATAGATAAAAAGACAGAATAATCCATCATGATGTCAGATGGGATATTGCTGGAAAATAGTAACTGTTCCAATTTCAAAGAGCAAAACCGAGAAAGAAATGTAAAATGTTCCTCCTGTCCCATTCTCTTTAAGACAAAACTAGCATTAAGGTCACAGTTAAATAAAACAAAACAAACAAACAAACAACAACAAAAAAACCGGGAAATATTCTTCACTATGTTCTCACTTTAGTGAAATATAGTATATGCATTTCTGAACCATCACTTTTATCCTTCTTTCCTACTTATCCAACATTCCACTGCTGAAATCACCTTTGTTTTCTGATGCTGTCACACAGTGAGATATGGTGCCTACACATGCATTCCTCAGCCTCATTTCCTCCTTTGTGTCAATCTCCAGTGGTTTTTGTTGAGGTCAAGATTCTACAGAGATTTGTACTTATCTTTGAGCTTGTTCTCTCCTATTTTTCATAACACCACCCTTTTTAACAGCCCCTTTCACTTTTTTCCAATCCTACTTTGGATTTTTTTTTTGTTTCAAACAATCTACATGTCACAATTTGTCATAATATGACTGTGAATATTGATTCATTCTCCAGCAGCTCCTTTATCCTCCTTTGTGCCCAGCTATTTTCTTTACATCATGTTTCCCTTAGCTGGCATGCACTGTATGTAATAGGGGGTTAGGATTTAGCTGCCTTTTGTGCTGATGAAGTACTATAATGCCTTTCTGTGTACTTACAAATAATATCAGTGATTCCCAGGACTTGTTCAAATGTGAGCTCCAGTGATCTGCTGTAGTAGTGTCTCATAAAACCTACTGTTAGGTAGCTAAAGATTTTACAGATATGAAAACTTTTTTCTTTTGTGATGAAGAACATACATGTTCTATGTATGTTATGAGGCAATTACATGGTTATTTAGTTGATATCTGACTACTGACCTTTTCTCCAGCTGGGCCAGCAGCACCTGGGTCCCCAGATGGACCTGCTCGACCTTTAGGACCTTCTGGACCATCTTCTCCTCGTGGACCTGGCTGACCAATTTCTCCCTAAAACACACCACATTATAAATATGGCCTTTGTGCATGTATTAAAGAGCCTACCCACAGTTACTTGAAAATAAATTTCCAGTAAATGTAAATAAAGATTAGAATCAAAGAATCATAAAATGGTTGGTGTTGCAAGGGACCTAAAGGGGTCATCTAGTCCAACCTCCCTGCAACGTAGAGACACACCTTCAACTAGATCAGGTTGCTCAAAGCCCTACCCAATTTTCAGTGAGGAAAATACCACTGTGTGTGTTCATTATATGAATGTGTATATATATATATATATATATATATATATATAAATTAGGCACTGAATATTACTTTCAAGAGTGTAAGAACCCAGTTGCTTTGGCTGAAGAGCGGTACATCTGGAAACAGTGTATTCTTATTCTCTTTTCCCTAAATTCTCCCAAAAGCACTCTGACAGTTGACAGAAAGAAGAATGTCCGTACTTAAGTACTAATGTGGATACCATCTTTCCAGTTATTTATATATACAGTCACCAGATACAGGCTAGGAGCCTCTTGCGAGAAGTTATTTTAGAACCTCCACAACACTTTCTATGAAAGGAAGTGCTCATTGGGCTAAGTAACACTTCATTTTGGCAGATATTTGCAATATGCTGTGTTGGAATGGAAACACATTTATCCTAGATAAATTAATTTTCCTCAGGCAAATACTAGAGATCTTGGAATCTGGAAAAGGGGATTTCCTAAGCACAAGCTTATTGAAAAGGGCATCCAAGACTGATATTCTCTTCCACCTTATAACCCTGCCATTATTGACTCACAAGAACCAAACCTCTGCCTCAAATCTGTGCATGCACACAGAACAGAAATAATTTAAGCTACTAGCTCTTATGTCATTTTTGGTTTACATTTATTTGTTCACTGATCCTTTCAAAATAATAACACTGAAACTTTTTAAGAACATACAGGTTATGAGTAAATGCTTACCCGGTCACCTTTAAGGCCCATGTCACCTTTAAATCCTGGAAAACCATCTTCACCCTAAAAAAAAGCAGAAATGGGTATAATGACTTTTAGTAATAGAGAGGATTCTTTTTGTCAGAGATAAAAGAAAATACATTCACTACAGAATATACTTAGCGAATATATTCTGTAGTTAGATGGTCAGACCCCAGCAAATCCAGTATGGCTGTTGCTGTTTCAGAGAAAGTATATCACTGCATTACACAGAATTAGTTTTTATTTAAAAGTTTCTAATACCAACTGTTTAAAGCTGTTTAAAATCTGCTTAAAGATGCAGACAATACAGTTCTCCTGTTTTATTATGAATTATCGTGCAAAGCTCTTTCTTAACTCCTATGCTTTTTTTTTTATAATCACTCTTTTAAATAAGGTCATCCATTCAATTAACTAGAAAAAAATTGGTGGCAAATTATTCAGTGTTTTTCTTCTTGATAGCAGGATCTCCTTTTGAATTACTTTTTCTTTTAAACTAGTGTCTTCATAGAATAATGAAAACGAATAAATAAAAAAAGGCTGGTTATCACACCTTAATAAAAAAAAAAAAGAAAAAAGACAAGTATTAGTGTTTATAACCTAAAAGAAGAAGTAGTCATATATAGTAGTTCAATCTCTGGCAATACTCAGCCCAGCCTACTTTCATTGGATGACGTGATTGAAAGTTGGAAAACTAATGACCATTAAGATTAAATCCATATACAGTGGCAAAATAGGTGCACACTGTTGCTATTCCTAGTGGGAATTACTTATTTACTACCTAGTAAATTCTGACAGAGAATTTATTCTAAGCATTTTAATAGGCCTCCATGCTGAAGGCAAAGCAGACAGTACTCTATAACAACTTTCATTTATGCCATTATAAGTCAGTTTAGATAAAAACAGAAACCTCTAGAGTTGCTCAGTGGAGCTGCTCACGACTTGATCTAGTATAACTGAACAGCTTTGGGTTTGCTCTTAGACTGCATGTAATTGTATGAGTTCATCATACAGCTACTGTTCTAATATCCATACAACAAAGATTATTGACGGTGTTTTTATTTGATGCTGTCTGATGTCCTGGGAGCAAAGGTCTTTGTGATGAAAAGCACTAAAATGTTCAGTATTTTTTAATATGCTGAAGCAATATTGCTGATTCAGTAGCTAAGTAACATCTGGACCGTCAATAAAGCCAGGAAAGAGTGCTACTGTGCTCCATATTACTGAAAAAAACCTTTCTGTTTCATCCTCACTTTGAAAAAGAAGTTTGCGTTTTGCATTCCTGTGCTTACAAAAGCTTTATCTTCTCCTCTGTCAGCTACTGAGCCAGACTGCAAGGCTAAAGCCATTTTGATTTTGTTCAGAAGCAGTCATAGTGCATGAACAAATAACCCTAGAAAGGGTGACAGAAATAGATTTGCGGTAAACAGCTCAAAATTGGTGAAGAGACAAAAACCAAAGAGGTAACCCATTGTGATTCACTGAAAAAATATACTAAAAAGCCTTCTAAAAGCAGGTGTCCCATGCTTTCTAAATAGTAAAACTAATCGTTATATAGTCATCTTACTGCATAGATTAAAATCTCAGGGTGGTCTTTCTTAAATTTGAGGTGAAAAAGAGTGCAGAATACATGGGAAAAAAAAAAGTTTTAGTTGTATAAGTTGCTCAGTTATGTCCATGGTCAATAATAACTGAATGAGAACACTTTGCAACGTATCAGCAATGACTGATCACACACCAGCTACTGTCCAAATGGCTGCCAAAGGAATTGAAACTCTTCTTCAGCTTTCGCAGTGAGGTTCCAGCTACTGAGATCTACAAGAGGATGATTTTATTCTATGTGGGAGGAGAGAGCTGAACGCTCTATTTCCTCTTCTGCTCCTAACAAAAAATAAAATAGCTGGAGTTCTAGTCAGATTTACTACAGAGACAGACACCTCTTCTGATACCCCTTGGACCATTCCAGATCTACAGAGGCTTTCCTGAATGATTGGTGTATTTATTTCTGTCTCTTACAGTGATTTCCTTCATGTAATGGCATCTGAATAATGTCAGTAAAAAAGGCCTGCGTAATACTGTGTGGACAATCTGTGAAACGTCTTTGTGTGACCTTTTGATGTATTCACTAGAATTCAGTCTCTTATTGCAACTGTGAGATCAATACAGAAATGTTGTGAAGATTACGCTAATCAGTATTCACTGATACACATACATATATACACACACGTGTATCAAGCTTGTTTATATGCAAATCCTGTATTTTTCCTAGATGGATATTAATAGTTTAATAAGGAACAAGAAAAAGGTGGGGCTTTTTGAACTGTCCTGACTCCACAGGTATTAAACACACTCTTTTTTATCCTAGATTTAATGAGCTACTCTAAAATAAGTATGCAGACTAGACAGACTGTGGTTTAGGAAAGCCTGAAAATGTACAGCAGCTCTTGGCATCTGAGCATGAAAGACAGATCTCTAGTGCTGAAATCAAGGCTTTTCAAGAAGACTGAGTCTTCTGCTTTAGAAATAGCTGTAAGTATCTGCATAGTAGCCACCGGAGCCGCAAGGCTGGATTTGCCTGTGCAGTCAGGAAGTACAACTGATGGTGTTTGTTATCTGTCTCATTCTCAGTGCTAAGGAAAGTGGGAATTTAAACAATTCTGGCTGTAGCTTTAGCCACTGTGGACCATCAAAGGTCAGTAGAGATCGCAGTAGTTGGCGTTTGCTCTAGTAAGAGCTCTACATACAGAATTAATGGTATTGGGAGGGTGTAAAAGTTTTCTTCATGTTCATATACATGCACCTGGCTGGGCTGTCCAACACTGGCAAAGCCAAAGATCTGAAACAAAAACACCTGTAACCTAGAAAGCCATTGGAAGATATATATTAAAAAAACAACAAAAAAAAAAAGAAACAAAATCTAGCCTACTGCTTTTTCAAAACAGGTAAAATAACACTATTATCACCACAAATCTCTCTGAGGCACAAGTTTCTTAGTATCTACTATAGTATTAACGGGAGAGGGGATGCCTAATTCTCTACTGTAAGAGCACCTTAGAGAGAAATTACTTAAACTGGAGCAAAGAGAATCCTAAATCATTCTAGTAACTGAAGGGTTTATATTCACTTTGTATCAGTGTAAATAATCATGGAGGTCACTGACTTATGAATTGGGCTTGGTATGTCCCTAGGGTAAGGCAAAAATAAACTCACTGCTACAAGAGAAAACACACTGCAATGAAGGAGACAGAAGTCAACACAGTGAAAAAAGGGAAAGGAATTAAAAGTGGTCAGATTTACCTTTTCGCCTTTGGATCCCTTGAGACCACGGACACCATCAGCTCCCTAAAGAAAGAATATGAAGAATTACCTACATGCACATATTCAAAAAATGGTGGAGGGAGGAATTCAGTAATTAAATCCTACCTTTACACCACGAGGACCTGGATAGCCAATTGGACCCTGAGGACCTGGAGGCCCCTAAAATACATTGGAGTAAAGAACCTTTGTTTGTACAGTACTTGGTCAGCAAGCAGTTCTATTCCGAGTCTATCTTTGTTCTTTCACTATAATGCAGCAGTCTTGAGTGAGACATCAAAATAACACTTGGCTGCCTGCCACTAAGAAAAGTCGTATCACATATCAAAAGTCAAGTTCAATATCACTATAAAATCATTAAGAGAATTATGAACTTGGTTCTACTTGTGTATTGCAGAAAAATCTATGCACAATATAAATTATCTGAAACAATGGTCATTGGAAAAAGTAACAAGCAAACAAAACCAATCTGTGTCTGAGGATGCTTCGTTGATGATTCTCCAGTGTCTGAAATGGACAGATAATAAAATCTTTCCCTAATGGGGCCTTTCCAACTGTCTTCTCACAACACCTCTAGACTGCTAACATCTCTAAGAAATAAATTTTTCCATCAAATTTGGCTGAAATCGATCAGTAAATTCAAAAGAAATAAGGAACAACTGACAAAACGGTCACACACACCTGTAACTTTCAAAACATAAATGCTCTGTGTAAGCTTTATTTTCTCAAGGAATCAGGATAAAACCTACAAGCCTTTAACCGAGAACATTTTGGACACAAATACTAATATGCTATTTTCACTGGAATTGTACTTTCTGAGCTGTTCATTCATTCATGCTATTTATTCAGACTGTATTTCAGTATTGCCACTGAAATCAGTACTGCAACTGAAGCTGATTTCAGCTGCTATAAAGGGTGCTATTCTGGATAAACAAAGGTTAATACTGAGAGAGCAGAAAGATTTAAAGAGCTCCAAGACATTCAGTGCTTCATAAAGAAATAACTTTTCACTGAAACTGCCTTGAAGGTGACCTCAAAAATACAATGAACATGCATGCGTTTGTACAAGGTTTTGAAGAGCCCTTTTCGGTACCCTATACAATGGAATTGTAAACTGAAACTATTTGCAAGTTATTTATATGAAATGCATGCAATTTTCATTGATTGTCATTCTGTCAACTCTACAATCAGTTTCACTTTCAAAGTTTAATCTCTATAGTACTTAGAATTTCTATAATATTTATAATATAATAAATATTTTTGTCTGTACACAGATGCTTTGAATGTGACAGTTTTCTAGTAACTTCCTAAACAGTTCTTGGATCAAAAATGTGTCATAAAGCTGAAAAACTGCCAAAGCTTTTCTTGAAAGCTATGCAAATAAGTGGAAATAAATGGGAAAGTTTTAAAACTCACCAATGCACCTTTATCTCCAGACTGACCCTCTTTGCCAGGATGACCCTGATTTAAAAGAAACGTATCTGATTTGCAAAATACTCATTTTTTGGTAGTGACATTTTATTATAAAACCACAATTATTTAAACAGTTGAATTTCAGGTCACTCATCACCCTTTTTCTGTATTAGAACACACACAAGCACGATGCTGAGAAAAGATGTTCTTAAAAGAACTTAAATTTAATTTAAAAATAATTAAAAATAAATTTAAACTAAATTTAATTTATAAATACTGATTTAATTTACATAATAAAGAAGAAACTGAACAACAGTTATGTTAATGTTCAGGACTATCCTGATCACCCCTTTTGTTTAGGTAATGTTTCAGCAGTAAGAGTTTCTAATGCAAGACATTGTCAGATTTGATTCTGAAACAAGCAAGGTGATTAATATTACACATTCCTAAAATTATTTAAAAGACTATGGAATTTGCTGCAGAAGCCAACAGAAGGCTGATCTAGCCCTAACACTGTATGCCTTTGTTTTAAAGTGTGACTTACTTTTCAAACAAAATATGTGTTAGCCTGTGTTCTGCATCACTGACATTAATACTGCAGCACTCAAAATATTAAGATAAAATAAAATATTGAAGAAATTACACCAAAATGCTGCAAAATTTAAATGCAATTTAATGCAACTAAAGGTTAATAGAAGTTTATGAGAATCAGTCAGGAATTTATGTTCATCAGTCTTACTAGAGAAGCATAGTAAATCTTCACTTTTGCCAAGCATGTATTCCCAGGTAACACGTAGCCAGTTACTAAAACTGTTCATGTTTTGGTGTCACTGACATTGTAAAATGTTTTCAGTGTGTTAAATATGATATGATTTTGATGTGGCTGTTAATCTTATATGACAAACCCCTGGTGATTACATTCAATTTTCTGGCCTTGGAAAACAGTTTAAACTATGTTCTTTATTAAAAGAATTAAAATTAAAAGCATTTGATAGCTGCTTACCAGTGACGGCTAGTTTTCCTTTAAACATTTTGTCTTACTAATATCAAATTTGTTATTTGCTTGCTTAAATTTACATACATCAGTTTTTTAATCCTAACCTCCCAGAATACGCATTCTTGAGCATAAAATTAAAATCTCAATCCAGTTAGAGGTCTCTATAACATGAAATGACTTTAAAAATGCTGCTAATAAAGACTGTATTTGTATCCTTTTAGATTTCTATTAATTCCAGTATAATATGCCACTTCAAACAATGTCTCACCTTCAAAATAGAAGGACATTTCCTCATACAGAAGTGAAATGAAATAGCTAGTTTTTATCATCTCCTGAAAAAAATGCTCTGGAGCGTCCATCAGATCTTAACACAGATACCATGGAAGCAGCTACAAAGCTCACTGCAGTTGGGAAGGTACTGTTTATTGCCTTCAATCACTAGTGTAGTTCTATGTTTGTAAATAGGTCGTATCAATCAAAATGGACTGAAGTTTAACCTGCCTCTACAGCCCTCCCTCTGAACAAATCTGTGCATGAGGGAGATAATTTTGGGTGGGTGTACTCACTGACTTAGTTTTTTTCATAGCAGCCCATCTGATGCTGTGTTTTGGATTTGTGACTCAAACTGTTCAGATAACACAACAGTGTTTTAGCTATTGCTCAAGTGCTTGTACAGTGTGGTTTTCTTGTCCCATTCTAATCCCTCAGACAGCAAACTGAGGGTGATCAAGAGGCTTAGGGACACAGCTGGGAGAACTGACCCCAACTGACAAAAGGGATATATCACACCATACCATACCATACAATGTCATACTCAGCAGTAAAAGCTCAGGGAAAGGAGAAGGAAGGAGGGGACATTCACAGTTATGGTGTTTGTATTCCCAAGTAGCCCTTATGCATGCAGTCAGTTCTGGTTTTCTTATCCTGCTAAAGTCCCATTTAAGAAATGCAGATTTAACTTGAAAAGAAATATTATGAGGAAAAATGGCAAGGGAAAGAGAGACATGATCTGAGAAGTAACACTGACTGCCTAATGTCTCTTGGTGGTACAAAAAGATGATGCTTTTGATACAACCAGTGTATATCCATGTAATTATGAAAAATGATTCCATTTAAGTTTAGGTCCTGAACTGTAAGCGATACCATTTCAGGTGGTTATACTCTGCTCATGTGAGTGAATGCATCCTCTGAGCTAAGCTGAATTCCTTAATGATCACAAGATTCTAAATACTGTCTGTCCTGGTGCAGACAATGAAAGAAGCAGCCCAAACATGTAATATGCACCTTAGGTCAGGAAGCAGAGAAAGATCTAGTCTATTCTGTGTTTCCTCAGAGAATAAATGCTGAGTATTTTTATAAATGATTTGCTTTGCCATACTAACATAGCACGACTACAGTGAAGCAATGTCTAGCCCTTTGTCAGTTAAGAGTATTTACATATTCCTGCAGATGTTTCAGATGCATTTCATCATCTGGAAGCACATTTTAAAAGCCCACAGACATTTTTAGCAGCTGCTTTAAAGATGTCATTCTTTGATTTTTAACTGCTCCAACAAGTTTTAGGAGAGTTTTAGATGGATTTTATAATGCGGCTGCCAACTAGAACTACCAGTGCTCCAATTTCTTTTTGCAACATGGGTATCCAGAAATACTGGTTACTTACAGGAGGCCCATCAGAACCAGGAAGGCCAGGCAGGCCAGGCTTGCCTTGAGGTCCCTAAATGCAATAACAGAGACACATCTTAAGAACAACAGTGAACATTCTATTATTTACAAGGATAATGGAGTGTCATCCCTGCTGAGGACTGGCATGCCCTAAGCCAGCAAACTACCGTAAATCTTTTTAGCATTTTAAAACAACTGGCAAATCCACTACAGCTGTAGAGAACAATAATAACAGTACTTCTTTTTAAAGCAACAAATTGAAGAGCAAAAAACCCCACCCCAGATCCAATACATTTAACTCTAACAGCCAAGAATATAAAATATATTTATACCTGAATATCTTGATATAGATATCAGGGATAAACCAAAACTATGACAAAACTAAATCCAGAAAGATACTATCATAGAATATATAAGCACAAAGCCAATTCTTACACTCTTTAGCCAATACAAATCACCCATATTCCTGAGGACAGGCTTCAGGAATTATCTACGGACATGGAAACACACAACACAAGGTGGGGAAGAACTCTCCAGTGTACGAAGTTAACAATTATTTAGAATTTCAGGAATGAAAGGATTCACCATATGAAAAATACTAACAAGACCAAGAAGTAAAGAGTACAGGTTACAGAACTCCAGTACTCGAAAGGCATGGTACATTTGTGAAAGCCTCTTGAATGCATATATTGTGGGACTAGCCCATTTTGTTAGAACAATACTTCTGCGGCACACAGGTAGGTAAAATGCATGCATAAAATCTCTTTCAATTTCTTCTGAACTGTATATTAAACAGTGAAGAGAAGCAAAATCAAAGAAGAATCAACAGAGCAAGAATTCAGCAAAAGGGGGAGAAAGGTAAGATTAGTACAAAATTCAAAACTGACATTTCTGAAATTAATAGAAGACATGTTTCAAACCACAAGAACACGTACAAACAGAGAGATTAGGAAAAAGAACACAAAGTGGCACACTACAGCATGTCAATTACACTGCAAAGTTATGTCAAAACGTAATCCTTGAGAACAGAGAACTTGGGTGGCTACAGCTGTTATGAAAAGAGATTAATAAAAATCATTTTCACAGCTTGCTGTGAAACTAATCAACATACAAGTACACGCTGTTCAATATTGTAGATGGGATTATGAAGCTAATAACAGACAATTAACTAAAATTAAAGGGAGGAAAGGATGCTTGTGAAAGTGTTTATATGAGAGGACAGCCAGGCCTCAGTTGGCTATTCGTTTACTTAATGATTTCAGGAATATCTGCTAATTTTTAGATCTTAGCTTACTATTCTGTGAAACATAGCAAAGCTCTTAAACACACAAGCAAGGCTGCTGCACAGAACTGACTGTGAAATACCAGAATAATGCTGTAACTTACTTTTTCACCAGGAGGTCCGATAGGACCTTGAGGACCAGGAAGCCCCTGTTAAAAAGAAACCAGTGTGAGAAACCAGGGAGAACAATATACATACATTCACCCTACTGAAGGTCCCTCATTATTCTGTTTAAACATACTGGCAAATACAAGCAGCTTCCCCCCCAGCCCCCCTTACAAGTTAGATCAGGAGTTTTGTGTGAGCCTTTTGCACAAGCCACTGTTCTGGCAGTGGGTCTGTAACAAGATCCTATTCAGAGTCCTCCTCCAGGTGTGGCCGTTCCTGCTGCATTCCAGGAACACTGAATGAGTCATTTTTCTCCTGAATGAAAAATCCCTCTGAAAGCTTTACTTGAAAACTCTGCTCCCACTGCCCCGAGTACATTTGCAGTGTTATTTATAAAAATCATTGAAGCTTTATCGGTTTTGCACATTAAATGCTAACCTTTTAGCAGTTCACATCTATTAATCATTTGCTGCATGTTACATCATACATCTTGAGAGTTATTTTACACTCACCTGTGGGCCTGGAATTCCTTGCTGACCAGGAGGTCCTGGTTCCCCTTGAGGACCCTACCATGCAAAAAAATACCAGGGCATTAGGTGTGCATTTCTGCACCATAGATCTTAATTGTCAGTGCTAAAAGGAATACAGACTCGTCACTGTTCCTCCCTCTTTAAAGTCCACCAATTTTCTATCCAGACTTTTTTTTTTTTTTTGCTAATGCTAATTAACATTATGTTTGGGGTTTTTTTTAAACAGAGAATAACAGACAGGATGTAGGACCTAAGCACTGGAGTCCATGGTGCTGAAGGAGCTTGACAGAAAGCATAGTTAGGCGTTTTGGCTGAAGACTGACTAATAGATGGCTTCTCTTTTCTATGTAAAATCATAATGAACCTGAATATTCTGACAAAAAAAAGCTTAATTAAGTGGAAGAAATGGCACAGTGGCAGGGGCAAGAGAACGTGGAAAGGATTCTTAGAACCCACACACTTTTTAGTTCCCAGCTTACTTACCATGTTTCCTTTTGGGCCAGAAGGTCCATCAATACCTGCAATGCCCTACAACACACAATATAAGCATGAGCTACTTTCGGTGGACTTCCATTTTTCTCCTGGAGATTGCAAATACAAAGCAATTCATACGTACAGGTTGTCCAGGGGGACCAGGTGTACCTCTGGGGCCCAGCAATCCCCGTGGACCCTGTAAGAGATGAAACACTTATTAACACCCCCATGACTCTTTCTGAACAGAGATGTCCAGGAGCAGGACTGAGCAAGGAATGTCATATTTAAGCTTGATGATCTTAAAGGTCTTTTCCAACCTAGTTAATTCTATAGGAAGGCTGAGGGGAAGGCAGCATGAGGGCTGAGAGACAAAGACAGAGAGAAAGGAAGAAAGGAAGAAATCACCAGTAACAGATTCTCTTCAATCAGAGAATCAACCAGGTTGGAAAAGCCCTTTAAGCTCATCCAGTCCAACCGTTCCCCAGCAGTGCCAAGGCCACCACTAACCCATGGCACTGAGGCCTCGTCTCCATGGTGTGTGAACACTTGTAGGGACGGTGACTCCAGCCCTGCCCTGTTCAGCCTGTTCCAATGCCTGAGCACCCTCTGGGGAAGGAATTGTTCCTCAGCTCCATCTTAACCTGCCCTGGTGCAGCTTGAGGCCGGTTTCTCTTGTCCTGTAACTTGCTACCTGGGTGCACAGACGGACCCTTCACCTTTCTAAAGCAGCTCTAAAGGGAGGCCCGCACCCAGCGGAGACCCTGCCCCTGGCACCGGCCTGTGGCACGGTGCGGTGGGCCGCAGCCCCGGCTCTCCTGACCACCGGCGGCTCCTGCCTGTTGCCTGGGGGCTGCCTGGGTTGCCATGTGCCGCTGCCTGCACGGGTAAGCTCCCGGCTGCAGCCAGCCCCTTCCCTCCCGGCCCACAGGAGCAGGTGGCATGGCCCAGCCACCATGTAACGTGAACAGGATGGCAGTGTAAGGGCAGGTGTTGATTTAGCTGCGGTATGGTCATTTCAGGCAGAGGTAGGAGGTAATTATTTATATTTCCTGGTTCAGAACACTGGCACAGCATCTTCCACTGAAGTTTCAGCTGTGCCTTCGCCTGAAGGCCTGACCTGAATAGTAGCAAACTTGTTTGTATTCCTGTCTTAAAAAGTATGTTGGTCTTCGTATCTATACTACTATTCTAAGAGTAAAACTGTAAAGTTCCAAAAAAATTATCTGTAGTAAGGATCCAACAAACAATTAAAGATTAATGATAATTTTATTATAGTAAGTGAATGCATTCTGGAAATCACATTTATTCCTCTTACCCCATGAAGCACAGTAGTGTGCAAAAAGAAGAGAAGCCAGGCCGTATTTTCTAAGAAATAGAATCATAGAATAGTTAGGGTTGGAAAGGACCTTAAGATCATCAAGTTCCAACCACCCTGCCATGTTTAGAAAACATTTTCAAAGCAACAGGGCCTTGGTTATATTCTTATGCATCAAGGACTGCAGAGACTGATTTTACACAGCAGGATAAGAAATAGCTTTTGTGATTCTGAAATTCAGGTATGCTTGGCTGGATATATCTCTGTCCTAATTCTAACCTTGTACATAATGTTTCACCCGTAACAAAACTGATCATTTGTTTGCTTTTCAGCCATTATCAGTATTCTCTATATGCACACACAGGCAGTAATTTTTATATCTGGAATTCAGAACAGTTCAATGAAAAGGAAAAAAAAAACCTGATAGTGACTTTCGTTTGTAACAGAAACAGAAGAATAAGAAAGAATTGCTTACAGCTTCACCTGGGAGACCTCTTGGTCCAACTTCCCCATCTTCTCCCTGGTTTTGTACAAAAGGAATGTTTTAGGAAAAAAAAACAAAACATATTCCCACCTCATGAGGATTCACTCTAGATCTGATTGTGTAAATAGCAACTTACTCTCAATCCATCTTCACCAGGTAAGCCAGGAGGTCCCTGTGGGCCACGGTCTCCCTGTAGAATAATGAAAAGTTGCAAAAATCACACATCTGTTGCTGGAAACAATAGTGGATAGGAGGGAAATGAAAATTAATGTGTTAGCTGAAGTCTGATGTGTCAAAACACGTCGACACAATGATACAAACCTGTAACAGGTTACAGGATTCAGTCTTTTATTACTTCAGCATAAAAATAATTGATACAGTGAATTATTTGTGTTTGTAGAATTTCACTCTGTAACTATTCTTGGCCCCAAAACATAAGCAAACCACTGCTACAAAAGGCAGTGTTACCCCTATTTTCCTTTGTATCATCGGCACCTTCCTCCTCCAGCTACACAGTGTATTACTGACAATAAAATAAGGCATGTATACATGGGTCAGAAGTTAATAAACCAATTGCTGGGTTCTGGAATATACACACTGAAGTTTCAGAACCATGCACCCTTGACCAGTCATTGAGAGCCTTGGGACTGATTTGTCTGAGGCTACGGAAAGCAGCCAGACTTCCACACTTCTCCTCAGAGGCTGGGGTTTTTCAACTCTATATATGCAGAGCCTCAGTAGATTCTGGACCATACTTTTAGGATTTATTTTTCTTTCCTCATTTCTAAAGAGAACTAGTGTGCTACATAGCTCAAACACCACTGACTGACCTCTTTCTGGGCAGCGAGTTTTTAGACTATCGACTTCCTTCTGGCATTGGACAACAACCAAGTATTCATGCTGTTTTCCTTAATTTTATCAGTGTCTCCAAGGAGCCTGACCGCTGCGTGGATCCTAGCAGAAATATATGAAGTCGCTCTTTAGTAGATCCATTCTTTACTCTTTTAGACTTTTCTGGGGATTTTAGGTAACATGCTCTCTTACCCCAAAGCTATCTAATATTAGGGATGCCAGGACTTTATTTAACTGCCTTTCTGTCCTCTGTAAGTTGGAGTTGGCATCAGAGAGGAAATGAAATTCCATGAACTGCACTTCAAGAGCCATAAGATGAATCAATACAGCAGTTCCTGTATTTTGCTAAGTTTTGGAACTACTCAATGTGATCTGCCAGTAAAGCATGTGGTTTTCTACATGCTAAATGACACTCCTGAAAGATGATAAGAGACATATGATCTGTACCCTGCCTTTCAATTAACGTTCAGGTGAAGACTGACTTAAGCTTCCAAATACTGAAATAGTTTATCCCCTTCAAGGGCTATCTTTCTAGTCTTGCAATCACCTGGCAGTTAGATTAGGAGCTTACATTCAGTGTCCTGGTATTCTCATGCACTAAGAACCAAACTTCCTATCATTATCAGAATTCTCAGGCTTCAGTTCTCTAATACTTTCCTTCAAATATTCTGTTAAAGCCAGAATTCCATTTTCCTTAGACCTTTTCTTCTAACATACAGTGTTGCTTTTTTACTGGAGACGGGTTATACATCTGGTATATCTGGATAATAGAATTCAAAGACATAAATAATGAAGTGAAAAAGAATATTGCACCATGTGGTCTGATATTCCCTACACTGGAATTTAATCCAGGATCTCCTGTCTGACAATTCGTGTTTCACAAAAGCTTAACCTCAGAGAGACATCCAGTTTGCAACTCGTATTTAAAACACGAATAATTCTAAAAGTAGTCCTAAAACTTCCACACAAGTTATGTGTTTTCAACATCAATTCTCTTACAGCTGAAACATAACTACAACAGAAAATTTGCTTCTCTTGTCTTTTGTGATCTTTATGGCAAGCCAGAGAGAAATGAACAATTGTATTATATGTTGTCAGTATATATGAGTTCAAGGAGCTACAGTGACCTGATCTGGCTTTGAATTTAGCTGCTTTTAGAAAGATCATACTTCGTACTTTTACAGAAGATTTCCACAGAATCGTGAGAATTCAGTGATTTTAAATAATGGGCTGAAAGAAATCCTATTTTGCAAATTTCAACCCAAACTTATTCTCCTGCTTTAGTCTGTTTAGAAAATATGGAATAGAGTATTTGCCAAAAATAACCCCAACAAACCCAAACCAAAAAACAACCAAACAACACAGTTATTTCTTTATGACTGGTCCCACAGAAAGACAATTCTAGTAGTTCAGGTTGGAAAGCACCACACACTCCCTGATTGAACCAATTTTTGCTCAGCATTCAATAGAGTGAAGTAATGGCCACAGCTTAATGTCTATCCCCCTCTGCTGGTCACCTGCTGATTAAGCTGGATTTCCATTCTATGATGAGCTAGTTGCTTTACTCTCTTTAAGTGAAAGGGGATGATGAAAGAGGACCAAGACATTTCTGTATGACACTGGAAGTTCTTTTCACATTGCAAACAGAATTCAGAAAAGTATCTGTAGATGCTATTAGAACTAATGGGCCAGTAGACAAGACAGAGATTTTCTGGGAAGTGCGGCAATTGTGCTAACTCATTGAAGGGTGAGAGCTGTAGTAATTCCTTAGTCATGAAGGTTTAGAATATATGGGAATGATTCTGTTGACATTCCCACTCACTGCTCCTTTATGGTTCACTGCACTTACCAGGACAATAGTAACGGATTTACATTCAGGATAGCTTGTTATTACTAGCATCTAACTTAGGGGTATAATTTAAAGCAGAAATCCCCTGCTCTGATCATTTCTACACTTTGTAGAGAAAGATGCAGTCTCATCCTACAGATCGGTATGACATAAGGAACAGGTACATTATTTAAGCATTACTTCAAATTTTCCTGTCTGACCTAACTCTGATCTTTCTTTAAGCTGCAGTTACTGGAAAAAGCCACACTGAACAATTCAGTTTGTAATTCAAACATACAAATGCATTTGTTAAGCAAGCTTCTCAGCAGGTTGAAGTTTGTCATGTTCCTGATATAGAAACCTCATGCTCATTTCCTTTTCCTATTACTATTTCCCTTAACAATCACTATAAATCCAACAAGCAAATCCCTAAACTAAGAAAAATTAGAGCAAAACCTAGATGATGTGATCTGAATTCTGAAAATATATTTAAATCACTAATATATATGAATTGCTGTCGACTGATATTACTAAAATGTTTCAGAAGGAATACATTATGTGACAATACAGGTAACATTCTGTAGTGTGAAAATATGAATTCTGTTTTCAGTTTCCCCATAGTCATTACTGTTTTTTTTTAATGAACAGTGCATTATTTCTGTGAAAGTATCAATTTGTTGTTGTATAAATATACATGCTTTTCTTACCCTGTTACCTTTGTCACCAGGGAGGCCAGGAAGACCATCAAAACCTCTGTCACCCTAGGAAAGAAGAAATCACAGCTTTAGTAAATGACTACTGCATTCTGTATTACTCTGAATAAACTGTGCCTTCTCTCTGAAAGTTAGTCTCTACTCTTGGTTATATTTAAATGTTTGATATTGAATGAAACACATGGAAAGAAGCACACAGATCAAACTCATGAAATTTGTTTTTACGCAATACATCAAGAGAAGATGCCACACCAATTTTTTCACTGTGCTGTAATTACGCTATTTATAAAAAAGAAGTCCACACTGAAATGAAAGCTTGGTTCTAGCTGTAATTTGCAGTTGAAAAACTGACTTTACTATTGCTGATACTCTGTAACTAGAAACTTACTCTGAGGGACATGAATCATGCCCCAGAACCAAATTACTTCAAGGTCAGACCACTTACCATTACCATTAATTACCATATTTTAAATGGATGATTGATTCTCAACTCACATCTAACCCAGCTATCTGAAACCTCAGTATTTTCACTTGAGAGAAGAATTTTGTGGTGGCCTGGAAGAAACTGTGGTACCTACATAAAATCTGTCTAGGCCATTCCGAGACTGAAATAAAGCCTCAGGTCTCACTATTATTTACCTTTGCACCAGGTTCTCCCGGCATTCCTCTGGCACCATCAGCTCCAGGACGTCCCTGCAAAAACCAAAAGGGATAAACATTAGAAAATGGAGTGGGAACAGCTAATATTTAAATATATTTAAATAGAAACTATGTACCCAGTGTAGGATGGATCCATATACTACCTACCCTTTTGCCAGCTTTTCCACTTGGACCAGGGGCACCTTGAACACCACGAGGGCCCTGAATGTAAAGAGTATAATTCTAGAATCACATTCATGTCAGCAAAAACGTAGTTAAACAAGCTAGTTAAACATCTCTCCTCAAGAACAAGGTAAGATATTTTTTTATACACAACCTGCATTTTTCCCCAGAAGATGCATTCTGGTTTCCTAAATTCCCATGAGTTTAAAAAGAACACAGGCATCCAAACTGTCCTTAGCACTACCAATTTTAACACCAGCTTTCATGAGATGGCACTAAACACAGCGTTAATTGGTCCTTTCAACATAAAAGCTTCTTAAGTTTTTTTCCATGGCTTTGAAGATCTCAGTCCTGTGGTTTGATAACATTTTTTCCTCTCATGCCAAATTTATTTTAGTCATAATTATTTGATGAATGCTAAAGAGTGCTTATTTCAGATCTGTAAGTCATACACAAACGTAAGTTGTTCTGGTAAACAGCTCACATGCTGTCTTAGCTTTACACAGCACAGTCTTAACTAGAGGGAGACCACATTACTCCAGACTGAAAACAGCTCCACTTTTCAAACACATGCAACTTTCACTGATGACTGCGTAGGTGTACTTTTCCGTGGAAGCTTTCTCATTCCCCATGTAAATTTGCCTTTTCAGGTGAAGATCGCAATGGTAAGGCCTAGCCATCCAAAATTACCTAGTAGGAAGATAAAAACTACTAACAATGGAAGACAGCAAACTAGAAGACTGACCAGGTGTTCAGAGTACTTGTTTAACTGCTTTGGTTTTCTGCAAATATTCATGTGGAGTTTTAAGAAGGGCACTTACTTAATAATGTAGCAAAACCATGATACCACTTATGATCTGTCAACATCATTGTTCCAGACACTCCTATCATGATTTCTGTAAGAACCCCCTATTACTTTTAGGTTGAATCTGAAAGATTTCAATGTGTTTCAGTGCTCCATAGCATCACTGCAAAGGAGCTGATATACTAGTAAGCTAAGAAGAAATGCATGCACTGCTTCTTAGAGACTTATTCTAGCTATGTCATGTCTTTCTTGAAAATATCCTATTTAATTCCCAACTAAGTTCAACCTCTCTCACCTTATGAGATCTGATAAGATCAGAGCCCAAGGTCATACAATTGCAGACTGACATGCTTATTTAACAGAGAAAAGAGCCTGAAATGACAATATTAAAACATGTTTTCAAGTGATGACACTCTACATGTGGTAACTGCTCTTTGTTATATAAAGACTGTTATTTTCATATTTCCAAATAAACAACCAAGCTATTACATTCTATTAGGCTAGCACTATAAAAGCCATTTTTCTTCAATAGTATGTGGAAATAAATCATTGACTGATTTCTTCTTAGTGATATGAATACATTTTCTTAAAACTATACATGCTTAAACTTAACAGCTAATATTATTGTACCTGGGGACCTGGTTCACCACTTTCACCCTTAGCACCTGCTGCTCCAGGTCCACCCTTGATGAAAAAAGCAAAACATATTGTTTAAATATACAAAAACCTCTTTAAATGAGTAAATTAATTTCTATAAATTAATTACAGGGAGGAGAAAAAAAAAAAACAAACAATCCCCTATTCATTAGAAGGTATGAATTCACCATTTGAACCTGCAGATACACCATGATATATTGCTGTCTAAACATTGGGCCTAACTGGGCCAAAAAGCTACTACCAAAGAAAACTCCCATCCATTCAAATGGGATCAAATGTAGCAGTTTGTTCTGTATTAATATTTGAGAGCTAAATATGAGCACAGTAAGAACATACTAAATGCAAAAGTGCATCCACTGTAGAGAAGCCAACAGAAACGAAAGCCACCTCTTTTTACCTTTATCCGTTTCTGTGCTGTACAAGGAAGTAAGTCACAGAGTTCAATCCAAAGATCATCATAGAAAATGAAAAATACCCTGTCTAATCTTGTCATGAACTTCACTGATGCTTAAATCAAGGTCTCTGTGCATCTGTCCTGGAAGAATTGGAAAACCTATATAACTGCATCTCTTTTCTATCATTAAATGACGATACAAATTTTCAGAGGAAGCTTTACTCACATAAACAGACCTAAGCCACATCTTCATCCAGGGCAAGATACTGTACATGGAACCTGGGGCAGAACTACCCAAAGTTTGTGTTTTCTTCACAGTGGTTTTACAAAAACAGGCAAAACAAAAAATCTCAAAGTTCTCACATAGAATACACAGGCTCAGCAAAGGAACATACAGAGTTTACTATTACAGGCAAAATAATTTTTGCTTTTCTAACCTTTGAAGCAGGTCATGACCAGATGTATGTATTTTAATATGAAACAAATATTGCAGACCTTGGAAAACCGATAATCCTCCTATATTCACCTCAGTGACCATTCAAAGAAAGAAATTGTCTCATAGCTTGACTTAATGCTGAGTCAGGTATCCTAGAGTGAAAAGCTTCCTACTGACCTTGCAGAGTCCTAAGCAAATTGAAAATTAGATCCTGAGCTGGTACTGGCAGTAAAGAGAACAGTGGCTTCGGTAGTTGGTGACAGTCTGTTTGTGTTTCCCTGATGTAAGCTCTGCTTTTAATAAACATAATTGATAACATTTAATATCTGCAGGCAGAAATGACATACTGCATGCTGTGTTCACTAAGAATGTGAACTCCAGACTCAGCCAAATCTAGTTTGGGACTTTGATTGCTATGTTTGAGACCTATAATAACTTACATACTTTAAAATGGATCATATTGGCCACTAAATTAATTTTAAAAAATACACTTCCTATTAAAAGCAGAAGCTCCAACTATTTAATTCTTAAAGTAAGCCAGGCACACAAACACTTGACAGATAAGGAATCTGTAGTTTCTTCTGGAACTGTAGTCCAAAAATGTTGCCAGATCAAAGAGCTGGATTAATAGAGCCTCCTGGTGGCTTAGAAGCAAAACAACTATTAATATTGTTAATCTGTTGAACTTAGCCCACAGAAATTCATGAAAGCTTTTAAAACATGAAAACATGAGTATGAGGCCAGGTTATGCCTCCACTAAAGGTATACAACCTACAGTCAATATTATTCCAGTGTTACAAATTAATTCCTTGCTTACAGCAGTTACATAGGTATTTTATCTGTATAGACTGAGTATTATCTTGCAGGTGTCTTGGTTTAAATACACTTCTGGAAATAGTGTATTAGTTTGTTAAATAAACCCAACATGTTCGACTATTTGCAAGCGTCGCATACCTAATCTCTATCAATCAGGAACTTGTGAGCCAAGTTCTCTGCTTGGTAGCAACTATTTACTTTGGAAGAATTACTCTAGAGAAGAATTGCTCTTACGTAGGTTTGCTTAAAAATACAAGTCCAGTGATTTCAGTTATTTCAGTTTCTGCGGACAAAGTGAAAATTTACCTGAAAACAGTACATTTCACCTAGATAAACAGCCTGGTTTCATGAGACTGGCCAATTTGGAGTACAGTCTAATCTGGAACAGACTTTTTTGATACTATATGAAGATGGGGCAAAGCACTCTTAAGCCAACTGAGAATACAACTTACAACAGTTTTAGTATCATGTAGCTTTTAAGAGTCACTGAAGAGAATGTTAACCTGCTAGGATCAGGGAAGAACACAATCCAAAGTATTCCTTATACTTCCTCAAATATTCATTCAACAGTATGTAATGATTTTATGTCCCCCTGGGTTTCCTTTGTTAATAAAAGTGGTCACTGAAGGAAGTAGCACCAAGAGCCCCTGAGGCAACCTTCCAGTTGCATTGTGCTGCTATAATTATACACAGGAGATGGACAGTAACCTGACCAGTACTTTCTGTTGATAATAGTAGGATGTTATACTCATGTAAGTAATACAGCCTTCTGCTTTCAAACTAATGGACACTGTACATTCAGGAGAGTGAGGATGAGAGGGAAGAAGAGGAGCCTGGAAAGGAAGGACTCAATTATTACTGCTCAGCTATGGGCTGTTGCTGAAACATCACATTAAAGAACAAAAGAAGTGAAAATGAAGGGAAAGAAACTGTATTTCTTACCCTACAGTATCACCACTAAATTATGACCAAATCTCATGCACAACTGTGATAAGTGGCAGGAAACTACTTTAGCAAAAAATGCTATTGCACTCTTACACAAAGAGAAAACCTGGTGGCCTCCAGCAGCTTCTGCTGCTCTTTTCTATATATGCTGCTATAGTTGTGACTGGCATATCTCTTCTCTTCACACAATAAACCAACAGGAATTTGCTTCATTTTAGGTTACCCAGTGATTGCTTGTTTTCTTTTCTCAAGAGCACAACTGTTCTTGTCTGTGTTTTACAAGTAGATGCATGTCTGATCTAACGAGAAATGCTAACATTACTCTTTGTGTGCATCACCATAATGGCAATATAAATAAAAATTACAGCAGACACAGATCAAAATTCACAAGGCCAAATATTGGCCAATCTCATTGTGCCATCACAGCAGAGAAAACAGCTCCCAAATTAAGTGCATGTTTCAAATATGGATGCTGTACTAACTGTAGAAAACAATTTCACTCTACATCAGAGTATAAATACAATCACCCGCGTGAAACTTAGAAAAGACCAGTCTACAAAGCTTATGATCTTGGCTGCATCATTTGTTATTTTGTATGATGGTACAAATGATTCATAATAGCTTTTTGAAAGATAGCAAATGCTAAATTATGTCATTTAGTGGACTACTGGGTCCGGAAAGTATTCATTTCCTAAAAGAGGAAATTGCAATTGCAAGATGGATCAGGTGGTTTTGTCTTGCTGAGTTTCCTACCTGGTTTTATTCTTTCATTGTGAAGATTGTCTTTTAAAGTGTTTATAGGGATTACAGAGGCAAACCCATCTGCAGTCACAAAGTTGATTTGTATGTCAACAGAAAAGATTATGTTCCATGTGTAAACTTTGTACTTATACATAAACAAATACTCAGCTTTTTGAATATCCACACAGCTATATGCCAGATCATTTGGTCTGAGCAGTCGAGCCAAAGTCAGGACTAAAGTAAAAATTGCTTATAGGAATGTCTCTTAAGAACTTTGCAGATTCAGCTTAAATAACGAGCAAAGACAATTCTGCACACTCCTGCTTTAGTAGCTTCTGTAGAGTTTCATATTTACCACAAAAAAATTTATGAATATTATTACTGAGATGACTGATTGCAGAGGCATATGTAAGTAATTACATAAAATTAATAGTTTTGTAATTCCGCCAATGTGCTACTATATCCAAGCACCCCAAAATCTACAGTAAAAACTGATATAGTATTCAGGTTGCACTGCAGACCCTGAATAAGAGCACAAGCTATGGCTTTAATTCTATCAGTTTCTTTTTAAATAAAAATAGTGTAAATACAGAGGTGTAGGCAAGGCCAGAATGAGATTCACTGACTTGCGTTACTGTGTTCTTAAACTGTGCCCCTATGTTGTTTACATACCACAGGACCTGGTCTTCCAGTGAGTCCCATGGGACCAGGTGGACCTCTCATAGCAATCTGAGGAAACAAACAGATCAAAACCACTGGTATCAAGAAAAAGGTGCCAGCCAGCATACAGATTCTATTTTAATACAATTTCATAATGCATTAGCAAATAGCCCCCCGTCATTGACTCAGTTTTCAATAAACATAACTACTGTGATGAGATTATGATTAAAACTCTTCACATCCTGCATTATATAAAGTGGATTATCTGGGGGGGGGGGAACCTGTACCCTTGTGACAGTTTCGTTTGCAGGCTCCTTATGCTCACCCTGGCTTGCTGAAGAATAGCTTGTGCTTGAGCTTCCTGAGCTGAGATTGTTGGACCCTTCTCACCATCTCCACCAAAGCGGAACTGCAAGTATCAAAACAAGAAAAGGATTCAGAATTTATCAAATTACAACCATACTTGTTCTGAGCTACAACTGTGTAAACCAAAGACGAGCTCTCAGCTTTTAGTTCATTCCACTAACTTCAGAAGACTGCTGCACTGAGGCACTGGATCCAGCATGAATATTAAGTCATTGGTAATAGTTTAGAACTGAAATGCAAACATTTTCTTTGTTTCATAGGATTTGGGGTTTCATTTTGCTTCAAAAAGAGGCTAAAATAGACTCTTATATTTATCAAAAGTAATTAATTCTCTGTACTTTGGTAGCTACCCATAGAAAAGTGCAATTCAATTTAAGGCAAACTTCAATTTCAATACCTACACATGATGATAAAGAGCCATGCATCCCACAAAAGGTGTCTCTCACATGACTTGGTGTTTTGTGCAAGACAGGCAGCTACTGCTAAGGTAATTCCCCTGAGTAGTGGCATTTTCCCGTATCACCTAATTATTGGTAAGCAAATATTTGTGAGACTTTACTTACCTTGCTTTACTTCAAAAATACTGTCCCTTCATTTACAGGTGGTTTATCAGTTCTCTGGGATAGCAGTACTCATCAAAGCTTCCACATACACACATACACTTAGGAA